GAATCTTGAGATTGTATATATATTAGCATGTTCATAAATCTTGGTTTAAATTCTGAAGAAAATACATCATTTAAAAAATCTAGAATCTCTATTATTTGCTATTTTTCATAGACTACAAACAAAATCCTTGCTATTGTATCGAATGTATTTCCCCCCGGATATAGCACATTATTTGTATGTTGCATTACAACATAACATTAATTTCTAAAACATTAACCATAATTACTTACAAGTTTAATTATACATGCTAGTGCCCATAATAATGATGACATGTCGATGGAATAATAAATCGAACCGTTTGCTATAATGAAGACTTTACTTGATCTCGTGCATTTCATTTATATAGTTAACTACATATCATTAACTAATCTAAACATAATAACCAAAGTGAAAAACAAAAATTGGAATATTTCTGAATTTTTGAAATTGCGTCCATTTTTTAAATTAAATTGAAGACGACTATGGTAAAAGGGTGGCAGTTTTCACGAAACTCATCAGCTTCTAGAAGAAAGTCATTGAAAAATTGCATGATAGAGATAATGGTTTGTGCAACATTGCGATAAAAAAGAGGAAGTGATGAATGAAGATGGACCGGCGAGCCGTTTGAAGAAAAAAGAAGTTGAAGATCCGGCTGAACCAAGGTGATATCAACAACGTGTGAATCGGAAGATGAGTGTCACTAGGATGGTGCATATCACCAATCCCGATCAATCTGTATGAAAAGCGACTGGTCGACAGAGTCTAGATATATTTATATTAAAAAGCCACCAGTAATTACGCAGATGATCCCATTTTTTATTTTTTTTACCATATAATACCATATAATTTACAACTGTCCTTAGTGAGCATGTAGTAAATCAAAAGTGAATACATATAGTTAAATGTCTTATGACAAGTAAATGATAATAGTAGAAGTTGCAAGTCCTACTTCTACTACAAAAGGAAAAGAAAGTAAAAAGAATAAAAATAGATATAACTTTGAATTTAATCTGTTTTGCAGGGCCTCCTTACGATGTTAATAGCCAAAAGGTTTTTTGCCAGTTGATTGGAATGGGACGTCAATCTTTCTTTATGTCTGGTTGCAAACCGTAGTATTTCTTGTTGTATGGTGAAACAAATTAGTATCTTGATGTACAAGCCAGTTAGGGACATATTTAGGCGCTAATAGGCAGATATTTAAAGTTATATTTTGAAAATTTTGAATTAAGTACGCAGATAATTCCATCAAAACCGAAAATTATGTGAAATGGTAATCATCCAGCGATCCAAGCAGACCCTTCAAAATTGAAAACCTTACAGGCAAGCAAATTGAGCTTGCAGAATCAACTAATAAAATGCTTCATCCGAAGCATGGGTTTCTAAATGGATCAAGAACATAGTCTTCAAGAAAAGCTGACAAAAACTATCCGGAGAGCGTTAAAATAAGGTGTTGGAAAAGAATTGAGAAAATTAAATGACTGACAAATTAACAATTAAGGTTCTGACAAAAAAAGAGTCTGAAAGAATGTAGACGATCGACGAGTTGCACAAACAGAAAATATTCGGGGAATTAGAAGCCGAAGCGCAGGACATAAAAACATAGGAGCAGTAAAAGGTAAAAAATTATACTATTTTATTGATATTGATAATGGATAATTATACTATTTATTGATAATGGATGGAAAAAAGGTGAGAAAAAATGAAGCGCACTTATTTAAAAAATATTTTGTTTTCTTATTCTAAAAAGGAAGTATACTTCAAAACTAAAATTTAAAATTAAATATTAAAATTTCATAATTATATGAATTGAAAATTTTAAGTTCATTTTTCTACTTAGGGGCCGTTCAAGTATTACGTAAGCACTATAGGGGGGCGGGGGGTTACTGATTTGCTTATTTTGGGTAAGAACTTTTGCTGACAAAGGGGAGGGGGAGGGGGTAAATAATTGTAATAAATCTGCTTACATAATATTTGAACGATCCCTTATGTGCAAGATAACCGTTGATGACATACCGTGCTATTTTGTATCAAAGACGAGCTTGATATCATGCAGTAATAGTATTAATATTCACTTGAAATTTTGGATAAAAAATATATAATATAATAATATTTCCAATTAAAAATAGTTAATAGGGTACTGCAGAATAAAATGGCAAAAGGCATCTCTTATATTACTAATTCAACCTGGAGTTTATCCAAAATCACACACTCAGTACAATGTTTTGAAATTGTTTGCGGCCTTCAAAAGTTTTAAATGTTCACAAAATTCAATCAATCACAGCGGTGAACGTCTTGATGTAATTTAACAAAATCTTCTGTTACCGTTGACAAACTAATAAATCTGAATGAATAAATCTCAAAGTAATAAAAACTTTCAGACATATGCAACAACAATTTTTTTTATTATTTTCAATAGTATTAATCAATCATCAATTTTCAGTTAATGTTAATAAGTTTTAACTTCAAACTTTCAAAAAACAGCAGGCAGTTTTGTAATTATTAATTTTCATTCAAAATGAATTTAAAATATAGATAACAGATTTTTTAATGCAATGCAGAAGAACCAGATGTAATGGTTTATGGCATAATTTCTGAAAGCAATTTATTAGAACTTTAATTTCAATAAAATTTAGATTTTTTAAAAAATATAGCTCCATATTCTCGCCATAATTACTAATATAATGACATCAAACTGGTAATACTATGTGATAATTAAATATCTTAATTAATAATCTTTAGTTTTTAATTAGATCCTACTAAACAAAAAATCGTGATTCTAAACTAATTGTTTAGGCAAACATTATGTACGCATTGAGAAATCTGGATTCTACCGTTAAAAGTATTTTTTGGCAAATTTGTATGAATCAGCTGTTCAATATTTTAATTTAAGAATCAATAAATTTAAGCATTACCTATAAGACAATTTTTGGGAGTAATATATGTAATTAAATAACTTATTTGTTTTGTTGCTCAATTTCAAAATGTGTTATTTTATATTTGACATCCTCAAATGATTGCTTCTTTTATAGAGTACCAATAAAAGTTTCTAAAGAATTAGCAGCATTGTTTGAATTATTCTATTTTACAATAAAAAAATATTATCAATTTGATATTTAATTCATTAAAATTTGTGTGGTAAACGAAATCTTTCAATTTTTCAACATGATTTAAAAATATTATAAGTTGACATGGTTAAATTGACCAATTGATTCCTGATTCCTGCGTCAAGTCAAGAACCAGAAACAAGAACACAGCGAACTAAAAATATGCAAACTGCAAAATGCAGAATGATTTCTTTTAATACAATTAAAATATCTGAAGTATATAAAAAACAGTACATATGTATAATAATACATTTGATTGTAATACTGAACTAGTGGTACATGGAATTGTGCCCGAAGGCAAATTACTGGAACTTCCCGTACCGCAATCAAGAATGTTTTATTCCCGTAAAATAAAAATAATCAATAATCAACAAAAATTGATTGACAACAATTGTTTTAAATATTCTCAAACAGATTATAATAAATACTGTAAGTTTTATCATTATAAATTAGGCGACGAACGGTATTGTAAATATTAACATTATAATTCTTGGTACTGAACCAGAGAAATAGAAACTAAATTGGTACTTATTATCAAAATCTCTATAAACTTCCTAAAAATTTGATGCAATTATGTCCAATGATCATTTTTGACCAACAAATGTAAATACAGTAGAACTCCAATTATCCGAATTGATGGGGACCGGGACCCATTCGGATAATCAAATAATCGGATAATCGGAGTTTTTTTTAAAAAAATTGCCATTGGAGAAAAAAAAAGTTACGTTTTGATATTGCACTATTTTTTTTATTGAATTAAATAAAAGAAACATGATATTTTCACACGTTTTAAATATAAATAAAATGTACTTATGTACAAGTTTAGAAATAAAAATCATTGTTTTTAAACAACTCCGTCAATGTAAGCTGTTTTGCGGTCTTCAACCGTTTTTTTGGACAATTTTTTTTCTGAAAGTGATTCGGATAATCGGCGATTCGGATAGTCGGAGTTCGGATAATTGGAGTTCTACTGTATTTGGAGCTTTTTTCTGCATGACCAAAACCGCTGGACCTGCCTTTTTAAAAATGGAATCAATATTTCGCTCCGACAATAAAAGTTTGAATCATTTTTTCAAATGCTCCATTCTCTCGAAACCATTTCTTCAAAACGGATAGACCTGCCTTTTCCAAACAATAATCAGCACATATATTTCCATCAATATTTATTGGATGTTTTTTAATCATTTAAATCGGTTGATCTATGCTCTCGAAATTGTTGACAAAAAATTGCATCGGGACATACATAAATACATACTACACATACAAACACTCATTACACATGAACTGTGAGATCAATTTTTTCTGAGGTGTGCCAAAATGTTCAGAAACCTTTGAAACGAAAATATATACAAAAAGATTCACTTCCGCTTACTATAACTTATCCTACGGGAAGTTAAAAAGTTTAGGCGAAAAAAATGAAGCAAAGCTAAATCTGATATATCTTCAAAAGACATATTTTATAATTATATTTGATTTAACAATAAACTAGAAGTATTAAGGGAGCGTCCATTAATCACGTGAGGTTTTTAGAGGAAGGGGGGGTTTGACAAAAAATCACGAAATATCACGTGTATTTTTTCTTTACCTAAATTTTAAAAAAATCCAAATATTTATACATTACGTGTATTTATTTTTTGAGTTTTTAAAAAAACATCAAAAATTTTCAAAAAAAAATCAAAAATTTTACAGTTTTATCACGTAACTAAAAATACACGTGATGTTTGATGGAGGAGGGGAGGTCCAAAAATCCTTAAAAACTCGCTCACGTGATTAATGGACGCCCTCTAAGATTAAGAATATGCAAATTAAGAGTTTGCAAATTACAAATGTTAAGTAACTTACAAACTGTCAACTTGATTTTAATTAACCCAAATCTTACATTTACAAAAAAATACTAATGAAATTGAATGCACTTACCACGTGCACGTTGGCCGCCATTGCCGGCAAATCGTGCTGCTTCCGTTCTCCGCCCTTCTTCTGCGCCCTCTTAGCTTTGCTCTCGAGGAATCGCTTTTGAAGGGCGCTCGTCTCTAGGTTTTGTTGCTCGCAGACTCCACTAAAAGTCTGATCGAATCTGGGAATGCAATCGTTGTGTCTCCTCCTGTAGTTTTCTAAACGTCTTCGCAATCTATCAACAACCGCTTGTCTTTTCGGCGGTACTGGTTCCGGGGGCGGCAAGAGACTCCCGGGTGCTCCCGTAGGGACCATGGCACGGGGGATTAGACCCCCGGCCTCCATGAGCCCCCCAGCGGGGCACGCTGAATTATCCACGATGAATTAAACAGACTGGTTTTCAACGCGCGTCGCCGACAATTTTCTCTGTCGAGTTAATCTTTTCTCGACATTCTAATATGAATGCGATTTTATTTGTGCAGAAACTTGTTCACGACATTATGGAGGAGATGTATTCTATAAATCTTAAAGGCAACGTTATAATATTACTGTCTGGAGCAGCTTCACGAGTTTCTTAAATTCACTACATGTTGCGCATTTCGTTTCAGCTTCTTCGCTGCGCCGGTATAATTTATAAACAATACCTTAAATACTTTTAAAATGCGTTTTCGGCATCATGGAAAAAAATTATCATTTTATCACCATTATCGTAATATTTGTTTATAAAATATAATTTATTAGTGTTTTTATATTATATTGATTTATACTTTATGCAAATGATAAAACAGTACCTTCTGCACCATAATATTTTAAAACAAACACAATTTTAATTTTTATCGCACACAAGTCCATCACAATAAAAAAAAATCAATTTGTATATCCAATTTGAGATGATTTTTCAATACACTCAAAACAGAATCATAAATTTTATGCAGCTTCAATTTTGATCATCTAATTGTTCTAATTAGAAATAATATTTATTATTGCGCAAAGTGAATTTGCTATAATAGCAAAAGATTAAGATTGCTGATTTCTCATTGTTGTATAAAACTTAACCAAAATCACCTGCTCCAACGACATATACAAATTAAATGGCACCATGGATTTTTTATCTTTTCAAAATGTTTGTGACTGCTGCTCCACCGTGCCCGTCCACCGCTCTAAACGCACCTTTATTGTTGTGTCGCACATACACGTTCACGACACGACGAATACAAATTGCACGTACGTACGGGATCGAGGTCAACACACCGCCGGGTCGTTCGCGATGAACGTATGTCTTTTCTCGCACGGAACACTGTTGATGGTCAACAATTCCATACTGTCAAGCATCTCGGGGGCTCCGTAGATAAACATCCATGCATAGAAAATGACTAACACTCCACTGAGGGACGTGAACTGATTTCGAGATAACGTTCACTAGAAATAAACATTAATCGTATAAGTAGAAGCCGAAGGATTTAACGCACGTATTAAGTGAAGGGGATGAAATATTTATATCTTTGTATATATATGCTACTTTTAATTTAAGGTTTTATTTTGATAATATTTAATATTAATTTATACAACCACTTATTTGAAAGACAAAGCATTTAAGTTTAAGAAAATTTTTATTGACAGTTACTCAGTTTAAAATCATAAATTCACAACAGGTAGTTTAAGGTTAGGAATAAACAAATAATTTATTTTTATTTATTTTTAATTCACACATCTGCTTACGGTGTCTATTAAACAAAACTTTAAACAACAATGCCCAAAGAGTGACAATTGGAATGTCAAAATACTGTCATAACACAAATAAATAAAAAACAGATACACACATTACACTGTTTTCTATTTCACATTCGAGATTTGTAACAATTCACACGATTTTTCTGTGAGAACAATGTGTCTATAGCTGAACAATAGTTTAATAATTCTCCACTACCACTGCAATCGAGTTTTTTACGCGAATACATTTTATGAAACTTATTAACAAAAACTTTCGCTGCCGATTACCATGATAGACGAACGCTCGGGCTGACGCGCGCAGCCATTTTCTATTTTCGTTTAGCAGTACGGTATGACTATACGGTAGAGCGTGCATAGTGGGGGAGTAGGTGGACACTTTTTGCTATTTTATAACTGACTTATATGAATCTAATACATTATACCTTATATGATGCAAAGCCAATCATTCTATTGTATCTATTTTATTTTCTAATTTCTAATTTACTTGATTAAATAATAAGGCTTAAGTATTATAAAACGTTAGTTTTAAATTCAAAGAAGAGTTTGACTAGTTTATAGTAAAGTATAATAATCTTTCATACTAAATTATAATAAATAATTCATTAAAAGTATAATAATAGTAATAAACTATCATAAATAATTTAATAAAATTTTCATACCAGATGCAATTAATTCATGCATGTAAAAGTTTATTAATTATGGTGGACTGTAAAGATGTAGTAAATACCTATAAATATATTTAAGCAAATGATTAAATATAATTTAAAAAAATGTTTTGATTTCTAAACTTTATATAATTTTTTTCTTATCTTATACTTTTAGAGAAGCTGAATTTAATTAGTAAAAGAATTTATGCTAATGCTAAGTTTATAAAAAATCATTATAGTTAGAACGAAATCGGAATCTATTCGTATACCAAAATATAGATAGATCAATTTGGATTTTGCATCAATATACAATAATGTAAAATCAAAATAGCATAATTTAAAAACTATTTTGTTTGATTGAAAGTACAATTCAAAAAAATTGAAAATATGTAAAGCTTCATGATTTGTATTATTCACTATAGTAATTTTGACTTATTTTGATATATCCCATTTAGGTTGTATTATTAGTTAATATTGAGATTTTAATAATAAAATTAATGAAATTATAATTATTTAATTATTAATTATTATTTATTTTTATTATTTAATTTAATTATTAATTATTTAAATTATCTTCATTATTTTGTAAAATAACAGCATGTAATACCCAAATTAAAGAAATAATTTCTATTTATTTAAAGTTCAAGAAAATGATTTTTCTTTCTTCGGAAATAACAATTAATGTAATTTGTATTTAGTAAAATTAACACTATCAAAATTAATATTCAAAGAAAAAAAATACTTTTAAAAATTTTACATAGATTAAAGAAAAACATTGTGTGAAATGTAACGCAATTTCTAATACTTGAATTAGTTATTAATTTAATTGCAATTATTATTTACTAATTTATTTGTAATATTCACTAAAATATCGACATTAACTCATTAACAATATGTATATTCAACATGAATTTTAAACTGTTTGAAAATAATAATGTTATTTTATTTAAAATTCTAAAAATTTAAATTAAATTATTTAAATCTGGTTATATATAATTACTATTTTGTAAATGCCACTACTTTTCTTTTTTATTGTCATCTGGCAATACTGATCGATTTTATTTTGAAAATAATTATGGGATTTCAATTAAAATTCTAAAAAATTATTATAAATATTGTATTTAACATGAATTTCAAACAAAATATGTAAAAATAAATATGATTAAAAGAGTTCAATTATATATTTTAAAATCTTATTAACTTACTAAAAATAAATTAAATATTTTGCTACAATATTCTTTTAAGTTTAAATCTGGTTATATATAATCACTATTTTGAAAATGCCGCTTCTTTTCTTTTTTGTTGTCATCTGGCAATACCAATCGATATTATTGTTTCATTTACAAAGTTTAGAAACGTCAAAATAACAAATTTTATCATGATGAATCACTACAAGGAGTTTTAATTGTTTTATGCTGAATGATATAAAATATACACTTAAATTGTTATAAACAATTGATATAGTTAATGAATGCTACTGAAAGCACAAGTTTAATGGATGCCCACGTTGACGAATCTAGACCAGAGCGAGAAAATGTGGACCGGTCTTCTAAAAGACGGAAACCTAAATCTGCCGATTATGGTGTATGTTATTAATTATTGTATTGATTGTACAAAGATTACATTTATATTATAATATTAATCGATATTTCCAAAAATCTATATAACAACATTTAGCAAATAGATAATAGATAGAAGATACAAATTGTTCAACAGAATTAGTATTCAAGTTCATTTATCTGTTCAAAATGTAAAACTAACTCAATACTAGAGCTATCTTTCTGCAAATTTTCCTGGAGTAAGATGCCACAATGAGTAATCCATTGCATTGAAAATCTTTTCTTTTAGAATCGATCATTCTGAAGCATTGTCTTCAGCATTAACTATTTTGTGGAAAAACTATAAGATATTTTTTTTTGAAAACATTATATCGCAAGTCTTATAATCTCAATAAAGCTTCTCTAACACATATTTTTTTAATTTTAGTCACATATGAAATAATAATATCATTTCAATAAAAAAATTATTTTTATCAATTAGGCAATAGGAGATGTACCAGATGTATCTATTCGAGATGCTAGACTTTCATCTCAAAATGCAAATATTGATCCAGGAGCTCCAGCACCTGGTCCTTCTGGTGATAATTGTGAGGATGAAGAAGAGTTAAAATATGGTGCAAAACATGTGATTAAACTATTTGTTCCTGTTTCTTTATGTATGCTTGTTGTCGTAGCTACAATTAGTTCTGTAAATTTTTATACAACAAAAGATATGTATTTGTAAGTATATAAAATATCTTTAATTTTTATTAAAAAAGTTATTTTTCTGAAATTGAATGAATAGTAAAAACACTTTTACTTTTGTGTTATACATGAAAATCAAATAAATAATAAATTTATTTATTTTTGTCAATTTTGTGATATTAAATGATGATATAATTGATTCTTTGATTTTGATTTAGTAATTACAAGTTTTTTTTAATTCACTATATGTTATGTATTTTAAAATTTACAGATTATATACACCATTCCATGAAAATTCACCAGAAACTGGTACTAAAATCTGGAATGCAATTGCAAACTCAATGATTTTGATGTGTGTGATTGCAGCTATGACATTTTTATTAATTATGCTATATAAACATCGATGCTACAAGGTTATACATGGCTGGCTTATACTTTCCTCTTTGATGCTATTATTCATCTTTGCTTATTTATATCTTGAGTAAGTATTTAAAATATTATATACATATATAAATTAATAATGCATTCAGTCTAATCTAAATAATTTCAATCATTTGTATAAATAATTTTTTTTTTGTAAAAGTGAAAATATATTCATCAATGGGTAAATTTGCAGAGAAGTACTTCGGGCCTACAATATTCCAATGGATTATATTACAGCGGCAATATTTATGTGGAATTTTGGAGTTACTGGTATGATAGCTATACATTGGAAGAGTCCGCTAAGACTTCAGCAGGCTTATCTTATTTTTGTGGCGGCTTTAATGGCTTTAGTTTTTATCAAATATTTGCCTGAGTGGACAACTTGGGTTATTTTAGCAGTCATTTCTATATGGGGTATTTATTTTTAATCATTAGTTATATATAAACATGCACACATATATACTCACATATAGTATTTTAATAGTTTGTTTGCTTATTTTGTTCTAATTTTGCATAAATTATTTCTTCAGATTTAGTAGCTGTATTGACACCAAAAGGACCATTGCGCATTCTGGTTGAAACAGCTCAAGAAAGAAATGAACCTATATTTCCAGCTTTGATTTATTCCTGTAAGAATTAAAGAAGTAATCATATTCATTAAAATTTGTAGTTTTGTAATACTAACTCTATTTCTTTCTTTATAGCAACGGTTATGTACAGTGTTCTAGGGACTGGAACTCCTGAGACTGCAAGACAACATTCGGCCGAAGGTATCAGTATTCCACTCGATACATTTGCCGTCAATGGTAGGGCATGATCCATTCTTTTACATAATTTGCCTATTTTCATAGAAATTAATGGGGAGTTGCTGATTTGATATAATATTCTTATTGCTATATGTACTTCATCAATTTAAAATAATGGTAATAGAGTTGAATGTAATGGTTGTTAATATATGTGATTTTAATTTTTTTTCATAAAAATGATTTATGATTATTTTTTAAATATAATAATTTGATTTAATCTCGTTCATAACATAACACATTACTTACATAAAATTAAAATATAATTAAACTATAATTATATTACAATCCAGACTTCATAATTATTGTCATTTTATATTCAAAATTAATTTTAAAAAAATCAATTTACATAACATTTCTTTCTTTACTTTCTTTCAGTTTTTAATTGTAATCATACATCATTTTATATTTTCTGTAGAAAGCAATTTGTGCTGAAGAAATTTAAATAGCACAAGTTTTTGTGGTTATTGCATTACTAATTTTATTGTCAGCAATTTTTATAGTATCATATTTTATAATCATTTATATTTATTAGCATAAGCATTAGTATAATCAAGCACCTCTCTGTTGCATGCTGGGTTTGGTGATATTTCTTTTATTTAAATTGCTTGTAATTGACAACATCACTAAAACTAGAAAAAAATTGGAAATTAGTGTAATAATATTCATGATAATTAAAGGACTTACATATACTCGCAATTGTACTTAGAGGATAAATATACTTACTAAATACAATTACATTAATTCTTCTAATATAATGAATATAAAAACTTTTTTATAAAATGTAGTAGTCGCGAAATAATAGTGCTTGTTAACATAAAAATTATTCTTGTTAATAGAAAGCATTAATTTGTTTTTGCTAATTTTAACCCACTTCATTTAATCATGAAATGAAGTAAACAAAGTCATGTAAACTAATTTTTTTGTCAATTGGAAGAATTGAAGGGTCTACAAATTGTCTGAAATATAAATTATTTTAACCAAATTAATTTAACATAACATATTTTTAGGTGATGAAGCTGGATTTAACAGAGATTGGGTACTTAATCATGAAGAAAATGCCAGGAGGAGGCAATTAGAAGTGGTGCAAAGGGGTACAGCTGGACATGTAACGCAAGCATCCTCTGCTGGGCCTAACGAAGCTCCAGTTTTGCAACAGCCACCACCTATCAGAAGGCAAATGGAGGATGAAGAAGAACGTATGTTAAATCAAGATTTGTTTATTTATTTTATTTTACAGTTTGCTACTCCCATAATGTAATGCAAGCTTTATTACCATTGAATCAACTTTCTTAATTTTTAAATATTATTTTTATCTGCTAGTTTTATTTGAAATTGGTTGGTATAATAGTTGACTCCTATTTTATTTTTATATTATTTAAAGATGAGTAATCATTTATCCATTTCATTTGAATACAAATAAAATTATTATACTGTATCTTGTTGATCAACAAATATATATTTTCTTTTGATGATTTTCAATTTGATAGGTGGTGTCAAACTTGGATTGGGAGATTTTATATTTTACAGTGTGCTTGTAGGTAAAGCGTCTTCATATGGAGACTGGAATACGACATTAGCTTGTTTCGTTGCAATATTAATTGTAAGTTATATTTAAAGCAATATTGTTTGTATTAATGTAAAACTAAATTTTATTTATTTTTAGGGACTGTGCTTGACTTTGCTACTTTTGGCAATTTTTAAGAAAGCTTTGCCAGCATTGCCTATTTCTATTACTTTTGGATTAATATTTTGTTTTGCAACAAGAATTATTGTTCAACCATTTGCAGACAGCCTAGCAAGTGAACAAGTATTCATATAATAAATATTTAGCTCAACTATATTCATGCTTGCATTTACCTTTTTTTATTTAATTGGCTAATGCCAAAATTTCAATCGACTTCCAAAATAATATTATTATTGTTAATATGCTAACATAATTATGTATTTTTGTAAAATGGTAGTCATTTTTAATCAATTTGTATGAATGACATTAATTTAGTATTATTTATTGTAATAAAGAACAAATTTTTACAATTACTTTTTATTCAGATATTTACGTTCAGCGAATATTAATATTAATAACATTATCTCTGTTATGCCCATTATCTTCTATTAAATCTTATGCATTTTTAATAAAATGATATGATTGAAGGCTACAACATGATGTTTGAAAAGGTCACGACATTTTCATTGAATCACTGCCCCTATAATAAAATTGAAAAGGATTGATGATTGAGAAATGTCTTCAAACAACAATATGGTTTTTAACAAAATTTTTGTGATATCAGGATTAGTTCTCAATATTTCAATATTGGGCTGTGGTAACAATTAAAATAGTTTTTAATGTTAATAACTTATTGTTATTAAAAATGTATTTAATATAATAAAACTCATTTACTAAGAGGAACATTTCAAACCAATTTTACGAATGGTGTTGATGCTTTTATTTCTAGAATCTCGAAAAAATTATGGTGAAAATTTAATACTAAAAGGATCAGCTCCGCATTTTACAATATCGCATGATATTGGTGAAGCTTTGGGCATCATATGTAATGCTCTTCCTCTTAGCAGTGTGGCTGTATTGATACAACAAGATAACTATAGTTCACCTGGATTACAACAGGATAGGGCATCAGATTTATTGCAATCTATGCAAAAATATGGTGTTCAGTTGAGATTGTTTTACGATCCAGAAAAGGTAAATAAAATATATGACTAATGTTTCAAGATCCTTAGATCCTTTTGCTAATAATCTCATTATTTTGTAATCTAATAATGGCAATATTGAACTAGATGAATTTTATACCTAGGCAAAGTTTCATTTATATTGTACAAAACTCCTCAATATAGTCACATAAGTACTTGTATGTAATCAAAACAGGTTGAAAACTGAAACAATGAAAGTATGAAATTTTGTAAGTTAAGACCATACACTTGAGTGTATTTGAAACATATTTTTAAAAAACTTTTTTTTATTGGGAATCTTCTATAAAGGATAAACTTCTATAATTGGAGTAAACTTGCTAACGATAGACAGAGGAGAGTAATGTTTTCGCCACAAAATTCGATTTGCTAATTTTATATTTACACAACATTTCAAGTTTAAAATTCACAATCAAATTTTTATGATGATGATCATGATAAAAAATCTATATGCTACTTTCAATATATTTATAAAAAATATTGATTGTAGTTGTTGCAGTTCTTAAAATCTCAATTGGAGGTGTATCAAGAAACAAATACTTTAATTGTTGGACGTTATGACCCATTAGATTTTTTAATACAGGTAAACAAAATTTCATCATTTTTATTGAAATCTATCAACATATGATACAACTATTATATTTTATTTTTAAGCTGAATGAAGATGGATTAGCACACAGATTATTACTTTTTCTATTTCACTGGGGAAGTCATGATATACCAACACATTTTCATAAATATTTAAAAGAACCGTTTCGAGCAGTTATCATAATAGAAACACTAAAACGAGTGTATGTATAAATCAAGATAACATTATCATACAGCACTCAATGTCAATATGCAAAATTAATGTTATTTTTTTAATATGTACTCATATTTTTATTTAAATAATTTTTTTTAATTTATTTAACGCCATACAGTTAATTTATAAATTACATTAGTAATGTAACACAATATCTATCTGTTATATTACTACGACTACGGATATTGTGTCCGGATATAGCATCTAATCTTGGTTATCTTCTTTTAACGGAAAGAAATTTAAATTTTGATAAAAATGTTATTCATGCATTCAACAATATTTTATGTTTTTTATTTGGTGTTATCGTATGATTGTAATAATTATTGTAGTCAGAAACGTGTTAGAATTGCACTCGGAATTTTATAATATTTTGTCCAAATAATAAATAAGTATGTGTATTGGTATATTCAATTATACATTTATTTTCAATCTAAAAAAATATACTTATTTTTGCTCATTGGGTATTATTTATTTAATTTTGCGGTTAATTTTCTATTATTTAGTTTTTATCATAGTCGCGCGGATATTGTCAATTCAGATAGTTCAATTTTCTGAATTGTGTGAAGTATTTAATTTAATATTTTATAAATTATAATGTCTTCAAGTCTTTTCGAAAAACTTGTTATACCAATTTTCCCGTTTTAGCTTCTCGTATGGTTAGTTATTGTAATCGTTATGGTAAGTTATTGTAATCGTCCAAAAGTTATTGTTTCGTCCACGTGTTTTATTTTATTTTCTTAATTTAAGTAGAAACAATTATTATACATTTTTGTCTAAATTTATTCGTTCTCAAGCAACGTTTTGAAGAAACAAAATTGTACGACTCTATATGTTGAAGCCCTAGTTTATGATTTCATATAATAAATTCAAAATTATTGTATTATTAAGTCATTATTTTAAATTATTTTTATATATGCTAAATCAGGTACAGAGTTTATTATAACCAGGCAACACCGCTAGGACATGGCCATTTACGTCTGGTCAATTGGTATCGTCCTAAGGACTTGACATTGTATAGAGCTCCTTTGCTGCCACCGTTAAATGAAGTTTATAAGAAATTGAAAGGACGAGTATTCTACATCCCTGTCGTACACGTGAGTTTATAAATATGATTATAATAATTAGGTTACATATGTTACCTTTAATTGTTTAATTTACTTTTAATTGTTTAATTCTTACCTTTAGTAATTTTTTAGTATTTTTTTTTCAAATAATTATTATACAAATCAACAAACTTAAGTCAATATCAATTGATATTGACTTAAGTTTGTTGATTTGTATAATTAATCACAACAATATCAATTAATTGATATTGTTAGAATAAAACAGGAAAAAAAGTAATGCTTTTAAAATATTTGCGCATATTCATAAAACATGAAATCATAATTTCGAAAAAATTTATTTTGCACCATTCAGATATCTTCAATTTTTTACGAGAACCATTATCCGCCTTAAAAGCAAATTCTTTTGTTTGAATGTTGGATAAGTTACCAGTTGACATTAAATTTTTTTGAATAAATATCATCATAGTTTAGTCATTTAAGCTTAAATTAGGTGTTGTCTCAAAACCTACATATATGTATTGTATATGTATATGTTATTGATACCCTACCATATGTAGATTTTGAGACAACTTTAGGGTGTCAATATAAAAGTATTTACAGACTTACAGCTGAATTCTGAGGTGAACTTTACTATTATGACTGGATTATCAGAGAATAAAGATTTATAAAATTAATCGACCAACTATGTAAAGTCAATCAAGATAATAAGAAAACTCATTTAATTTTGGTCACTTTATTTAATGAATTTAATAATTGTAATAAAATTTACAAAAATATACATTTTTTTAAAAAAAAGTTCAAAATTTTAAAAATTGTAAAGTTTCCTAGTTGAAGTAAATATACTTTTATACTTTTATTTTCAATTCAGTTTCAAAATGTTTACATAATAATTATGATATCCTACTCGGGATACTTTCGAGGACCTTATCTCATATTTCTTGTTATGATTATAATAATCGTGGGGTGTTGGGATGATGAGTAGGATGCATTCCGATTAGGTTTGATTATAATTTTTTAAATTCCCGAAATTTTATGTTTTCTCGACGTTTCAAGCCATTATGTATCGAATGAGACCAAATTTGGAAAAAGTATGTGTGTGTGCGTGTATGCGAACAGATTTTTTACCGCAAATCAACGGTTTTCAAAAACGGTTCACCGATTTCAAAAATTTATGTCATTTGATGCATCTCGATGAGGACTAGCGGTTATCAGTTATGTGCGAAGATCGGCCGAACCGTTTCTTTGCAAATAGCAGAAAAGTGAAAATTTTTTTGTTCACGTTTTAGCCCGCAATTCTGAATCGATTTTGAAAATTCAAAAACCGATCGAAAGATACCGGTTGCAAATCGTGCTGATTAGTAGTTGTTTCTTGAAAACATATATATACAAATAATCGCCCAAATATGAGCACTTATTATGAGTTTAAATCAATAAAATACGAGCGATGGAGATTACAGTATTTAAACAATTACTTTGAAACTATTCTTATTAATCAAAATCAATTTTTGTTGTTTATTGATTATGTTTATTTCTCGAATGTTTAATTAGAGTATGGGAAGTTCCTGCAATTTGTCTTAAAAGGCATAATGCTATGCATCACTATTATTTTTATCTCTGCATTTTCAGTCTCCTCCCTGGCACTTTGTCTCATATGCCAACATAACTGACAATACAACAACACTGGAAGTCATAGGAGGGCGTGACGACACCCTGCTGAGAATACTAGCAGACAAGCTACATTTTCAATATGAATATGTTGATCCACCAGAAAGGATTCAAGGATCCTCTTCTACTGACGGAAATTTCACCTATAACGGCGCAATTGGACTTCTGCAACGTCGGGTAAAAATACCAGATATATTCAAATTAAAGATTTAAAATGATATGCTTATTTATGACTACAAGTCACAAAAATAACTTTTGTAATAATATGTATGACAAAAATAGAATAGAGTTTTGAATTGATAAGCACATGTGCAGTTCGACTTCCTGATTTAAGATTACAAAATTCAACTTTTTATTTTGAATTTAAAAACAATTTTTGCGAAATGCTTCTATTTTTTAATTGAATGGTGTTTGAAGTTTACCTAATTGAAATTGCCGTTTAACTTAAAAGATTATAAGAAATAGAAAGCGAGAAGCAACTAGTAAAAACGATCAATTTGGTATTGGTTTGTCTTAAAGTTACAACTGATATACATAGTGTTGATATGATTTTGGAATATTGTTATGGAAAGAGAGTTATGGCATTGTTATGCAAAATCGGTCCATCCTCGTTTTTACATAATTTATACGTAATTTTAAAAGACTCTTCGAAAAACTTATACCAATTTTCCCTTTTTAACTTTCCGTAAGGTAAGTTATTGTAATCGTCCAAAAATCGAAATTAATTTTTTTTGCGTATCTTCACGTTTTGAAGGTTTCTGAACATTTTGGTATACCTTAGAAAAAATGGATGTGTGTGTATGTATGCATGCACGGATACTATTTTTCGTCCACGTTTTCGGCCGCACGGATCAACCGATTTGAATGGTTCGAGATGTGCTGATTAGTTTTTGGCAAAAGTCGGCCCAGCCGCTTTCGAGCTTATGTTTGTAGGAGCAAAGAGCTAATATAATCCTAATCCAAAAATAATAATCTAATCCAAAAACATTTAATTTATAATAATGAAAATAAGTGCTGATTAGTTTTTGGCAAAAGCAGGTCCACCGTTTTAGAAACACGAAGCTAAATGTGCAAAAACTTGCAGTTTTTGGGAAATAAGCATCCGATTTGAATGATTTAAAAATCTTTCTGTTTATATTGACAAAACGATTGTTTTTGGATAAACTTGCAGTGTTTGAGAGAAATAAGCATCCGATTTGAATGATTTGAAAAACTTTCTATTTATGTTGACGAAACGATTGTTTTTGAAAAAAAAATTTTTTGTTTCGATTTTTTTTTTAATTTCCTAAAAAAATTTTTTTTGAGTATCGAAAATAATTTGGATTTTCAAAATTTTAATTTGATGCGAGAAGTTTGCTTCAAGACACGATGCCATACACCACTAGTCAATATTCTAATTAAAAATTATTTCAAACAATTTAACTGCCAGAAAATACAAAATTGAAACTTATTTTTAAAGTCCTATAAAAAATTATTTAACATTATACTTTTTATAAATAATAAATATGTGATGCTTAGTCCATTTCGAAAAAGTTACGTAAATTTTTTTTTATATCTCTTACGGTAACAACAAAAAGTGAGTTTAGCATATTTTTTAAAGGTATTTTGACCAAAATTTTTAATGCCATAAGACCATAATTTTTTTGCGAATATTCTTTTTATATTTTGATTTAGGAAGCCGATTTGTACTTAGGAGATGTAGGAGTAACTTGGGAAAGAGCTAAAGTAGTCGATTTTTCATTTTTTACACTAGCTGATAGTGGTGCTTTTGTCACCCATAGCCCTCATAGACTGAGTGATACTTTGGTCCTTCTTAGACCCTTTCGGATGGAGGTAAAATTAAAATATGATATCTTGAAGGCTATTATTTAGAGTTACCTACGACAGAATACTTATCGTTGGATTTTATTCTGCAGGTGTGGCCTCCTTTAGCCATAACAGTTGCTCTATCTGGACCAGCTTTATTTGCTGTTATAGCGGCGCCTTTGATTTTACGGAAGAGACCGCGTCCACCAGATCTAATGATGCGATGCATTTGGTTCAGTGCAACAATTTTTCTTCGACAAAGTTGTAAAAATCTTATGCAATTACAAATAATGCATTCAATAAAATTGAAATATTTACAGCTTCGAATGAATTGGATAATGGAACCAGAACTCGAATGTTGTCTCTGGTACTTTGGTTGTCAGCTACCTATGTTTTAGGCGACGTGTATTCAGCACAGTTGACTTCTCAATTAGCAAGACCAGCTACAGAAGTTCCGATAAACACTTTAGTTAGGTTGGAACGAGCTGTTGTTGAACGTGGATATCACATCTATGCAGAAAAAGAGAGTGTGGCGCTTGGTGTTTTGCAAGTATAACACACCATTTTGTAAATATTTTATTTTATGTAAAATTTAATTTTTCACATCAAATACCATTAATCTGTGCGACATTTTTTTTTTCTAGTACTAGTACAACTAACTACGCATTTTTTTTAGTTTCAATGCGTTTTATATCTATATTAGTATTATAGTAACGTTTTATATCTATTTTTGCTAAATTTTTAAATGATTCTAGAATGGCACTGGTGTATTCCACAAACTTTATGAATACATGATACGCCAGCCAGAACATTTAGTCGATTCTGTAGAAGATGGCGTGTTAGGAGTTGTGCAAGGAACTAATGTTGTTATGGGGGGAAGAGAAACTTTATATTTCAATATAAGGAAATTTGGTTAATAAATAATATAATTTTTAAAATAATAATAACAAAAATGACATTTATCTAAAATACAAACGTAAACTTTAAAATGTGCTCCTGGTTTTAGGCCCTCAAGATTTTCAACTTAGTGAAAAACTTTACACACGCTATTCAGCAGTCGCGGTGCAGCAGGGTAGTCCATATTTAGAAAGTTTGAATATAGCGTAAGTTCTTTGATAAGATGATCATTGATAAAATTCGATCATAGATTTCTCAGGAACTTCCATCTTTATTTTTTATTTAAAAGAAAAAATAATTTCGCCTTTTTATTTGGTTTATTTAAAACAATACACAAATATATAAAAAGAACGTATTTTTGAGATACTGTTGTACATGAAAGTTCACTTGAAATTATTCCACTAGCCTTAATTACAACAAAACTCGTTCTTCACAGTTTAATGCGATTGTTCGAAGCTGGAATATTAGAAAAAATAACCAGTTTAGAATACGAACGTATGTTTAACGTTCATGAACACGCGGCTGCAGAAGAAGCGATTGAAGACTCTGGAAATGAACCTGCAGCAGGTAAACCAGCAAGTGGAAGCTCTGCTCCGGCTGACGACGACACCAATGCCGGAAAGGGAAAGCCCAATGCTGGCGGTTCCAGTGAACACAAGGCTTTACAAGCAATCAGCTTAAGAATGGTACAAGGAGCATTTCTAGTTCTCGCTTGCGGTTATGCAGCAGCCGGTATTAAAATGATCATTTTCGAAATATTTTAAATTAATATGAGTAACCAACTCATATATAATTTTTATATATTTTAGGATTTGTTTTATTCGGTGAAATTCATCATTTTAAGAAAAAATTAAAAGAGAAAAAGTTTTTATTTAAATGCAACAAATTTAAATCGAGCAAACAAAAATTGAAAAAAAGTTTGAAAGATAACAGTGTTAAGATATATAAAAGATCAGTTAAAGAATTTCATAAGCTTTTAGAATAATTACTCACAAAAGCAGCATAAACCAGTTATAATATTTATAGAGATCTACTTAGCGCAGCAACAGCAGATGTAATCATGATTGCATATAAATAAACTGCAGTTTATTTATTAAATAATAAAATTATATTCAATAATATATCTATGGTATTTTGTTGATCAGTTGATCAGTTTTACAGTTTCGTATTATCAGTTTTATTATTTTGTTCGCAGTTATTTCATTAACTTCTCGAATGAGACCCAATTTGGGGTCCAAAAAGTATGTGTGTGTGTATGTGAACAGATTTTTTGCCGTAAATCGACGTTTTCTCGAAAACGACTGGACTGATTTCAAAAATTTAAATGCCATTCGATGTATCTTGATGAGGACTATTGTTTGTCAGTTCTGTGCGACGATCGGCTGTTTCGAAGTAAGTGAAAAATTTTTCGTTCACGTTTTAGTCCGCTATTCTGGACCCATTTTGAAAATTCAAAAACCGTTCGAAAGATATTGGTTGGAAATCGACCTGATTAGTTTTTGGTAAAGGTCGGATCGGTCGTTTTCTTGTAATAAAGTGTTAAAAAAAATTTGCATATGTTGACGTTTTCGAGGTTTTAAAACATTTTGGCATAATGTAGAAAAGATGGATGGATGGAATGTAGGAAAGGTGTATGAATCGCACGAATCAACCGACTTGAATGATTCAAATTAGTAATATGCTGATTAGTTTTTTGCAAAGATAAATCCCGCCGTTTTGTAGATACTGGACAAAAAGTGCAGAAAATTGGAGTTCAGTTTTAGCGAGAAAATACACAAAATGTGTACATATTATTAAAATCTCTATAAAATATCTGATAATTTGATGTACATATGTCCAATAAACATTTTTGATCGCCAAATGACATTTTTAACTTCCCATAGGGTAAGTTGAATGTAATCGTTCAAAAATCGTGTGTGTATGTGTGTGTGTATGTATGGATACATATTTTCGTTCAAGTTTCGGGCGCACGGATCAACCGAATTGAATGGTTCAAAAAACATACGATTCCTATTGATAAGGAAATGTGCTGATTAGTTTTTGGCAAAGGCAGGTCCAGCCGTTTCGGAGATACGGAGCAAAGAGCGCAGAAAATAGAATTTGAATTTTTGAGAGAACGAAGCATCCTTTTTGAATGATCCAAAAATTATTCAAGTCGTAATGACGAAAGAGAAATGGTTATTAGTTTTTGGCAAAGGCAGGCCCAGCCGTTTCGGAGATACCGAGATAAATGCGCAAAAAATGGCAGTTTTTGAGAGAACTAAGCATCTGATTTGAATGATTCAAAAAACTTTCTGCTTGTGTTGATGAAACAAATGATTTTGGGATTATTTTTTATTTCCATATATTTTTTTTTGAATTTTAAAAATAATTCGAATTTTATTTTTTTGTAGCTCAATTATATACTTTAAATAAATAATTTTAACTTTGCACTTTGCACAGTTTATATATATCAATAAATAAATATGTCAATAAATCAATGTCTATAATATATAATAATCTATTTTAAAACATTTAATATTCCTCGAATTTTTCATTACCTTACGGAAAGTTCCAGCAATTTGCCTTAAGGCACGATGCCATACACCACTAGTTTTAACTTATTTTTATTGAGAGTCTCTAACCGCTGGACCTGCCTTCCCAAAAATTTGATCAGTTCTTCATCTTGTCAATACAAGTAAAATGTTTTTTGAATTATTAAAATCGGACGCTCCGTTCTCTTAAAAACTAAGTTACCGTTTTTGGCACTTTTTGCTCCCTATCTTCGGAACGGCTGGACCAGCCTATACCAAAAATTAATCAGCACGTCTCCTTATCAATACGAATCGAATGTTTTTTGAATTATTCAAATCGGTTGATCGGTGTTCCCGAAATCGTCGACGAAAATTTGTATCCGCGCACGCACACACATAATCTCACAACACGCATACATCTATTTTACATTTCTATGAGTTCCGTATCAGTTATAGTGTTTAACCGTTGAAGCAACTTACGTGCTGCTATATTTTGTCTCTAAAACAGCCACACAATCACTTTGAAAAAATTCAAAAAAGATTCTCAAAATGTCAATTTTTTACAAAAAAAATGTTACGAAAAGTTTCAGCAATTTGTTGAAGGTAGCACCGCTAGCTAGTTTTAACATAGTCTGAAAATAAATACATTGATGTAATTATTACTATTATACATATGATAAGATGAGAGTCGGGTTGATTAGCTTTGCGAGATGATCGACTGAGCTATTTTACCAGAATTCGAAATACAATCGTGCTGACTAATTTTTTTGATGATGATAGAGTTGATGATCTTAACCATAGATAAACTAGTAGTATATGGCATCGTGCCTTAAGGCAAATTGCTGGTACTTCCCGTACCAAAAATTATTTTTTTTTAAAAAAAGATTAAATTTGTTTTAAACTTTGAAAAATTTGTTTTTTGAGAAATTTTAAATTTTTGAAACAATGATTTTTTTGAAAAAAAACTTAAAAAAAAATTTTTTTTTTTTTATTTTGAAATATTTTGGAAATTTTGAACTTTTTTTTCAAAGCAATGCTGCATAAACATGCAATATCTAAGCGCGTACGCGCCGCTTGATACACATTATTAAAATCTCCATAAAATATCTTATAATTTGTGTGCGTATGTCTAATGATCATTTTTGACCTCAAAATGGTATTTTGTTTACTTTTTTTACTAGATCTCCGAAACCGCTAGACCTGCCTTCCCAAAATCAGTTCCTCATCTTGCCAATACAAGTAAAATGTTTTTTGAAATATTAAAATCGGGCGCTACGTTCTCTTAAGAGTTACCGTTTTTGGCACTTTTTGCCCCGTATCTTCGAAACGGCTAGACCTGCCTGTCCCAAAAATTAATCAGCACGTATCCTCAATAATAGGATTCGATTGTTTTTTTGAATAATTGAAATCGGTTGAATCGTGTTCCCGAAATAGTCGACGAAAATTTGTATCCGCACACACACACATACATCCATTTTTTCTAAGGTATGCCAAAATGTTTAAAAACTCCTGAAACGTAAAGATATATAAAAAATTTAATTTCGATTTTTTTGCGATTACTATAACTTGTCATACGGGAAGTTAATAAGCATAATTCCCATGGTCTTAACAAACCTAAAATACCTTTCCACTCGGCGGCATCCGAGTGAAAAGGGTTAATCATAAAAACTCAACGAAGTCGTCAGTGATATGCCGTGTTAAAATTTCGAACTTCTATCGTGACAATTTGAAAAGTTGAAATATCTCAATTTCTCTCATTTTAGTCAATTTTTTAGACATATCGGGAAGTGTTTGCAACTTGCCTCAAGGCAAAATGCCCCTTACAACTAGAAAACCTCTGATTCAATTATTGATTTTTAAAAAATAACTGCTCATAATAATTGTTGTGAGTTTCCAGTCCGCACCGTCTTTCGCTCATCTATGGCATCACCCCTTGTGGCCCTGTGCTGACAACTGATCGCAGAATATATTTTCATCGAGTGACAACCGCCAGTTAAATGAAAATTTCGTTTTTTACCACTGACAATTATGTTAGGAGCAACAAAACTTAATGAATGACAATAATAATAGAAACATTTATTTTTAAATAATCGTTTTAATGGATATATATTTAGTTTTAAATTCGATGTGTGGTTAAAATGTGTGATGTTTGTTCTGATTTTCTTCAGCTTCTTGTATCTTGTGAGTTAATTGTTGAAAATTTTGCACAATTCTTTGTTTTGACATCATTAATGAAAAATTGTATATCTTAAGTATACTAATAACATAGATTATATATTTGTCTCATACAATTTTGACAATTTTTAGGTGAATCTAAAGCTAATAATGATGAGATTGAAAATACATTACTTAAAAAAAATGAAGTTGATATCGCTCTATTATACATACAGACGTGGCCCCAAAGGTTCTTATTTTACATTTTATTAAATTATATTTAATCATATGTTTAAAATGATCAAATAAACATTAATAGCTTGTGATGTTTATGGCAAGTTGATTGTTTTAACAATGCTAAATGCTGTGTTTATTTTGTAAATTTTTAATACTTTTATTGATAAATGATGTAGATTGCAAATACCAATATATCAATTTACCAAGTGTATCTTATCATAATATACAAAAATGTATTTTTACAAAGTTTTTTTTACATTTCAGGCAGTGTATGTGTTGTTACCGAGATGTTAAAAATTTTGATAGGTTCAATATTATAGTACAAAATATAATATGTTTGACAATATGTCAACTAAAATTAATAGAAGCACCATTGCAGAAACATATTTTAGGACAGGTAAATATTGATCAAAATTTTTTTTTAAATTGTAATATCAGCATTAATTATAATATTTATAAGGATTTTTTATAGTTTATAACATCATTCTACAACATTTTATGGATACAAAATTATATTACTATTTGACAAAAGTGTATTATTATTTATGTTTTGCTAGATGAATATTAAACTTTTTTGTACTTTATATTTTCTCCGGATTATTTTGGTAGCACAAATTTCATTTATTCGTAAGCAAAAGCATTCAATATCAAATATATAAATGAACATGAATGTTTAATCTATGTTAATATGTTATTAATATATTTTTATTAAAACAATCTAATTTATTTTAATTATTTTGAATTGCAATGAATTTAGCTTTGGGTAATATAATCTTTGTATATCTAAAATGTGATATGTTTAAATAGTTTATAATAGAGAGGAATTATTTTACAGGAGCCAGAATCAAAATCTACTTTAGAAGAAATAGAAGATACTGAAAATTGGACGCTTGGAGAAATTGAGAAACTGCTTTTATTACTATCAAAAATATTTCTTTTAAACTTTCCTCTTTATATTGCATACAAACATGGAGTGCATTCAAGATTGGATGATTTATCTCCACAAGAAATTTCTCTTTTAAATAATTACTGTGATCTTCATGACAATGAGATACCATTATTTCTTCTGCGAAATGTAGCAATGTTTTGTAAAAATGGTGGAATAGGTGCAATAGCTGCATGCTTTGATTTACCTGATTTGCCTGTTAGCACAGCACACGCTTTAACGGCAGCATTATGTAACTTGAAGTTATGGTTAAATTATCATTCTATTTTACAATTATTTGTTCCTATTAGAAATAAAGTTTTAAAATATATGTGTCGGTTGTCCGATCAGGATTTGAGGTCGCCGACTACAAGAACAATGGCCGGTTAGTATAAACATTTATATCTTTTTTATTTTTATGCTAGTTAAAATTGTATTATTATATGTGCTCATAAGTTATGAGAATTAATAACTTATTAGAACTTTTGACTTTCTCTACTGAAATATGTAAATTGAATTGATTGTTTGCAATTATTTGTAGTTTTATTCTATGACTTTTACTTCAATTAAGGTAAAAAGTATGTTTTGATCTAATTATTTCATTTATTTATCATAGAGATTTTTTTTGCAGAATTTATGTGGAGTGCTGTTAAAGATCCATTGGATGCGAGGTTGGCATTTGACCGAGAAGGTTTAGAACTGGCTTTTAAATATTTTACAAGTAGCACTCTTACAATGAGACTTGGTGGTGTAGCTCAGATAAATGCTCATATCAATATGTTTAATGAAATTTGTGCTACTGAAACAGTAGCGGAGGCAGAAAATGTTGGAAGACGTTTATCAGATTGGCTGACAGAAAATAATATTATAGAATGCATATTTGGACCAAATCTTCATGCTGAGGTAATGATATATAAAATTCATAAATGTCGATCTTAAATAAACTAATATTACTTTTTTATTGAATATTTTTTCAAATTTGAATTTTATTTATTACTAGATATTGCATTTATATTTATTAAAACTTAAATGGTAATTATATTGCATTCAACTTTATTGTTAATGAAATGTTTTCGGAATCTCCGCAATTTGTTTCAATGAAATGAAAAATGAGAACATAATTTATATAAATTTGAGAACTTGAGATACTACTGTCACTTTTATCAAAATTTTTTCTTTTAAACTGTTCTCTTTATGTTGAATGAACAGCTGCATTTTGTGAAATTTATTATAAACTTTTCTTCTTACATTTAGGTTGTGAAACAAAGTCATATAATTTTAAACTTTCTTGCTGTGGAAGGAAAAATATCTGAACAACATATGGATTTGATATGGCAAGCAGCTCAATCAAAACATTGCAGTAAACCAGTTCATGATTTATTACCGTCACTTGTCAAAAACTTGGCTGCTGCGCCGGCTCTTCATCTTTATTCTCTCCTCTGTAGATTGGATGTGTCAGAGCACACAGAACAGGTAGGAATATAAAATAAAGGAATACTATTATTGAGTTATAAATTAAAAATATTTCAATATTTAAAAATTAGAATGATAGATATCATTTAAACTTGGGCATAGGAGTTCAGAATCTTCAAAATGTATTTTTTTTACAATGAAAACAAAGTCTTAGCTCAACACTATAATATTGATTTGTATTATATTTATTCATAATCAGTCATACATATTTTAATTTTTTTTAGTTTCTTTTATTATTGAAAATTACATCTTTGTCTTTTTTTTTATTGTGGTGATTTTTTTAATATCTAAAACATTTTTTTTTTTTTTTTTGTTACAATTTATTTTTGTTAATCAAGACTTTAATGTCTTATTTATATCTAAAACATGTTAATATATATTTAATATCATTAATTTATGGTGAATTAAATTTGCAAACAACTTTACAGAGTTTATATATAGCTTCTGCACTTATAAAGTTCATCTGGTCACGAGGAGGAAATAGTTTGCATCAGGATTATTTATCAGTTACTGGTCATAATCAAGAAGCGCAATGCCCATCATCAAGTGAAAATAGTGTCAGTGTGGAAGCTTCAAATTCAGAAGAGGAGCCAGGTAGAATAGATGCGCTATTAATTTTGCAAAATTATTTATAGAAATATTATAAGGGATTACAAATGTATGAAATCATTGAAGTAGAATTGTTGTAGAATTTTATTTTAATTTAATTACAAAATTTCTGAAGTAAAAGGTTTGTTTTTTACAAATAAAATCTGCATTGGAAATGTTTTTTTGCTTATAATTAAAAAGTCTAGATTTTTTAGTAGTAATAACACAACTTAAAAAAGTGTTTCGATTTTAGGAGTAGATGTTGCATTGATGGCAGCTGATGCAAGTCCTACAGCTGATGATGAAGAAGAAGATGACGATGAAGAAGATGATGATGAAGATGACGATGATGATGAGGAAGACCTGGAACACAAAAAAGACTTGGATACTAGTGATGGTAAATATTCATATATATATATATATATATATATATATATATATATATATATACAGTGGCGGCGCTAGATCATTCGTGGGCGTCGGCGAAATTCGTTTGCGAGGCCCCCCTTTTTTGCCAGTTGCAAGTTGACTAGTGGTACATGGCATCGTGCCTAAAGGCAAATTGCTGAAACTTTTCGTGCCGTAATTTAAATTTTTGAAAAGCTTTTAAAAAATTTGAAAAGTGAAAGAAATTGACTTTTTTTAATTTGAAATATTTTGTTGAAAATTTCGAACTTTTTTTCAAAGCAATCACGTTGCGTTAGCTGCTTAGAGACGAAATATCGAAGTGCGTAAACGGCGCGTTGCAGTCTAACAACTCACTATTAATTAAAATCTTTATAAAATATCTGATAATTTGATGTGCATATGCCAAATGCCTAGACCTAGATTTCCAAAACCGCTAGACCTGCCTTCCTAAAATTGTAATCAGGGTGGCACTTTTTGCCCCGTATATTCGAAACGGCTTATCCTGCCTTTGTCAAAAACTAATCAGCACGTCTTCTTACCTTCAATACATGACAAATGTTTTCTGAATTTTTCAAATTGGTTGATCCATGTTCGCGAAATCGTCGACGAAAATTTGCCAAAATGTTCAGAAATCTTTGAAGATATATAAAAATTTTTGTTTTAGATTTTTTTGATATGAGATTTATTTTTAATCAGATAAATACACCAATTGAAATAGACATTACACAAGTTAAAATAAACAAACTCTTCGGCAAAAATGGTTTGTTCTCCAGCTATTAAAAAGCACTAAAATTAAATAATTATCGCAAAAAAGTTTCCCTTTGCCCAACCATTTGATTAGTAAATTTTATGTTTTTTCGATCATTATGAATAAAAAATGGTTGGAAATCACCGACTTAATAACTAATTAGACAAAATTTTGCAATCTGCAAGTGGTTAATTAGATTTAAAAAATCTATGTTCATACTAATTTGAGTGCACAAATCCGCACATCACATAGTAGGTACACATGGTCTAAAAGCTCGTCCCATTATTCTAAAATTTAATAAGTTTTTGTAATTAATCATTTATCGTAGTTCCATAAAATTTATGTTAGATGAAACTAACAAGTTTTTGAAAAAAGATTTTTACAATAAATTACGAAGAAACTGTGCGGTCGAACTTGACGAAAAACAATTCAGGACGATCGCCAACTGAAAACTTTCGATCCGTTTTTGAATTTTTAAAATTGGTTCAAAAATGTCAAAATGTCGTTTTTTTTAAGACGCTTTAATTTTTTGTCGACGACATCAGAGCCGATCAACCGATTTAAAGGATTTAAAAAACATTCGATTTGTGTTGATAAATTGTCAAAGGCAGGTTTAGCGGTTTTGGAGATACAAAAAAAGTTTAAAGGGTTATCAATTTTATTTGAAAGAACTGATCATTCCAATAGAATGTTTAAAAAAATATATTGCTTGTGTTGACGGTGTGAAACAATGATTAGTTTCAAATTAACAGATTTTGCTATTATCTCATTGTTATTTTTCACTGATAAATTTTTATTGAACATTGATTACTTTTATTCCTCGAATATTTAATTACTGTTTCGATGATTTACATAGTGCTCCCATAAGAAATACACAAATATAAACAACCAGAGAATTAGCTTGCGCAAAGTTGTTTAGATTTAATAATCTATAGTGTTGACAGACGATATTAGATAATGTCCATAAAAGATAAAAGAGTAAAATGATAGTGCCTGTAAACCACTAATCACCTTTTTTACTCGCACATCCGTATGAAAATTAACTAAATTTTAAATAATTAAAATTTTTCCGGGGCCTCTTGCGAGGCCCCCCCAGGCGCGAGGCCGTCGGCGGCCGCCGACACCGCCGACGCCTCGCGCCGCTACTGTATATATATATATATATATATATATATATATATGTATATGTATATGTCGCCCTACGAGCGACTCGTCATACGTGTTCTTCGAGATACGAGCCGCGAAAGACGCGGATGTTTGCGTTTTTTATACGAGCAAAATTCGAGCCGCCAAAGGAGTGATGCCGCTTGTATCACAAAACGACAAATCGCTCCTAGCGTATTCGAGATCTTGCGAGTGAGAGGCGTAACGTAAACTTACAGGAGTGCAAATGAAACAGATTAATTCAGTATCATTTTTAACAAGGATTTTAGTATGTGAAGTCGCATACAAATATTTAAAGTCAATTATTTATAGTTAAACATTTTAATTAACTGATATTAATTTACCATCATTTTTGTTCGTTATATACAATAAGAGATTATTTATGTTCATAGTGAATGTAAGTGATTTTTGTGCTTTTATGCTTCTTATACCAGTAAAAATATTTACGTTTATAATCATGGTTCTAAACAAATGAGCCATATCTCTTGAATTAAAGTGTCAAATCATTGAAAAGTATGACCAAAGTGTGCAAGTAGTGGATTTGACGAGGATGTTCTTTTATGGAACTGATATAGTAATAGTTCAAATATTCTTTATTTAGTATTTTGCTATATTTTTGGAGAATATGTATTTGATCTTAGCAATGAATGTTTTATTTCTTTTTATTATTAAAATAAAAACATTTTCCTGGAACGAACTAATGGAATTTCAATGTACTTAAATGGAAAATATTGCTTTGATATACGAGAAATTTGACATGCGAGTGTGATTACGGAATGAATTAAGCTCGTAAGGCAGCTATATAAGCAGGGCAGCATATATAATGTATATATATATATATATATATATATGTATATATATATATATATATATATATATATATATATATACAATATACATATATATAGTGTTTAATGCTATTCATAATTACTATTTATTGTTATTTATAGTTTTTTATTTTTTCTTTACCAAAGTGAGTATGAGTATGGCATTAAATAAATGAATCAATATTTTGAAAGAAAAAACTAAATTTTTATATTTTCATTTCCCATAAGAACAATATGCCAACATGAAATTAAAAGATAAAATCTATTCCGAGGCAACAAACTATATTTGTTTATCATTTTAAATTTGAAGCATCTTTTTTATAATTACAGATAGTTTGAAATTGGATTTAGAGGATTGCATAAAACAAGTGGCTTTAAAAGGTTGTGATACAGCTTTGATGTGAGTTTAATATTCTTTCCTATAAATATATGTAAATTTAATCATATAAAAGAATTTTTTATCTTAGTGATGATATTGATAATCCAACCTTGGAGTTGATGCAAACAAGCAGTGAAGAAACCGATATCGTAATAGCCACAAATCCTAGGAAAAAAGTTTTGAGGAAAAGAATCAATTTGAAAGCCGGTATACTATTCAACATATATTTGTAAAGTCTTTAATATTATTAATATTAGCTTTAGAATTGATAAATTCTAAAGAAAAACCATATTCTTGAAGATAGGCTAGAATTGAAAAAATATGATCAATGTTGATTAATTATTGAGATTATTGCATATTAATTAGAGAGTTAGATACTTATATATTATTATAATGGTATATAAATACGACATAAATCATGAATCCAAAATACTCATATAATAAATAATTTTATAGTATCTCATAAACAAAATGATTCTGAAGAAGAAGATGAGTTGGAGCACAATCGAGATAGTGCGACTGATTGTGAAGATGGTGCAACTACTCCAATAATGGTACAATCAACGGGGCGATTAGCAATGACCCCAGACCATGATGAGGATGCAGTAGCATTGGAGAGACTTTCTAATTTGGATTCTTCACCTGCAGAAGCATTAAGTAGACTTTCACAGGTATTTTTTTAATAATAAAAAATTTCAATTATGTGTCTATATTATAGACTAATTGTAAGTATTTGAAAAAGTTATAATACATTAAAACGATCAAAGCATAGCTTTCATATATGTTAATATTTATATAAAGTAATAAACTAATAATGCAATAAAAATCAACAATTAAATTTATTATGCTCTTGTGATGAGTAATATACATTTTAATATTTAAATTTCTTTATTGAATACTTTCATAAAAGTTAGTTTTATTTTAGTTAATTGCATTTTTTCAATCTGAGATACTATATTTAATAAAATGTACGTTCAAATAATGTTTATCATCAATATTTTTCTAAAGGCCCACACCGTTTTTTTGAGTAACCTCTCCCACAGTCATCTCCTGGACATGCTCTCTGGCGGAGAGGATGAAGAAGAAGGAGGTAGCTATTCTTCAGCTATGAGTAATAAGAGTGAGAAAAACATGGCAGATTTTGATGGAGAAGAGAGTCCATGCGAAGATGAACTGGCTCAACTAGCTGCTAGAGTAAGTCATTTCAGTATTCGCAAGTGATTAAAAACTCTTTTGATTACACTACTATTGAATATCAGACATTAAAACACATGATCAAATTACGGTTTTATAAGTTAATTATTTTTTAATAATGTAACATGTTTCCATGATTTTCTGCAAATAAATAAATGATTATATATTGGGCCTTCGTGAGATGGCAGATCTAATACAATAAATCAGATCTAAAATCAATTTTTCTGTTCTGTATGTTTATATATTTTTAGGCTCTGATAAAATTTGTGTAAAATTAATAAAGAAACTATGTACCAGAAAAAGATGCTAATCCAGCTTCTTTCTAATTTTACATTTAATAATTATTAATAATATTTAATGCAATTATTTTGTTTGCCTGGCTTGAATTATTTTAGCATATTATTAATGAGATATTTTAATATATATATATATATATATATATATATATATATATATATATTGGTTGTCAAATATCTCCCTTCCGCTTTTTTGCTCTTGGTTTATAATACAAAAAGGCGGAAGGGAGATATTTGACAACCTTATATATATAGAGGGCCGGTCCTGCCTTGCATGCGATGCATGCAAAAAATGCGGGCGCACGCCTTGGAGGGGCGCCAAAACGAGTTTTGGAAATCAAATTTATAATATATTATTTATATTTTTTATTACTTATATAAAATCTAGAATACTTGATAAATTATAATAAGCAATCTAACTTAAGAAGGGACACACGGAGACACAAAAGCATAGTTATTTTGCAATGTGATATCAGTAAAAACAATTAACTGATTAATTACTCGACAAATTAGTAAATAACAGTTCTGTCTATTGCTTAATCTACTTATTTAATTTTTTCTTTGAAGTTACCGTGGAATCAATAACGAAATTATCTAATGTTCTGCGAAAGATTAAATTAGTTTTTGGGTATTATTGATGAAAAATTGCGAGCTAATTTAGTTGAAACGGAACTTTTTAAAACATATATTCAGATTATAATCGTGAAAATGAAAAATGGGGAGTCAGTGCTTAGAAAATTGCATGTTTATTCCGAGAAATTGAATCGTAACTTTTGTTTTTGTTGCAAGTTTTTCGCATTTGATGAACTTTGAATGTTGAAGACATGCGTGGTTAGGGTTATGGAAATGAAACAAATATGAAAAATGAAAGCAAAATTTACTTAGGAACAAAAATTTTGAGGTTTTTTTATACCTAGTGGTGTCCATACTCTAAATTTAATATTCATTAACTATGAAGAAATAATAAATATCAAATATAATTAGTTTTTTTTTCAATATAGTTTAAGAAATGTGTAATTACTTTGCATTTTTTACTGATTTTTGAACAATATTCCTAAAATACATTAAAAATTTAACTTTAAAACAACAAACTGATATTCTGAGTATGAAGGCTCTTACTCTTACTATATCAATAAGGTGACGTTTACGACGCAATTTTAGATATTGTAAATGACGAAAAATTAAATTAAAGTAAAATTTAAAAAATCCAACATGAAATACGAGTGTTATGATTGAAAATGAAATGCTAGTTTTCTCAAATATTAATATTGCACATACGTTAAAAATAATTGAAAATTTAAAAATTATAATCAACCCCCGAATCGCCTCGATTTTCTAAATAAATAAACTTTCTAAAAAATAAATTTTCTAAATATTTTATAAGCTTTATATCTAATTATATCTAATTTTTTGTGTATTAAATCCAGAATAGTTAAAAATTAATTTACTTATTTCACTTAATATTTTTGTTGGATTAAAGTTTTTTTTTCAATAAATGCATTTCTGAAATAGTATTTATTATTTTGATATCAAGATCTTTATATCAAAATGATAAATACTATTTCTGAAATGCATTTCTTAAAGTCTATAACTTTGATACAACAAAAATATTAATTCTTTTGCTATGATAGTCGAACTAACATCCTTAACCAATTTATTGCATATTGAATATTACTAAAATGTGAAATTATGACAGGGATTGTTTTATTTATTGATATCGATAATAATAAATAAATTTAAAATCAATAAATTTCATACGCTTCTAGATTATATTTAATTTTTTGTGTACTAAATCCAGAATAATTAAAAATGATTTTTTAAAAAGATGTAAATATTTATATAATTTTAATGATAAACTGTTAAAACGGCAAAAATTAATAGAGGGGGGGGGGGCGCTAGAAAAAAAGTTGCATGCGGGCGCTAAGGACCCCAGGACCGGCCCTGTATATATATATATATATATATATATATAAATAAATGATATTCATTAAGTTTACCGACAACAATTATTTGCTAATTATATAGTTTATATATATATATATATATATATATATATATGTGTGTGTGTGTGTGTGTGTGTGTGTGTGTGTGTGTGTGTGATTAAATAATCTGACTATTATTAATAACATGGAAGTATATTGTGCAACAATTCTTATAAAATACATTTGGAAGGTAATAAAAAAGTTTTTAATGAATCATTTCAGTGTGCCTTTCAAACAAATTGTGTTCCAAGTTTTACGTCAATATCTAGAGGCCGATCTTGTGCACCGAGAGAACCACCTACTGTGCCGCCTTTTAAAATTGCTGATGTTTGCAAGCCAGGAAATACTTTATTATGGGATATTCTGCAAGATGATAAAATTGTAAGTAGAATTATTTAAATTATATCTGTATGTGGAATGATTTGAGCAACAATAATTATTTTAGAGTAAGCTGCCTTCAGGACTAGCAGTTGAAGCTGAAAAGGCTTTGTATACTTTGTTGTGTTTTAGCACAGAAAGAGCAATACGAATGAAATTTATTGAAGGATGTTTGCAGAATTTAGCAAATAATTGGTAATTTTTTTGGTGAAAAAATATTATAGTAGACAAACAATAAAATATATTTTAATTGTAGGTCTGTTGTGATATCATTGCGCTTACTGCCAAAATTATTAGCATCATTCCAACAGTTCAGGGCAATGGATTCGCATCAAGTAACATTATGGGCGGAACGTCAACATCATATGATGCATCATTTCTTTAATAACTTGGAATACTACCGTAAGAGTAGACAGGATGGTGAAAACTCTGATCAAATCAGTTCACCTTACACACATCCTGTTCAAGTTCAAGTACGATTACAATTTTTAACGGCTGTGTTTAGTTCTACTGGATCACCTGAAAATTTTAGGTATACTTATATTTATTCATTGAAACACTCAATAATATCATTACATATATATATATATATATATATATATATATATATATAAATATATATATATATATATATTAAATTATATATATATATATATATATATATATATTTATTTATTTAAATATAATTTAAATTATACAAATGTTTTTACAATTAAACTCCTTTGTACAATAGTCTAATTAGCAAAAATGAGTTCAATGGAACTTGAAGATAATCCACTTTTGATAATTTCATTTTTGTTTTGGGATCCCACAGTGATTTTGTCTTTGGTGTGTTATTATTTCATTCATCATTGAAACTGATAAACTTAAGTAATTTCGCACTCTCGTTTCTCGTATGAAACTAAAAGCATTATAGCATTTTATGAGTTTCTTATTTATTTGTATTTGCTAATGTTACTTAAATGTACTTTTCATTGTTTGTTATGAGAAATAAATTAACACTTTTTTTTTCAGATTAACTTTAGCGCAAGTTGATAGCTTATGGGATTGGTTAGCAAATGATCAACAATGTAGTGATTGTTTATTTTCATGGATGCAGTCACAGTGTCAAGGTGGAGAACAGCACGCACTAGGTGTTGCTGCTTTGAGGCATTTATATTTGATAAAACTGCCAACTCTACAACCTGAGGTTTGAGTTCATAATCACCTAATGTTATTTTCACTACTGTTAATATATATCACTATATACTATTTTGAAATTCAAGATTTATTTCAATACTGTTATTTATTATAGGATGTTAGCATGGTTGCTTTAGGGTTGTTTCAACAATTATGCAGTCTTGCACGATTTGCAGCTGTACATATGGACTCAGAATCATCAACAAATCTTCCAAAACAGTCCACTACATCAGGATCGGATGGAGAAATAGCCTGCACTTCCCATTTGTGGAAAATTGCATTAAGAGCAAGAAGCACTGATGTTTCTGCTGCAGCCATGCAGTATCTAAATGGATATTATATGGCTCGAAGGTAATAAACATTTTTAGAAAAGAAGACTTATTGCAATTAGTTTTTATATGCAACTGCAATATCTGATTATTTACTCTGTTTACAGACTACGTTTGGAAAGAGAATTCGTATCACAATGTATGTCTCATCTATCACAAGCCGAGAAAGAATTGGTGCAGCAACAATCTTCAGATAACAATTTAACTGTTGGAAGTGAAAATGCTTTATTATGTATTCAGAGGGCTCTATTGTTATTAAATACACATTTAGAAACGTTTAGACGCAGGTAAATGTTTTGCCTGACATCTTGCATCAATTGCCTGTATTTACTTAACAAAATTATTTTTCCATATTTTTCAAAATAATATGAATAATGCTTCTACTTTCTGTTAAAAAGTTCAACTTTTAATTTTTCTTCATAGCAATTTTATGACTATCTTTGTACACTTATATTAATAAATAGTTAATTCAAAGACATTACATATAAAGAAAAGTCATTGTATCTAATATAGTTAAATATGATTTATATGAAGTAAGAATATTAAAACCAATGTTGCAGATATGCTTATCATTTACGACGTTGGGCTTTGGAAGGTGAAGGCGTATCTAGCCACGTACCATGGTCAGATCGGGGTTGCTCTGGTTCACCAATTAAAATCTTTTTGCAACCAGGTGGTCTTAAAGATAAATCATCCCTGAAGATGCTTAGTTCTGATTATGTAGCTGATCTCAGAGCAGAAATAGCTCAGTGGTGGGAGCAGCTTAGGGGTTCATCTAGCCCACATGCATTGAGGATTATAACTCAAGGTCAAGAAATATGTACAGAACATGATGAAAGAACTCTGCAAGATGTGGGATTTAAAGATAATCAAGTAAGCTGAACAATGATCAACTTAAAGTTAGTAATAGTATGAATAATAGACTGTCATTATTTTGTAGCAAAACATGATAATAATCTTTTTTTATTTTTGGCGATAATTAAGAAATGTTACTAGTTTAGCCATTAATTGTCAAAAGTGGCGTGTTAATTGCATAAGACTAATTAGTAGACATAGCTATTGAATTTATTCAATGACATCTACATATATTTTACTGTTTGGTAAGCCAAAAGAGATCGAAAAAAATTCCTATCTGTAAATGTTTACTCTTTAAATTCTCTGTAACCAAAGAATTTTTTCGGATTTAAGTTTTTAAATCTTTCGAAAAGTTGTACTATCTCAAAAAAATTGTTTAATGAGATAAAAGTCTATGAACATTATATTAATATTATTTGCAAGACTATTAAGCACATCATAAGAACAAGATAAATTAATTATTTTATCTTTAATGTAGATGGTTTATGTTTCTGTTGGAGCTGGTGCGAGAGCAAATTCTAACAGAGAATCTCAAGAGTGCACTAGTTTGCAACCTCCTCCGCCTAAGGATTCTCTTCCTACTCTTCTGTTACTTCAGCCAAGTTATCTGGAGCAATTGTTTAGATTAATGAAAACTCTTGGAGAAATGAAATCCATTGGAAGAAATGGGGTATGTTCTAATGTATTGTTAATGCATTTTGTTTTTAACTTCCCGAAGGAGAAGTTTATGTTTCCATAAAAAAAATCCGATTCGCTAATTTTATGTTTCCTCGACTTTTTAAGCCATTCTGAATCAATTGAGACCAAATTTTAAAAAAGTATGTATGTGTGTGTACGTGTATGTGAAGATTTTTTTCCGCAAATCGACGTTTTCTCAAAAACGGCTGAACCGATTTCAAAAATTTAAAAGCCATTCGATGTACCTCGATGAGGACTATCGTTTGTCAGTTTTGTACGACGATCGGCCAAGCCGTTTCTTTATAAATAGCAGAAAAGTGACAAGATTTTTGTCCACGTTTTAGCCAATTTAGAATCGATTTTGAAAATTCTAAAACCGTTCGAAAGATATTGGTTAGGAATCGTGCTGATTAGTTTTTGGTAGAGATCGGCCGGGCCGTTTTTTAGTAATAAAATGTTAAAAAAAAAATTCGACGATTTTTATTATTATTTTTTGACGGTAGATATCATGGTCTGTTAGATCATACTAAAATATTACGGTCCTACGAAAACTCGTTTAACTTTAAAAATTTGTCAAAGTTTGCAAAAATGAGTATAGTTTTTTTGGCATTTGTCAAAATTAGACCTTTCATTGACGTTTACTGAAAAACGCCTGAACCGATTTCAGAAATTTAAAAGCCATTTGATGTATCTCGATGAGGATTATCGTTTCCCAGTTTTGTGCGAAGATCGGCCGAGCCGTTTCTTTGTAATTTGCAAAAACTGGTCGAAAGATATTAGTTGGGAATGATACTGATAAGTTTTAGGTGAATATCTACCGAGCCGTTTTCTTGTAATAACTGTTGAAAAAAATTTAAGCCGATTTTAATGGAACTTTTTTTGGCGATATATGTCATGGTCATCACGTTATTTGATACATGCCACACTTGAATTTGAGTTTCTCGATTTTTATGGAACTTTTTTTAGTGATATATAATATCATGGTCTTATAGAACTTACTGAAATATTGCGGCCCTACGACAAGTAGTTCAATTTTAAAAATTCATTAAGTTTGCGAAAATGAGTATTTTTATTGACGTTTGTTAAAATTAAAATTAGACCATTTACTTGGTATAGCAATAAAGTACTTGGTCCTATGGAAACTGGTTCTGTTATAAAAATGGTTGATTTTTGAAATATTGCTTTTAGAAAATACTCCGAGTTAATGTGTTCGTTCGTTTTCAATTATATGTAATAAATCCACTAGGAATACTTTGATAATAAATTCGAAAACTGCTACTTGACTAAACTGCTACTTCAAGAGTAATAATTGGCTACGCTTTTATAAAATACTCCGTGTATGTATTAAACGCGTGTTTGTTTTTCAATAATGCGCAAAAAAAAAAATTGTACAAAATTGAATAATCTGCAACAGTTTTTCACCTTTAATGCTCAATTCACTCATTAATTAATATAAATCACTCATGAATTAATATATTATTGATTTCTTATTGATTATGTTTATTGTTTACACATGTCGAGAAATGTATGCCTCACCGAAAAATGTCACTTACACCTAGTGTTATTATATATTTTTCAGAGAACTATTCCTCACATCAAGGCACAATTATTATCTCGCAGAGTATGGGATATATTAACACTGCTCCCGACCTCCCCTGAATTGCAAAGAGGTTTTGAAGAAATTGGAGCAGAAAATCTTGATCAATTAGACTGTGATGTTAACACAAAATTGCAAACATTATTAGACCCTACAAATCCTCAAAGATTGATGTACTCTTTGTATGTTGTAGAAGGGTTGTGCAGAACAGGTGAAGAACAACTTGGTAAGTCATGCACTTATTTAGTGGGAGTATTTAATAATTCTCAATTTAATTCAAATTATTTATTGATGAATTTGGTATTTATGTTAATAAATATTCCTAATAAATAATAACTGTGTATTATGATTTTTAAAGCATTAAAATTAAAATATGCTTAATAGTTAAAGGCAACAGAAAGGAACTAAAATTAAATAGAGAAAAGCATTGCATAGAAAATGAAGATTGTATGGATGAGGATGGTGATAAAAATGGAGCAATTTCGCCTACAGAAGGTAATGTTAACTTTTACCATATCATATTTTTTTCTAATGTCACAAATGTCACAGTTATAATACAGCAAATACCCAGTCATATATTTTGCACTAATTTATCTTTGTTATTTATTTTTTGACAGAGTTGTCAACATCATCAGCTTCATGGCAGACTCATTTTTGTAATCGCGGAGGCTTGCGACACTTGTTTGGTATTTTTTCATCAGGTTTGTTACAACCTGGAGAAAATGGAAATGATGGTGAATGGACACAAGATTGCTTGACAACTTTACTTAAACTACTATGTGCTCTGGGATTGGAAGGTGGAACCGACAGTAGCAATTCATCTGATGCAGAAAATATGCTGAGTGTACCACTGTTAAAACCGGTATGGAAGAAAGGAATTTTTGTTGAGTAAAATTTTCATGCCGAATGGAGGTCAAGGTCGTATAGACATTGAACTCTCCTGGACATTTTGTTTAGAATCTAAACTTAAGATAGTTGACTATAGCCCATTATATAAATACTTTGATAGATAATAATTAAAATAAAATACTTGTTTTTTAGGAAATGCTGTCTATGATGACTATAGAAAGCACCATGCCTCGTTTGACTAGTATATTGGCTGAAGCAGCCTTTCCTCGAGATCCATTGCTTTATAAGACTGGATTTTGGGGTCGAGGACAAGTAAGAATATGCTTCAAATACAGTTTGATGATCATAAATCATTATGTAGCAAACAATATTATATTTATTAATCATAATTTCAATTTGTTAATTTTAAACATATTTGCAAAATACCAAATTGTTATTTGATAAATCTTATTTATTGAATCCATATTTTCACTTTATCTTTGCATAAATAATTTGAATAAAAAATGTATCATAATATTACTTAGAATTATCTTTCAGGTAGTACATTACGCAATGACACTATTAGTGTCCTGGGTTCATAGTTCAAATGAGGTTCGAGCTGCATTATGGGAACAACCAGAACCTGGTCCTTGTACATGGTTGCAAAAGCTGGTTTTAGACGATCCTGAACCAAGAGTCAGACGTGAAGCATGTGCTGCCCTATATAGAATTTGTTTAAGAATGGGTCAACTCTGTCCCGATATGACTGGACCTATGTTAGAACAGTTGGTTGCATCTTTGCCGAGAGCAGAAGGAATGAGACCTGATAAGGAGGTTTATGTTGCTAATTATTGTTCTTATTATAATATTAGTGTTATCCAAGCTAAACACATGCAAATTCAAGAATAACTTAATTATAATAATTGTTCTTATTATAAGTGTTATCTAAGCTAAACACATGTAAATTCAAGAATAACTTCAAGTGAACAACTAATTTATGAATTTCCAGTTGGTAAATTTTATTGTAACATTTACAGTGTTAACAATTTTTTGCTATGTTTTAAGAATAAGCTTATACATATATGTATAAACTAAAATGTAAACACATTTAAAACATAATTAAATTTTAGTTACTACTAAATTCTACTGGAGAGGAAGGCAAAGAACCATACGGCCCGGCGTGCAGAGATTATTTTTGGTTACTGTGTAGATTAGTCGATAGTTTACCAATTGGAGAATCTAAAGGTATATTTGATCAACCCATTCTTATCTTATCGTTTTTGCTAGTTGAATATTAAATAGTATAAAAATAAAATAAATAAATTAAATTTTTAAATCATAAGTACACAACACAAATCAAGTTCATAAATTAAATAATATATATGGAATAGGGATTTAAGAAATATAATAATAGTATTATTAGTTAGACTTTTAATCTTAGTAGTTGATGAAATCATATTTTATTGCATTGAACAAAATTATCATCCAATTGTCCAAACATAACAATTTGGTACTATGTTTTACTTAATTTTCCGTAGGGTAAGTTATAGTAATCGCAAAAAAATCGAAAATGAAAATTTTTATATTTCTTTACGTTATAAAGGTTTCTGAATATTTTGGCATACCTTAGAAAAAATTAGGATGTCTGTGTGTGTATGTGTGTGTGTGTGTGTGCGGATACAAAGTTTTGTCGACGATTTCGGGAACACCGATCAATCGTATTGAAAAATTCAAAAAACATTCGATTCGTATAGATAAGGAGACGTGCTGATTAGTTTTTGGCGAAGGCAGGTATAGCCGTTTCTACGGGGCAAAAAGTGCCAAATAGGGTAATTCAGTTTTTAAATGAACGGAGAATCCGATTTTAATAATTTAAAGAACATTTTACTTATATTGTCAAGATGAAGAACTGATTAAATTTTTGGGAGGGCAGTTCCAGCGGTTAAGGGACTCTCAATAAAAATAAGTTAAAAAAATGTCATTTGGCGATCAAAAATGTTTATTAGACATATGTATCTAATTATTATATATTTTATAGAGATTTTAATAATGTGTACACATTTTCGGTTCCGTACGAGATTTTTAATTACTGTACGGAAAGTTTGAGCGATTTGCCTTAAGGCAAGATGCCATATACCCCACTAGCTTTAGTGTTTTTTAGATGGTTTACAACGAACATGTTTTTTTTCTTATATTTCATAATTATCATATACAGAATCTTATTTGTAATTATTCCATTGTAGATGGCGATGCAGAAGTAATGTTAGATGTTTCTAGTGATTTGCAACAGTTAGCACAGCATTTATCTTCTCTGATACAATCTCGGCCGATACTAGAACCTCGTTATGGAGGTATTCAGGATGACGGTCTCATTGGGTTGTTAAATCTGGCAGCAGCCGTTATGAGGCACGATCCACCTTTCAAGACTGGGCCATCAGGTGCAGCCCTAGTTACTGCAGCTTTTGATTGTTTATTTGCACTGCCGACACCTAGGGATAGGTATATTTACAAATCTACTTAATACGAACAAGTTTTAATTTTTTTTAATTTAAAATTTTATTTCATATATTGTTATAAATTCATTTGTGTTATTTTAGGTTATTACCAAAATGTAAATCCCAAGCATCAAGAGCTGCGGCATATGATCTTCTTGTCGAATTAGTTAAAGGTAGGAAAATAATTTTATTTTTTGCTTTTGTTTTACTCTTTATGTTTTTGTATTTACATTTATTTTATACTTGTTTTTAATATACAATGATTTCACAGGAGCTTCTTTCAATTACGCACTTCTGCATGGTCGTCTACTGGCACAACATCGACCGGGGCCTGGTTCATCTTTTCCCTGGGATTATTGGCCTAGAGAGGAAGGTCGGGCAGAGGCCGGTTATGTGGGATTAACAAATTTGGGAGCCACTTGTTATATGGCTAGTTGTGTTCAGCATTTGTATATGATGCCTCAAGCCAGGGCAGCGATTCTTGCTGCAACTGACAGACCCTTAAAACATGCTCCAGCTTTGGCTGAATTGAGAAGAATGTTTGCTTATTTATTGGTATATTATAATTTGAAATTATGAATTAAATATTTTTAATTATTGTGTAGAGCATTACAGTAATTTTCTGACGCTTTACTAAATTTCCATATTTAAATATTCAAAATATAAAGGAGAAATTATTTATATCATTTAATTTATAAACATTTTTTTCAGGAAAGTGAACGTAAAGCATATAATCCTCGAAGTTTTTGTAGAGTCTATCAAATGGACCACCAACCATTGAACACTGGTGAACAAAAGGATATGGCAGAATTTTTTATTGATCTAGTATCAAAAATGGAAGAAATGACACCTGAACTCAAAAAGCTAGTCAAAAGATTATTTTGTGGGGTCTTGAGCAATAATGTTGTTTCATTGGTAAATTATTATAATTTTACTTTTATTAATATATATATATATATATATATATATATATATATATATATATATATATAATTTTAGAAAATCATCAAAGTTTTAAAACATTATAAGCGCTTTTTCGATGTGACTCGTTGACGTTTTAGCCTAAAATCCTAAATTGATTTTGATAATTCAAAAACTATTCGTTATTAGTTTTTGACAAACATCGATTTGATAGTTTTTTCGTAATTGATTGTTAAAAAATATTTTTTTGACTATTTTAATTAAACTTTGTATGGTGATAATAGAGTGCTTGGTCTTAAAGAACTTACTAAAATATTATAGTCCTGCGAAAAGTGATGTACTATGTTATTAATACTTTGTAAGAATTTTTTTTTCAAAATTACAATTACCCTACAGCAACTAGGTATACTTATAAATCACCTATATATTTATATATTGATTTCTTATTGATTAAGTCGATTATTTACATATGTCGGAAAGTTTACTTAACTTGCCTTAATACAAAATGCCCCAACTAGTGTTTTTTATTTTTATCTTACAGGATTGTGAGCATGTTTCTAGAACACTAGAGGAGTTTTATACAGTTCGATGCCAAGTGGCTGACATGAGGAATCTTCATGAGAGTTTAGCAGAAGTAACAGTGAAAGATACCTTAGATGGTGATAATATGTATACTTGTTCACAATGTGGAAGAAAAGTTAGGGCTGAAAAACGGTAAATTTATATTCAATCAATTTAAGGAAAATTAATCATAACATTTATACTATTTACACAAATAGTAATAACTGTAATATTAAAATATATTATGATGCAAAAATAATATTGCATTTTTAGGGCGTGTTTCAAGAAATTACCTCACATTTTATGTTTTAACACAATGCGATACACATTCAATATGTTGACGATGCTTAAAGAAAAAGTGAATACACATTTTTCATTTCCATTACGACTGGACATGTCTGGATATGTTGAAAAAGAACTGATGCCACAGCATTATCAAGGTTAAAACTTTTTACATTTTTAAAACTAAATGAGATATGTATGTAAAGTTATAATTATTTGTTAACTTTAATGATAAATTTTAGAAGAGAAAAAGAAGTCTGAATTAAATAAGTCTGAACCAAAGAAAAATGATTCTTCTGAAAAAATTTCAGATGATGACCCATGTGATACTGAAGATTTTAATGAGCATTATGAGTAAGTGTAGTAGTAAAATCGAAGCTTAAACAATTTCTTTCTCTCTCATTTCATTCATCTTAATTTTTCAGGTACGACCTGGTTGGTGTGACGGTACATACGGGAACTGCAGATGGAGGACATTATTATAGCTTTATCAGAGAAAGGGGTGATGCCAATGTTACAGGGACCAATAATAAAAATGAATCTTCATCGAGATGGCTGCTTTTTAATGACGCCGAAGTGAAAATCTTTGATCCTAGTCAGATAGCTGCTGAGTGCTTTGGAGGGGAAATGACGGTTAGTTTTTTTTTTTTCGATCGTTTTCTTGACTTTGTATACAAGTATATTAGTCATACATTCACTTTATCAATCAACTTTACAATTTTATGTTATTGGATTGGATAAAGTATATAGTAGTATATATTCTTTTTTCAGTCAATAATATTTTAAAATTAGTTGGGAGGGAGATTTTCTACCTTACTATCTCCCTCCATAGTTTTTTTTGTTTGTGTGTATTGTGTATTTCAACAACTTTTTTAACATGATAACATAACTCATTATGCAGAAACTTACAAAGCAAAGTTAGTTCAACAAATAGAACAAAATAAGTTAAATTCAATATGTGTTGAATATCAATTTTGGCATTTTCCCTAATATTTGAAAAATTAATTTTATTTTTATTTTCCAGAGTAAAACTTATGATTCTGTGACTGATAAATATTTGGATTTTAGTTTTGAGAAAACAAATAGTGCATATATGTTGTTTTATGAATGGAGATCTCAGGATGGTAGTCAGAGTCAACGAGGTGAAGCTTCAGAAGTTTCGATAGAAGCTCAGGTTAATATTTTTGAAAATTGTTTCCAATTAGATTTTATTCTTAAGGGGCACACCTAGTGTGACAACCTAAAAGAAAGTCATTTTTGGGAATTAAAAAAACGGAAAAACTAGTGAATACTTCTATTTAAAATTTTGAGGGTACATTTATACATGTTTTGAGAATACGCAGTAAAATATTTGAAATAAAATATTAAATATTTTTTAAATCACACGCGATCTTCGGCGGCGCCAAAAAAGGTCTATCACTGCTGGAGTGATTGCAGCCTTCTTCGTTGATAAAAAATAAAACAAAAACGGGCGAACAAAAATTCTAAAATTGACAAAATGGCGGCATGTTGAAAAAAAGTTCAATTTTTCCCAAAATTTTGGTCGTTTTTAGCCTGCCAAAATTCGAGTTTTGATCAGATAAAAAAAAAACTGGAGAGTCATCATATGGAGAACTACATAGATGAGATGCAAAAAATTTTGATAGCGATCGGATCATTTGTCTCCGAATAATCACTCCAGCAAATTGGAAAAATTCTGTTTCGAGAAAAACGCGTTTAAAGATAAAATGATTGTTAAAACTATATACTATATATATACTCTTTTAAATGGCTGTAACTCAAAAACTATTTAAGATATCGATTTAAAATGTTAGTATGTTATTTTTAAAGGCATGATCTATTGAAATATGGAAAAATTCAAAATTCGATTTTTTGAAAATTTCACAATAGGTGTGCCCCTAAATGTCGATATATAAAATATTGCTAAGTTTAAATAAATTAAATATAAAGAATCCAAATTTCGTATTTAGCATTTAATCTTTTATCAAATTATGTAAAAATATAAAATGTTATTAAATGATTTAATATGTAAAAGCATCAAATTTGATTTAAACAAATTATTTTATTTTGTTTTATATAGACCTCCACAACATCCGAAGCTTCAACATCTGAAACAACAAGTGAACAGTGTCATACACCAATGCAACAAGTTAGAGAAGCTATTACATTAGATTTATCACCTGAGCTTGAAGAGTGGATTTGGCAAGATAATCAACATTTTTTGCAAGACAGAAATATTTTTGAGCATACTTATTTTAAGTCAGTATTTTTTTACTTTAAACATTTAGTCATTTTTCAAATCTAGATTGTTTCTCTATTATTGTTATGCAAATAGAGTTTTTTGCCTAGTTTCATTTGCTGTTCACTTAAATTTTAAATTTATATGTTTTTCCGTACTATTTTACGATATTTATTTATAATGTTTTCAGTTTTATGTGGCAAATTTGTGGCCATGTTCCTCAGACGCTCATCACTGAACAACCGGATATAACGTGTTTGGCTGCTCAACTTTCAACATCATTTTTTATTGAAACATTCATTCATGCAAAGGAAAAGGTATTTGTAAATATAATATTGTTGATGTTTATTAATAATCATGTGTATAAATGTTGATATTTTATCATTAGCCAACTATGGTACAATGGGTTGAGCTACTTACAAAACAATTCAATGGCTCTGAACCAGCTTGTGAATGGTTTTTGGAACAAATGTGTTCTGAGCCCTGGTGGCCTCTACAAGTTCTCATTCAATGTCCGAATCAAATGGTTCGACAAATGTTTCAAAGGCTATGTATACATGTTATCCAAAGATTGAGGTATGTTGCTAAAATTTTATAACATAAATTGAGATTAATTGTAATTAATAAATTCGCACCAGGCATTTTAAGATAAGACCGTGAAGAGAAAATAACCTTTTGCACTAACTTAAACAATGTCAACTTATATATTTTTATAATTACTATATAATATAAAATAATTGTTATGTAGGAATAAATTCAGAAATATGATCAATACCGTTTCCAATTTTAAATATTAAATATATAATTAGACAACAATTGCTTGTTGCAGTTTTCAGTTATCTCACCAAATATATTTTATTATCTTACAGACAATCACATTTTCAATTATACCTAAAGGGTGAAGAAGATGAAAATGCTTTACCCGAAGAAAGTCTAGGTGGCAAATCATGTGTTACAAGATTTATTAGATCACTCATTTCATTGGTAAGATTTTTTCATTCTGTTAACAAATGATCTCTTTTATTATAAACAGCTGTAATTCGTCTTCAGCGATTCCTAAACTATACATTTTTTGTAAATAAATATGTTTCAATTTAATTAATTTCTTTTTTTAAGATGGAACATGGAGCCAGGGCACATTTGCGTCACCTTTCAGAATATTTTGGTTTATTATTAGAATTTTCCCGAATGGGAGATGAGGAATCTGCATTTTTACTACGGATTGGCGTCATACATTGTGTAGTCGAATTTTATCTCGGACAAAAATCACAACAAGAAACTGTAAGTTATATTTATTAAGTGATTTTAATACAATTTTAAACACAATTTTCTATTGAAGTTTTTGTGTTCAATATTTTTTATAAGAGTTTATAAATAACGTGTTAAATGTGAAAAAAAAAACTATTTGTTGATTTGTCTATTGATTAAATGTTGAATAGATATAACTTGTGCAATATAAAATAATATTCATATAAAAGTTTTAAAAATATCCAATTTATATTAATATTTATATTAATAATAGTTTGCAATAAAATTTATTATCCATTATTTTAGCAGGAGCAATCCGGTGGTTCTGATAGCGAGGAGCAGCCTGCGTCCACCACTCCTGTAGGCACTGTTGGCGCTTCAGTTGGGCCGGGTTCTTTAGGATGCTCATCCGTAGGGCTTTGCAATGACAAACCACGCCCTGCTTCTTTAGATAAAATGGTTGCATTAGTAGCAAGCTTGGTTGAAAAATCACGGGGACCAGATCATAATCTTCAGCTAAGCAATAGAGACTTTAGCGCGATAGCCGGTGGAAAGGTTAGTAACAAAGCTTAATATGATTGTTCAATTAATATTGCTACTTTGATCAATTTTAAAAAATGTTGATACATTTAATTAGTTACTTATATTTTGCAAAGGTGAGATAATTTGATTTACAAAATCATTTTATTCATTCAATGTAAATTATTTAATGGTATTGACAATTAGAACTAATTATCAGTACCATTTATAGAATATTTTTAACAAAGTTTTAATTATTTTTAGGGTTTTCCATTTCTATATCAGCAAATAAGGGATGGATTGAATCCTCAGCATACACGCTTATTAGTGCATGCATTATGTCGTTATAATGAAAGACTTGCAACGCAAATAGTTGCCATGATGTTTCATTCCATAACTAAACATGCAGAGGTAAGAACATAATTTCAATTTTAATAATGAACAATTAAGGAAAAATATTGCATAGCCTTAAGGAATAATACTTATCATTACTGTATTAAATTTTTGCCTTCAAATCAAGAAATCGAGAGTGTAGTATAAATATAGTATAAGTATACTTCATATAAGTATTTGCACACAGATTAACCAAATACTAAATTTATTATTATTTATGAAACATTTATGTCATGAATTGAACGGCATCAATATATTTAAAATTTTAAATTTCACTAAACTTGATTTGAAAGTTTTTGATTTTATTATAAGTGTAGATTGATGATTGGCATCTGCCATAATTGAAAAAAAAATTTAAATAAATGCAGCCCAGATGATGTTATGATGATTTTTATATTCCCTATATTACATAGATCCTTTATTTTCACCTGAAATTTTTGTTTGTTTGATAGTTATGTGCACCGTTTTTTAAACTGCTGACCCTTCTAACGGATGCATCTGCTGGTCCTTCGGGGCTCCCATGTTTCAGCAATTTGGCTCTGCAACGTGTGTGGGATGCAGCAGAGTTTTGTCCTCATAGTGCTTTAGAATGGCTTGCGGTGCAGGCTCCAAGGAATAAAATGGCACATGCTTGGGTTTTACAAAGTGCAGATTGCTGGGTTGAGCATTTTCTTATAGCTCATAATAATCAAAGGGTTAGATCAGGTAAATTTAAAATTTAAATTTTAAAAATAAAATTCAAATTAAAATTTAAATACAAAATTGGTCATACAGAGATTTATTTTAAAAGTGTGGATTCTTTAATGGTGTATTCTGGTTTAGGACATGAATTTGTGCAATTATTGAAAGACCGTAAAAAAAAGACAATAGTTTTACTATATATTTTTTTCAAGTTATTAATTAATTTTTTTAGAATCTGAAAAAAAATGTCATAAAAATTCAATTCTAGAAGGTGATAAAATGGAGGGTTTCAAAAAATTGTCATCTGACCACACCCATGATTATAGCCCTATATAAATTCTGAAGAAAAAAATATTTATATATTTTAATATGTTAATCTAGAATAATGTGACAATCATATAAACTATTATATATGGACAAGTTGGAAAAATGTTTTTTTTTACAAAACATTTTTACAAGACTGAAAAAAAAATTTTTTTGGAAACTATTTTGAACAATTTTTTTAAAAAATTACTGCAAATGAAGTAATCCAAGTTGTACTATTATATATAATATTGTCTTTTTTAGCTGCTGCGTATTTGCTAGTTTCTCTAGTGCCACATTTGCCCTTCAGGCAAGCCTACCATGGAACTCGTATAGCATCCACAGCTGCAACTGTAGCCACAACTGTGGCTCAACAGCAATTGCAACAACAAGCTATTCGAGAATTGCCATCAGAAGCTACAGCTGTGCAGAGGCAAGTGTTGGGTTTGCTTTTGCGGTTACTAAGACCAGCTAGACATTATGCTGATGTACCCTCGCATGGAACATTAAAACTTACATCTTATTTTACACTGATGACGTATTTTGCTAGCGGCAGGACAGAAAAATTGATGGTAATATTTTTGTTTTGAAATTTAAGTTTCTCATAAAGTTTGAAATGATTATTTTGCTACTCCATATAATATCTCAAAGCATTTCAAATGATCTAATTAAAATGATTTCATTTACAGTCTGTTGTACTATAAATTGGCAATCATTTCGAATTTTTCGTTTTTTTATAACTCCAGGGATATAAATGATTTCTTCAATATGATTCAATATGTATGACCTTATTTAAATAAGTAAATAAATGTAATTAATACTAGAAACATTTAAAATGTTCTTTACTAACTGTTGTTTGTTCTGAAACATTTACAATGTTCTTTACTAACTGTTGTTTTATATTAGAATTTTTATAATTGTGATGATTATTGCAGAAATATGTTTTGTTTTATTGGTACTGCAATAAAATAATTATGTATTTATTTTATTTCATTAAAATAAAAATTCTTATAGGTTGGACCTCATATAAGAGCTCTATGGGACTTGTTTCATCCGAGATTATCAGAACCCAGTGTTGCAGCTCATCATAATAAACAGGCATTACTAGTGTTTTGGCACCACATAACAGTTGACTGTCCAGAAAATGCTCAAATAGTTGTACAAAATGTTGATATCACGAGAAACATAGCATTTAATTATATTTTGTAAGTATAAATGAGTTATCAAAATTATTAAAATATTATCTAGTAAAATATTAGTTTGTGATAATAACAATGTGCTGATGTGAGTTTCTTAAATTATTAATATTCATTTTATATAATTATTTTAATTAATAAATGTGAATTGAGTATCTTGAATGAATATTGTTGCTGTATCTAGGACAATATTTTACACTTTGCAATATTCAGATTAAAGTATTTCAATTGCTTTTTTAATTTATACCTGATTTTATTTTTATGTTATATAATAAATAATATATATGTGTGTAAATTTTAGGGCTGATCATGATGACCATGATGTTGTTATGTTTAATCGATCCATGCTGCCAGCTTATTATGGATTATTAAGAATGTGTTGTGAGCAAAGTCGCAAATTAACTAGACAGCTAGCTGCGCATCAAAATTTACAATGGGCTTTTAAAAATATTACGCCGCATCCGACACAGTATACAGCAGTAAGTATTATTTAAATTGGTTGATTAGTGTTCATGCAATTGTGGACCAGAATTGTATCCACACACACACATCCATTTTTTCTAATAATAAGACATGCCAAAATGTTTAGAAACCTTTATATATAAACATTTTCATTTTCGATTTTTTGCGATTACTATAACTTATCCTAAGAGATGTTAATTATAAGGTTCACTTCGTTTTTTTTACTACCAGAATTTAACTATATTTTTTTGAAACTAACATAAAACTTAAGCTCTATAATTATTATATGATTTGAAAACTTATATTTTAAGGCTTGTGTGTAAAAAATTCTAATTGTTTACATGCAGTAGTTTTTGGATGGTGTCACTTTGAATACGGAAAGAATTAAGCAGCATTTTCGACATATTTTACTCTTTTGCTATAGAAAAGGAAAAAAACTGTTAAGTCAAATCGCGAGAAAATCATTAGTTGATGCAAACCGACAATAATAATACATGAGACCCCATTGAGTAAATATTTATCAAATTTAACAGTTTATAACCACTCAAAAGGTCTGGAATTTTCATCGAAACTCAATGTATGATTCTCATAGAAAAAAAACGTGTGTCGTCGCACTGGCGTTCGCGATTCGCCTATGAAAAGTATTGAAAATTATCAGGTTTTGAAGTGAATTGTTAGTAGGAATTTCAATTGGGATGTAAGAAATACAATACACGCATTTGTCCATGAAATAAAAAAAAAGAACCTACTCAAAACAGGTGTAAAGCTGAAATTTGCCAGAAAAAGGTGATGCTGTATGTTTGGTAAGAATTTAAAGGAGATCTTCATTTTTCAGCTTTTCCAAGATAACATAACGGTTAATTCGGATGCCTTATGTCATCAGCTGGATAAACTAAATGATATACTTAAAAAGAAAAGGTCAGAATTAACGACGACTCAAGACCTCACAAAAGTTTGGTAAATCGCAAAAAGCTTTTGAAGCTTGAATGGGACCCAATGATACATTCATCATATTCTCCAGACCTGCCATTATTTGTTCCAGTCACTAAAAAAATTTTTAGGCAGTGAAATCTTTACCTCAAATCAGCCTGTCAAAAAGTTCTTTGATCAGTTTTTTTTTGCCAAGAACGACCAAAACATTTATGATTTCAGAATTGTGCTAACACCAGAAATAAGACAAAAGATGTTCGATCAGAACTGCCAATACATAATTTATTAAAGTAATTGTTTATTGTACGAAAATTACGTGCAAAAATGCCTGTAAAAACGAAGTTAATTTTCGAACAACCCAATAGTTTCCATATATGTATATGTATATATATGTAGGCTACATATATATATACATATACATATATGGAGGCGTGCTCCATATTGTAGAAATACCGGAATTGTCCAAATTATAGTCATAATAAATTCCATAAAATATTATTTATATTTCGTTTATTTTATATATGATTAATATCCACGACACTATGTGTTGTCATACTGATCATTAATAAAACGTTATTGGTATTTTCTTATTTATAATAGAAAAGAAAGGTTTCAAGAATTATACATTTTAGGCAAATTCGACTAGGGAGAAACAAAAACCAAGTACGATCTGACACTTGAATTTATTTTTGTTTTTTTTCTGTGCTGTCAATATATGGGCCAATCTGTCCAGTAACATGTGATGCGTGTTGACAAGCCGCGATGCGTGTTGGCAACCCGCTACATCACTCCGCCCTAATGAAAAAGATTGTTTCGCATCTCTGACTGCCATTCTTGAACTTCCTTGTAAATTTCTTTTGGTTGAGATTGTGTGATAAATTGCCGTGTTGGCTTGTTGAGTTTGTTGATTGCTTACGTGGCCCTTCGCTGGTGAGTTAGCGGTTGAGTACATGTGGCCCTTCGCTGGTGAGTTAGCGGCTGAGTATATTTGACACTTCGCTGGTGAGTTAGCGGTTGATTGTATGTGGCCCTTCGCTGGTGAGTTAGCGGTTGATTGTATGTGGCCCTTCGCTGGTGAGTTAGCGGTTGATTGTATGTGGCCCTTCGCTGGTGAGTTAGCGGTTGAGTGTATGTGGCCCTTTTGAATGGCGGTTGCCGATGTTTGTTGGTGCTCCCTGTCCTCTGCCGTGGTGCTCATAATCGACTCATTTTCCAGGATAATGAGGGATTTATTGAGCACGTGTTGTTGTTGTTCTGGATGTGCGTGGTCGGAGTCTCAGTTGTAGGATTAGAATGTTCTTCGAGTTATGGCGGTTGTGAGCCATTTATAATAATTATTTATATTTTTAAAAATTCTTTTCTTAGTAATTCTTGAGACTTCAATTTTTTTTTTTTTGTGCTACTTCAAAATATGTCTTGATCTTCTTACCTTCTTGTATGTGTGTTACTAGTTCACTCTCGGGGTCACCAAAATATGGAGGCGTGCTCCATATTGTAGAAATACCGGAATTGTCCAAATTATAGTCATAATAAATTCCATAAAATATTATTTATATTTCGTTTATTTTATATATGATTAATATCCACGACACTATGTGTTGTCATACTGATCATTAATAAAACGTTATTGGTATTTTCTTATTTATAATAGAAAAGAAAGGTTTCAAGAATTATACATTTTAGGCAAATTCGACTAGGGAGAAACAAAAACCAAGTACGATCTGACACTTGAATTTATTTTTGTTTTTTTTCTGTGCTGTCAATATATGGGCCAATCTGTCCAGTAACATGTGATGCGTGTTGACAAGCCGCGATGCGTGTTGGCAACCCGCTACACATATATGGAAACTATTGAATATATGTAGGCTACATATATATACATATACATATATGGAAACTATTGGGTTGTTCGAAAATTATAAAATATAGCTACATAATGTAGCTATAAAATTGAAAGCTTAATTAATCATTTTTTATAATTCTTAATGGTTTTAATTTATACAATAATCATAAACATTAAATCAATATCCATAAACGTAGTAATTACAATATTTTATCAAGTTAAATTAATTCAAATAATAATTTAGCTCTTTTTTTAATTTTGGTAATTGAATTTTATTCTTCTCATATTGACTGTGTCTATTTTATCTAAATTAGGCAGTGGAGGAGTTATTCAAATTGATGGCTCTATTTGGAGCACGTAGTCCTGAAGCAACTGAAGGGGAATTACGCGAAGTGACCGCTTTCAGACGGGGTACGTTGGCAGCGTATTTGGCGGGTTTGGACGCTCGAGGTAGCTGGGGCACTTTAAATACGGCCCTGCGTACGCTAGCCGACACTGATGAAGAAAAGCTGTATGTGTTGCAGAGCGGCGGCCTCAGTTTGGTGCTAGATGTAAGTTTAAAAATGAATTAGAAATTAATTAGCATTAATTTTCCTATACTTATACATGATTAAATTAACACTACAATGACGGAAGTTGGTTGCATACCTATTTTGCCTGATTGAGTCAGTTTAACTGACAGTTTAACAAAGTAATAAAATATTATTGCAAATATACCTTATTTCAAACTTTTTGCATACACTTTTCGCATATGTTTTATAGCATTTGCTACAGTGCCCTTGTTTCTGTTTCTGTTGCATGACACTAGTACCAATTTTAATGGTTTTCAATATCTTTGTATATTAAAGTTCAAGCGCTTTCGACTTGATTTTTATAGATGCCGCATAAATTTACAGCTAGTTGCAAGAGAAATTCTTTCTTGACATTCCTACTTGATTCACATCTTTATATATATGACCCAAGCATTGATTTCTGCCATATCTATAATGTTGTAGAACACATGAACGGGTTTTGGTACAATTTGCAAGACTGAAACCTGCTTTGATACTATATTTTCGCGCCATTTGATCCAGTATTTCGACTCCATACTTTAGTATTATTATAAAAAGATATAGTTTCCGGTACAAGTTTTTCATTTTTTGCAAATCTTACAATGCGATGTTTTGAGCTCAATAATAAAACTTTTTTATAAGATCTATTTTTGTGGTCTACAACCTAAATATGGCTTAGTCAGTATACACTCATCAAACTCGCTCAAGGTAATATTTGATCCGCTGGCGCTTAGAAGCACCTTCTAAACGGTGGCTTCTTATATCTGCGGCTGACATAAGTCAAAATGAAAGATTTCAACTGAATAGTTTGCAACGAATAAATTTACAGCATTGAATGAACGAATTGTAACATGCAAACTTTTTCACCAGAACGTTTACAATAGTTTTTTATGAAAAGGAAATAAGTTACGTCTGTCTAAACCGGTGGATCAATTTGACTTTTATCTCGTATCTGGCAAAATAGGTATAGCATATATTACATATTACATATTATAGCATAAATAGTACAAATTAGTCAAATTGACTCGCTCCGTCATTCTAGTATTAATAAACAAGAATTGATATTCCGCTATTTAGGTAAAATGTTCAACTGTTATTTAGAAAACAACATTTTCGCTTCCACTAATAATCAATACGGTTTCCAATTGATGTCTTTCAAACATACTTATACTATCTATAATTGTATAAATTAAATTGATTTCTTTAACACGTTTCATTTCATCCATTTCGGGTAAATTAAAAATTTAATTACATTTAATGAATAAATAAATTGAACACGGAACGTACATATGCTTTGGCACAGATTCTAATTAGAATCGCTTAAGCTTAAGCCGAATTTCTAAACTTTGATGAATTTTTATAATTTACCCTCTTTTCGTAGGCCTATAATATTTCAGTATGTTATTATCCAAACTACAAAATCTATCATTATACAAAATCATCAAAATTGTCAAAAAAATTTAATTGCGAAGAAATGCCCCGGGCGATCTTAACCAAAAACTAATCAACTCGATTTCCAGTGAACATTTTTCGAACAGTTTTCGAATTTTTTGAAACTATTGAAAACTGTGGGCTAAAACGTGGACGAAAAATTTTACACTTTTTTGGTAATTGAAAGCAGTCCAGCAGTTTTTGAGCAAAATGTCGACGAAAGATCCAAATAGGCTCACACACACACATACAAACATTTACACTTTTCCAAATCTGGTCTCATTCAATTTAGAATGACTTGAAACGATGAGAGAACATAAATTTAGCATATCGTATTTTTTCACGAAAACAAAAACTTCTTCGTGAACGATTAGCGAAATTAATTACGAAATTAATTAATTTCGGGAATTACGAAACATTAATGATGCAATTAATTAATGGTAAGTTTTTACAAGCGTCTCAAAAAAACACATAACATCTGAGAAGCAGTCAAATAATATATACCTGTAACAATATATAGCTGAATGTACTTTGTATAGCTTGCTATGAAAATAAATAAAAAAAAAAACTTTGCAAATGAGTCAATCTCAATATTTTATTCTCTTTTTTATGAATAATAAAGCTAATATTGTTATTGCCTACAACGATTAACTTATATTGAATAATGAACAATAATTATCAAAACTGTATAAACAAGGTTTTCGAATTTATAAATCGTTATAAAAATGTAAGTAACAGAAATAAAACCGTATGTACAAAAATAGGCACACTGATATACAAATTGAAGATCTAAAAACAATGAAAAAAGTTTTATTTTGACGATTTGTTTTTTTTTCAGGCTCTCCACAATTTGCATGTCATGTATCATGAGGCAACAGCGTGTCATGTTTCTGAAGATTTGACAGAGCTTTTGACTGAAACTTTTGGGCTGATAAATTGTCTGAGAAGGCATAAGGAGCATCGAGAGTGCAGGGCAACACTCGTAACGTGCAATAAGCCGTTGGTCGACCTAACAAGAAGATTGGCTACGTTGCTAAATACGTTCAATCCGCCAGAAATGCGACAAGTTTCTATAGGTTTGTGAAATTGATTGTTGTTAACTATTTTTGATATATATGGGGCTCTCATGGAGTAGCTTCTGAGTCCGCGCTCTGGAAGACCTGATATCGTGTAGTAGCGATTTTCACTTGAAAATATAGATCAAAAATATGTTTCCAATGGAAAAAAGTCCATTTCTATGAATTTATTTTAGAGGTATGGTTTCTTCCGCAAAGTATCTTGTTTTGATCATAAATGCCTATGTGACTGTTTTTCGCCCATACAAATCGACCCGCCCTAATATATATATATATATATATATACTAGCAAACTCAGCGAACTCCGTTTTGCCACCAGATGGTTTCGTGAGAAAGATGAAGAAATTTTTGTTTATTTTATATTTGAAAAGGAAATGAGTAGGTGTCAAACAATGTATCTACTTACTTGTAGTACATGCTAAGTATCAGATATGACGCTGTATGTGAAAAAAGATTTTTCCGCTTTCTGTTGAAATTTTTCTTTCATTTTCTTTGCTATGAACCTCACGGAGCCCGAGACTTTTCCAACGAATGCAAAATCGTCGAAATCGGTTCGTGCGTTCTGGAGTTATTTCGTCAGGAAGGGGAAAACCCGAGTTATTTTTATATAATAGATAATAAATATTTCTATTTTTTTTTCTCTTACAAATCGCCACAAACTGATTTTTGACTTTTGTTTTGACTAGTTTATTAACATATGAATAGAATGACATTAATTTCCATATAATCTATTATTTCCAGAAATGTTATGTGAGCTGATGCATCTATTACCTGATGAAACTCGTACAGTTTTACTTCAGTTGCTATCACATTCTCACAACTCATTCCACACAAATGGTACTTCATCATCTTCTTGCAATGAGCGACCAGCTGCTTCAGGCTCAGGATCATCATCATCCAATGCTTTTCCTCTGGGACCGTATTTTCCAAGAAGGGGCTCTCGCGGTGGTCTGTTGCAGCATGCCCATGGTAAAAACTCTCCGAGGCCACCTAGGCCTGTGCTTCAAATGTATGTGCCCCATACACAGATACAAAGCCCTAAGGTTAGTATTATTTTGTATAAAATATGTAAGGTAAAAATGTATAATGCTTTTTTGAAAACCAGATTATATTTTAATTAAGCAATGACTGCATAGATTAATTAAAACATTTTTTTTTTAAGTTTTTTAAACAACATTAGTATTTTATCCTCTCACAATAAATTAAAAATTATATATAAAGAACTCAATCACTAAAAAATCATGATTATAGAAATATTGATATATTAAAAAGTTAAAATAATATTATATATATAATTATTAATTTTAAATTTGTATTTTAATGAAACTTTATTATTTAGGGAGTGGATGTTGAATATGACGCAGCTCTAGCTTCATTTTATCGTCCATATCACGAATTTGTTGATCAGATGTTGCGTGGAGTACCAGGAAGAAACTTAACAATAAATTCACATGCTGAACATGTTATAACATTAAGTGCTATGACCGGTTACGAAGCTGCACCATTGCATTTTAATTATTTTCCAGCTCTCTGGATAGATGCTTTGGAGGCACACAATAATAACGAAGAAGGTAATTATCACACAGTATTCTGAATCAAAGATATATTGTTATTAAATATTTAATATTGTGTATTTTAAGAATTTCAATAATTTATAATTAGTTGTAAATGGCATTTTACCTTAAGGCAAGTTGCATGAACATTCCGACATAGAGTATTTTTTAAAAGTAAACCACTTTTCATACATCTATGATATTTTAGTTACTTTGATGAAGCACTTTAAAAACGTTGCAGATTTGAAATCAATCCTTTAAAAAATTGTGCTTAGTTCTTTAAGTAAAATGGCTTATAGCCCTAATTAAATACAATTTACCTTTTTTAATTTATATAATATATTATAATTTTGTGTAATATTTTTTTTTAAGGTTTGCTAGCAATGATAGGTGGCAATGCAGAAATGTTAGCTGATAGTATTTATCTAGGAGAATATGTAGACTGTATTTTGTTAGATGAACGAGTATCACTAACTGATCCTAAAATATGGGAATTCATGCAGACATTTTTTCCGAAGGTAGAGTAATTGCAATATTAATAAATACTGAGTAAATATTTCATATTAATTATCAATATTTTTCACTTTAAAACCATACTTAAATTTTATAAAAATATTTGTTTTTATTTTTATTATAACCAGTCATACAATCATAAAATTTGTTTGTATAGTTTTTTGTGTAATTTAAATGAATATTATTGAATATATATCAGTTATATATTTTTTTGTTATAAGCCGTCATACAATTATAACTATGTTGTGTATGGTTCTTTTTAGAATTTAAATGAATATTATCGAATAATATATTAAACATATATTTTTTTCAACAGATTTCAATACGCGTTTTGACTCCTCAGACATGTCGTCTTATAGAAAATTTGTGTACAACGTTATCAGATAATGTATCCCGTGTAGATCTGCAGACTGGTGCTCGGAGACTTCGCGGTGATGTTAGGGCTTTACATTTAGTTTTAAAATATAAACCAACTAGTTCTGTTAATAATAGGGGTTTGCAAACCCCATCAAGTTTGCAGAACGCTCTCGAAAGACTGAAACAAAGAGCTATGACTGAATTGGTTCAACAAGGTAAGGAATTTATCAAAGCTAGAAAAAAATTATATGGTATTAATGCAAATAGTTATTTCTTAAAATATCTAAATATTTTTTGTGAAACATTGATGATTAACATTATATATGCATCAACTTATGCAATTTTATGAAACAATGTGATACCACTTCTTATTTTAAATCATTTGCATAAAAATGAAATTAACTTTAAATATATAATTTTAAAGTGATTAAATCTATTCAAATAATTAAAACAAATAATTGTTGTAATATTATATACAATATAAATACATATTTAAATTATAGTATCATCAAAAATTTTAAGTTCCTAATCCTCAGGCAGTTAATGTAATATTTTAGTATTTGTTATAGTAACATGTAGATTTAAAATTCACTTTATTTTCATGATTTCAATTTGAGTTTAACTATTTGTATCACTTTCAAATCTAACATAATCAAACTATAACAGAATTGATAGATGCAAAATCTTTTGTGGCATCATGAAAATCGATTGTCATTTTGTAAGATTGCTGCACATATTACATAGTATTTCAGAATTTATCGTTACTTGCTTTTTATAATTTTATTTAAGCTTTTAAAAGTGTTTTAATGTAAGTTTTAAATTGAAACTGTAACATTTGTTTCATGAAGTAGCTTGATATATGATAAGATACAAAAACTATATATTATGAATCCTAAACATATGATTTTAGAAGATGAAACTCCCACAAAAAAGCGTAAACTAAATAATAAAGAATCTGATGATAATGAAGAACAATCTGAAGTAACATCAAGCAAAGCCATTTTAGAAGCAGTGAAATCCATAACAGAGTTTACATCAGAATCACCATCAGATGACACTCCGAATACCTCAACTGATTTAAATATATCAGATATTTCAAATGAAGATAAATCAGAAACTGCTGGTAACAGTACTTTAGCTGATGACACAAGTGTATCGGACATGGCCAATACTTCACAGTTAAAATTATTAGAAATCGATATAGATGAGGTGTTGCACCTTATAATGGTTGAATAGGTGATTATAAATTATATATATATATATATATATATATATATATATATTTGCATATTTATTATATAGAATGAGGGTAATCATATTTATAGGTGTAAGGATAATTAAGTTGTAATATATAGGTATATAGATATGTATGTAAATGAATATTTAATTAAATGTATTTATTCTATAACTTTTTATACAATGTGTTATAGTGAATATTTTTTTCATAAATTCATTAAATTTGACTTATGATATTTTTCTTTATTATTGTCATTGAAAAAATTGCATAGATGTTATATGTTTATAATGCCAATGAATTATAAAATATGTTCTTGTTGTCATAAAGTGAATTTGAAATAGATGATTAAATATTTTACTGACGAGCAGGTATTCAGCATCACAGACTTGTACCAAATTAACTGACTACTGAAATAGATATTTTGAAAAATTTAGTTATATGATGACGCTTTTGTGATAAAATAATATGGAGCTGTTTTATGCTCTTTATGAAGTATAAGCTTATTATAATATATTCTCAAATTGATTACAAATGTCTATAACTATTTTTAGTTTTATAAATATGAAATATTTCCAATAACTAATCAATTATTTAATTGAACTATTGTCATAATAGAGATTTCAATATTATGTTATAATGTTTTTGTAATCATTGTTTATGTATCATAATATATTTGATCTTTTTTAATCATTTAATGCTTTAAATATTTATTTAGAATATTATTGCATATATATTTTTACATTATTTTAATTGCAAAGTTATAGCATTATCTCTAAGTGATTAGATTCTGTTATCGTTACTTAGAATCCTACTGTCAGCTATAATTTTAAATAATTGTAATATTACTTTTAAAATTATAGTTTCTCCATAAATATAGATTTTAGTCTTTTTGCCTGTACTGGCTTGTTTAGCTCGGAAGAGCTACTCAAAATAAAAAATGCTAATAAATTTTAGATTATGCGCAAACATAGTGTACACAGTTTTGATTATTTTCTGATTGAAGAGAAATATATATATTTCTTTAGTACATCTTAAAATACAATATAATGATATTATGTAGAGTTCTTTATTAGAATTTTATTAGTATTCTGTATAACGCTATAAAAATAGACCTTTCATTTGTATTCCTCCCATAAGGATAGGATTGCAAGTCTAGAATACCTGATATTTTTATAAAAATATCAACGATCAACGAATCAACGACGAAAACCAAAATCGTTGACAAAAATTTGTATCCGCACACACAGGTATTCCAAAATGTTCAGAAACCTTTGAAACGTAAAGATATATAAAAAATTTCAATTTTGAAGTACATAATCAGAAAGTGGTTAAGTGACTTTTGGTTTTTGTTAAGGTGCGTCCACACCTAGCGAACGAACATGAACGAACATAAATGAACGTACCAGAACGAACTGCAACAGCATAGTGTGCGGCCCTATTATCTCAGTACAAAATCCGCGTTCACAACACGTAGTTCCAGTCACGACCGCTAGGCGCATATTTGGCGCTAGTGAGCCGATGACAAGTTTGACAGGTTAGTAATTCACGAGCAATATGTACCAGAAACGTCAAAATTTTGTTTTGATTCTTATTGTGATTGTTGTGTTTACAAGTGTTTTATAATTGTTTATACGGTTTTATTTGTGATTCAAACAAAATCTATAACTCTTAAATGAAGAGGATATAAAGCAGTTGTTAAAGCAGTGTATATAATAAAAATGTAATCACAATACATTTTGGGAGCAAGCTAGGGCTCTTTTATAAGAAAGGCAAGGCTCCTCTAACTTTTCAGAATTGTATTAAACTTTGGAGGCTCTTAAATATATATGGAAAAGCATAAATAGACTAGACTTTACATTTTTTAGGAACGCCACTGAGTTAATGAACGAAATCCAATTGCCGTGCAAGATGATAAAATAAGTTAATTTAATGCAGCAGTTTTTTGAATATTCAAGATAATATCAAGAGCCATTTAGCATGACTGGATTTATCGCAAAGAATGTGCTGAAAAGTGACAAATCTTACTTGGAATGATTATTAGTTAATAAAGTAATGCACAGACACTATAATTTAAACACCATGTTTTGTGTTCACAACATTATTGGTACTGAATAATGAATGATTATCCACTTGAAGGCAGGCATCCTGTAATTCGTTAAACTTTTTATTTTTCCTTTTTTTAAATAAATATGTTTGTTGCAACATATTGCTATTTACTTTGATATCTATTTTAATATATGTATTATTGTTTGGTATGTTTTGTTATTGTATAACAATGTCAATATAAGACTATTGTAATGCAAAATTTAAATACAAATAAATTATTTTTAAAGTTGACAATTTTCTTTTATTTCTAATTTTGGCGCTTTAATTTGAATGCATTTTGGAGCACGAGGCTGCCGAGCGACATGCGATTAAAGCGCCATCACCCAATATTGCGGTCGTGACTTTCCCTAGCTCTCTGAACGCAAATACCGCGAGAGAGAAACGTCTATATTAGTATATTGTCTAGGATAGTGTGGACGTGGACGCCACAACGATCACGAACGAACCTAAACAAACGTGGCGAGCAATGTTCCGCAACTTGTCGGTACATCAAAGGGAATTGTTCGTTCACGTTTAAACTCGTAGTGTGGACCCTAGTGTAGACGCTACCACGAATGTTGACAAACATTTTTCCTTTTTCATGTTAAAATGTGCATTAATGCATTGATTTATGTTGTGTTTATTATAAGATATTGCTGTTATTGACAAATTTTGTAAATTTGATGACTTTAAATAATTTTGCTCTTTCTCGCCACTTTAAATAATAAATCTGACGTTTCACGGTATATCCTCGAACAAAAAGATTGAAGCCCTCATTGCTTTAAGGCGATTGTTTGGAATTATTCGCGTTCGTTCGTGTTCCTGTTCGTTCTTCTTTGTATTTTCTTGTTCGACATGTTCGTTCGTGTTTGTTCGTTAGGTGTGGACGCACCTTTATGTACTTCTAGTCATAGTCAACACAGCAACGTATGTAAACAAATTTAATGTAACGTCAAAAATTTGATAGTTTTTCGTTATTTATTTGTTATGTGAACGTTAATTAGTTCATAAATGCTATTCTATTATTTCACTATATTGCTTCAATCATTATTTAGATTTTAAATGACCAATTTACTGTTATGATCAATTATTGAGATAAAATATCCTTTCCTAACCTAAATGTGTTCGATTTCTTCACAACTTGTCCAAGTGAAATATTAAAGATAACTTTCAAAATGTTGGCTACAAGATACATAGAATCTGGTTTAGGAGAACCCGAGCAAGATGCAAATACAGCTCTTACAGAACTCGACAAAGCCCTTAGGGCCACAAAAATAGGCGATCAATGTGAGGCTATTGTTCGTTTTCCTAGATTATTTGAAAAGTATCCATTTCCCATTTTAGTTAACTCTTCACTATTAAAACTCGCTGAAGTTTTTCGTGTAGGTAATAATATTTTACGTTTATGGATATTGAAAGTTTGTGAACAAACTGATAAACATTTAGACAAAATTTTAAATATTGATGAGTTTGTTCGACGTATTTTCATTGTGTACAGTTCTAATGACCCAGTAGCTCGTGGATTGGCTCTTAGGACTCTAGGAGCCGTTGCTAGAATTATTCCTGAAAAAGAACAAGTCCATCATGCAATTCGCCAATCTTTAGATAGTCATAATTCAGTGGAAGTTGATGCTGCAATAACAGCAGCTATGCAGTTTGCAGCTCAGAGTAAAACATTTGCTGTGTCGATGTGTGGTAAAATGTCAGATATGATAGAAGGACAAGCCACTCCAGATAATAGGAAACTACAGTTGATTCCAATTCTACAATACATGCATCATGATGCCAAAACAGCTGCTTTAGTTCGTACGCTTTGTTTGAATTTACTGTCAAAATACCCTGCTGAGGAATTCATCATAACAACTTTAGAATCTTTAACGCAATTATCAATATCAACAATGGTTGATGTGCCTGCCCAAGTTTCATTGCTACTTCTATACCTTAAAGATCCTAGAACTTTAGTTAGATCTAGAACGCTGCAATGCTTAAAAGATCTTGCAGTAAAAGGTGCTGTAAAATGGCCTTTAGAAGCTATACAAGCCATAGTACAAGCCGGAATGAATAGAAATATCAGCGCAAGAGAAAAATCTAAGATCTTAATGGTACTTTTAAAATTAGCTGACAGTCCTGTAGGATGCCAAGTAAAGATAACTGAATCTGATCACTTACAGACGTTATTGCTTGATTCATTAGTTCATCCGAATGGAGAGACAAGCTGCTGTGCTTTAGAAGTTATCACATGTATTTTAGGGCATTATTATAAAGAGAATAAAGGGGCCGAATTAAAATTACAAATAGTTGAATATAGCATAAAGAATCAGTTAGAAGTTCAGTTAGTAACAGCAAAAACTGAAAATATTTTAGTGCGAATATTAAAATGTGCCGTTCAACTTGCTGCTTTAAGTGAAAACTATTCTAAGTATTTTACTAAATTTATGTTCGGTATGCTGAACCAGACACCTGGATATTCAGTTGCACAATGTTTGCTTGTCACTGAAGCTTTAGCTGCAATTAGTGCGAATTCACGAGATGATAATCCCTTACTGATTTATTTATCTGATATAATGAAAATACTAGAAAAAAATACAAATATTAATTACACCAATGATAAAGAAACACAATTTATTGAAAGATTGTTTACATTGATATTACAGATATCGCTAATTACTAAACTTGAAATGAGGTAATTTTTATTGTATATTTTTAGTTTCTCAAAATATGAAAGGTTTCACTAAATAAGAATTTTGATGAAACTCACTATATTACATGCTTTTTTATTATTACATTTATTCAGTAATTATCAAATATTATTTAATTGCTATGTTATTGATTTTTTTGTTTCAATATATTTTGATTATTTCAGACACAAAGAGCAAATGAACAAAACTTTGGAGACAGTTTCATTATGGTCTAAATATAAAATTGCTCGATGTTGTGCAAGATATGGACATCATGAGATGAGCTTTCCGTTGTGGAAATGCTTATCAGAAGAAGTATGGTCAGAACATTCACATTTCTGGTTTGATGCCCTTTATGAAATGTCTCTGGGAGAATCCATTTTGCAAGGAGCGGAAAATGTTTCCAATTGTAAGTAAAGACTATATCTATTACTATTACTTTCTGTAAAGACTTTCTATTACTATTACTATTACTTTCTGTTCTGTTTTACATATTTATAAAATATACTATTTAACTCGCATATATTTCTGCACTCTAAGTTTTGTATATAGAAGGATTCTATGCAAGTCAATATATTAATATCTGAATTATAATTGGACAATTAAAATTTTAAAAAACAAAACAGATATTAAATATTAGTGGTGTGCTGACTCGAAAATTTTCCTATTCGAGTGATTCGAATTTGGAAAAAGCCTGACTCGAATTAATTCAAATCAAGCCTAAATATTGACAAACAAATGCTAATACAAAAACAAACATCAACGTAAAATTTATGTTAACTAGTTGGTATTGGTGTTTTGCCTTTAAGCAAGTTACATAAACTTTCCGATATGTGTAGATAATAGACTTATAATAGATAATCAATTAAAAATAAATTAATTTATGAGTGATTAAAAGTATTCTGAGTGGATTTATTACACATACTCACTCGGAGAATTTTCTAAAAGCAAATTTTCACAAATCAATAATTTTTATAATTGAACCAGTTTCCGTAGGACTTTAATGGTTTAGTATGTTTATTAAGAACAAGTACTCTATCGTTATACCATAAGTAAATCGTCTAATACTAATTTTCACAAACGTCAAAAAAACTACTCATTTCCTAAACCTTTGATGAATTTTTAAAATTGTACTACTTGTCGTAAGGCAGTAATATTTCAGTAAGTTCTATAAGACCATGATATAAATCGCCCAAAAAAGTTCCATAAAAATCGGCTTAATTTTTTTTTTCAACAGTTAATTACAATAAAACGGCTCGGTAGAAACCAAAAATGTGAATGTTCTGACCATACTTCTTTTCGATTTAAACCTAAAACTAATCAGTATCATTCCCAAATAATATGATTCGAACAGTTTTTGATTTTTTAAAATCGATTCGGTAGTATGAGCTTAAATGTGGACGAAAAGTTTAATACTTTTTTCCAAATTATAAAGAAACGGCTTGCCAGATCGTCGCACAAAATATACAAACGATAGTCCTCATTGAGATACATCAAATGGCTTTTAAATTTCTGAAATCGGTTCAGGCGTGTTTGAACAAATATTGATGAAAGGTTAGAGGAAACGATACTAATTTTTTCAAACTTTGACGATTTTTTAAAATTAAACGAATTGATAGTGATCTATAAGGCTATGGTATCTCCGTCAAAAAAATCCATAAAAATCGTCGAATTTTTTTTTTAACACTTTATTACAAGAAAACGGCCCGGACGATCTTTACCAAAAACTAAACAGCACGATTCCCAACCAATATTTTTCGAACGGGTTTTGAATTTTTAAAATCGATTGAGAATTGCGGGCTAAAACGTGGACGAATTTTTTTTTATTTTTCTGCTATTTACTGCTTGGCCCATCGTCGCACAAAATTGATAAACAATAGTCCTCATCGAGATACATCGAATGGCTTTTAAATTTTTGAAATCGGCCCAGCCGTTGTTGAGAAAACGTTGATTTACGGCAAAAAATCTGTTCACATACACGCACACACACATACACACACACACAGATTTCCAAGTTTGGTACCATTCGATTCAGAATGGCTTGAAACATCGAGAAATCATAAAATTAGCGAATCGGATTTTTTGATAGGCCTCTTTGATGAAAACATAAACTTCTCCTTCGAGAAGTTAAAAATGGTTCAGTTTCACCAATATACTTGACTAAATAAAAATTATAAACTATCAAAAAAATATTATTAAAAATGATTTCATTTTGAAGACGGTTGAAATATATTTTCAACTTAGTTTAGATTTAGAATAATATATGACGAAGCATTTCTGCATCACCAAATATAACAATATTTAGAATTATGGTTCATTTGATAGTGTGTTTAATTTATTTGTCTAAACCGAAAGCTGAATGTAAAGTGCAATGGCGAAAAAAGTCAGTCCATGGTCATAAAGATTGCTATTATTTCATTGTCGTAATTTTACCATTACTTGCATAATGATTTACTTGCCTACTGGTGTTTAATAATTGTTTAAAGGAAATTTTATATTCAAAACTTTAAGTAATGATTTCATAATAGAGGTTTATTCTGATAACATTTAAAATCCATACTACTACATATATTATAAAAACAATGATAAATGTTTTGAATCTATTGAATTAATTATGGTTTCTAAAATACATATCTATTATCAAAATTAAGTATTAATATTTTACAAACACAAGGAGCCATCGAGGAACACAAAGTCGCTGTTATATCTGCACATGTGTTCAGAAGTTGAATGGCTTGTGTGCAATCGAGTAACTCGAATGATTGGATTGATACGGATTATGCGAGTAACTCTAATGAGTCGATAGAAGCCGAGTGGCTTGCATGATTTAATTCACTTCTATATTCATATTTAATAAAATTTATGTTCATGCATATCGTATCACAGTAAATATTTCGAATCGGGTTGTTAAGGGCTTGATTCGAATGATTCGAATCACTTGATTCGAGTTGGCATCACTATCAATTATATAATATCAAAATTAGTAATAGTTTGTAATATAAAGCTGTTCCATCATACATATTATCAAGAGCACTCTTTTAGCGCGCAAAAATAAGTACATTTTAAAATAATTGTTATTGGTACATTTATATTTATTTATGGCTTTATAGTTGTTTCCTTATTAATTAGCCAATTGTGATATTGTTTCTGGTGCATCTAGTTAATTATAGATTGTATACATTTCAGACCTCGAAGGTGTGAATGCATCAACGAATAGATGCATACCCGATATCTTAAATCAATCTATAATTCACTACAATCGTGCCGTGACCGCTATGACAGCTGCTAGTTCTACAGCTATACCTATGTCTTTTCAAATAGATTATTTAAAACTAAGATTAGAGTTCTTACAAACTTTGCTGCAAGTGACATTATGCTGTTATTTGGTCTACACGCCTCCGGCTTATATCAGCCAGTCCGTCGCACAAGTTAACAAAGATGAATTGTTAAGATATGGACCAATAATTGTGGAACTTCGTAAATGTGTTACCTTGCTTAAGAAAAATGAGGAAGCATATATAAATTTGTATCAAAAATCATTTGATGCAGACCCTGCTACTTTGGATTTACTGCAATTGTTGAGGTACCGAAGTAATGTTCTTGCCACTTCCATAGAACGTATGTGTTACACCAGAGATGTTCATTTTGAACAACTAACCACAAGCTATATTACAAATCCAGAAAGACGCAGTTTGCTTCAACATTGCAACATGATAATGGATATATCTGACAAATTTCAGGCAAGTCTTGTACCAGGTGTTGCTAAAATGATAACTCCTAAAAACTGCGCAAGTTTATTAGAACAAGTAGCGCTCTTATGCGCGGCACCATTCTGCATGCCTAGATTTTTCTTCCAGGTTCTTCAAAGTACTTCGTTGAAACTGAATATCACTCCTGTCCCCAGAGTTCAAGGAGAACCCATAAATCATGTTCCAAATACCCATCTAGTAGTAAAAGTTGAAGGTATAGTCCAATACACACTGGCGGCAAAATCTACTTTTCGCACAGTGGCGCAGATACATCTAACATTGAATTCAGTGCTCCAAACTAAGCTGGGCGCAAATATTGATGTAAAGCCATCAGATGCGAGTCAATTTTTATCTCAGACTGTTAAGCCTAACCATGACTATTTCTCGGGGAGTTTTTTGTTGACTTTAGGAAATCCAGGATTATGGGTAGCAAATATCGAAGCAACTATCATCGATGAAGATGGAAAAGTTTGGAAGAACGGCTGCAAGGGTTCACTTACAATTAAAGTTTTGGATGATTCATCTAAAAACACATCAGGGTCAGTGACTAATAGAAGATAATTGTTACTTGGAAATATTATTATGAAATAAATAGCTAATACTACAAGAAATGAGCAATTTAAAAATGAAAGAAAATGATGTGAATAAAATATGCAAAAGAGAAATAAGTGTGTTTCAGATATGATAGTGAATTATTGAATGATTTACTTGAAATGTGAGTTCATACGAAGTTTTTAAAAGAAATCATCATTAACCTTCAGTAGTCACTGAAGAACTACTAATATATGATTTGTATTTATTGTAAATATTAAAAGTTGTTTTCATGAAATGGTAGTTATAATTAATAATTGTTACACATATAAAAATATCACAAAAATGAAAAGATCACACTGTAATAGATAATATTATGACAAAAATATATGGAAGTCAGACAAAAAATGAAACCAGTTTTTAAAGTACATCAAGCGATATGTATATTATTAAAATAGAAAACCTAATATATATTATGGCGGCATATTCATATAAAATTTAGCACACAACATCTATAGTAACATTACATACAAAGATTTTGGATTGTTCCTTTGGTATATTATTACAATTAGTTGATATATTAATTGTTATTTTCTACAATTTCATTTATTTTTCTATATTTATTTCTCACTTGTTGCCCCAGAGTATTTAAGAATAAAAAAAATCAGATTAGTATCACAAGCATTAGGTACAATTAATAAAATATAAATATGGATTTCAAAAACGTATTCATCATATTAAAAAAATGTCAAAGCAGCTCAATTTCAGTTATTGAAAAAGTTCCCACAAATCTCTTATATTTTATTCACAATAAAACACATGTTTAATAATAAATTTCTAAATTATACTACATAAAATTGCACAATATTTGAATTAAATTATAGTAACAACTAATTTTGACTAATAAGTATTTGAATATTTGTTTAATATAATAGCTACAATGTGTAATTCAGCACTATTATCAAATAATTAAAACGAGATTTAACGGTTTTCTATGTGTAAATCATAATCAAATGGTTTTCAAATCTAGTAGAAATAAACCATCACAATTATTGATTGGAAATATTATTTACCAATCTGTTGTATTCAACCAATAAAAAATCTTGATGGCAAAAATAGTATACCGTTAGTTTAATCTGCAATATTAATTATAAGAAGTTATATTTATCATGCCATTAACAAAATTGTTATCTGTGTATGGCATAATAATATAGCCAGCCATGAATATTGAAGTTATAAATCGAACGCTTGAAATTAACAAATATTTGTATAAGTATTCATTAGTAATATCAAAACCATATCATATGATATAATAAAAAATATCCAGATCCAAACCAGTAATATCACAAATAATGAGATATGTCGTTCAATATATTTTTCATTTCCAAGACTAATATTTATATTAATTTAGCTAATATCAGTTCATTTTGCTACAATTTTATGAACAATTTATTGAGTATTAAAAAAGCCTTATCTCCAAATATGAAATAGTAATGAAAAGTACATATAAGTAAACACCAAAATAATCCATTGGGGTTCCAATAGATTATATTCATAAATAATATTACTTACACGTTGTTATATTTTTATTGGTAGGACGTAGTGATTATTAAAGTTCCTTGAAAATGATATTTAAGAAAAAATATCATTTTTTTTTATCAAATGCTGTGTATGGAATTATATATACAATTTCATTTATAAATTTGCCAAATACTAGTTTATAGTTGATTATATTTTCTATTTCTGTCCCACCACAAATAAATCAATTCTTTTTTATATTCCCTCCATTTGCTTTTAGATTCAGTAGTAATCACTACTTCTATCAATAATCAATGCATATCCCTAATTAAGAGAGTAGATTCAAATATCATTTTATTAATTCTAAAGAGTATTCTTATGTTGATCGATATTTTAACATGTTGAAAGGAAAACTGAACGACTTGCTCCTTTATATCCTCATTTTAATAGCAGATTGCTTTTTGAATTAGTTATAATATCTATATTTATGCAAATTAAGAGCACATCGAATTGTAATATTTGATCGACATTTGTTTGTTCTGCCAGTCAGAAACAATGCTGAACTGTTTAATTTAAAATAGTCAAAAATGCATGCAAGTTGTCCAATATTTCAGTCGCCGAAGATAATTTGTTTGGAGACTACTTATAAACATGGAAAGGTTTGGACAGGATCATATTTGGCACTTGGTGTTTTTTTGTCTAGTTAACAACTGGTTTATCCAAAACCGCTGAAGTAGCCATTTGGTCCACTCCGCAAGTTCCATCACCACGGTATACTCGGTAATATCCTTGTTCGCCCCAGCGGGGACCCCATGAATTTTTTATGATCCAGTATGGCATAGTCTTGTTGAATTTTGGATATGCTGAAATAATGTTTTCAATTTTAGCGAATCGGATTTTTTAATGAAAACATAAACGTTTCCTTCGGGAAGTTAAACATTATATACGATTTCAAAAGGGATGCATCAGGTTGGCAATTAAGTAAGTGCGGCTTTCACTCCTATATAGTTGTAATTGAATTTTCAGGTTTTCTGACGTAGTTCAATTGTAAATAGTTTTTGTTATTGGATGTTAGGCAATTCAGCTGTCAATCAGTAAAATAAATTACCGGTTTTTGATCAATTGCGTAGTTTCGTTTGGCGTTCGTTGAAAGATGCGAAATCAAATCGAAAACTTTTGTCATATTTTGATTTTTTTTCTGCAAAGTTAATGATGTGAATGGAATAGTGCTAGCTTGAGTAGCTTAACTTAAGTACCTTTTTAATTACAATATTTATTACAACTGTACATTTAAGTACCTTAAGCTCACAAACAGTTTTGCGCTGTTTATTGTGATAATCTTTTAAAAAAGGCAGTGCCAAAATTGGTTTGCCAAATTTTATTTTGGTGATTTTTTACTCATAGATGAAAAACGCTCTGGTCGTTCAGTTAGAGTTGACTACAAAGAAATTGTCTACTTTTACTCTTACCATCCAACCAAACAAACCAATTCTAATGTAAAACAATTAACGAAATTAAACAACACAGTGATTTATTCAACTATTGACATGATATCTTTGTCCACTCGGAATGTTTAACCACATTCATCATATAATCCTGGTGTTGTACCTTCTGATTACTTTTTGTCTCAATCTTTACAAAAATTAAAGGTAAAAAATTTAATGATTATTATGGTGCCAAATTGTCTCTGTTTCACTTTTTTACTAATAAAAGCCAGAAGTTTTATGAAAATGGTATACTAGTATAATGATGCTGTTTTTAAGATGACAAAAGTCATTTAATAGCATGTACAATACATTACAGAACTAGTTGGTTTGGTATTTAGCCTTGAGGTAAATTACATGAACTTCCGGATATGTGCAAATAATCGACTTAATCAATAAAAAATAAATTAATTTATGAGTGATTAAAAGCATTCCGAGTGGATTTATTACACATCATTGCAAACGAACGAACGAACACGTTAACTCGCTGTATTTTCTAGAAGCAAATTTTCAAAAATCAATAATTTTAATTAATCAATAATTATAACTAAATCATCTAATTTTTTTTTTTTTACAAACGTCAAAAAAACTACTCATTTTCTCAAACTTTGATGAATTTTTAAAATTAAACTACTTGTCGTAAGGCCGTAAAAAAATTCAGTAAGTTCTATAAGATCATGATATATATCGTCAAAAAAAGTTCCATAAAAATCGGCCTAAATTTTTTTTTCAACAGTTAATTTTTTCACCTAAAACTAATCAGTATCATTCCCAACTAATATCTTTCGAACAGTTTTTGATTTTTTAAAATCGGTTCGATAGCTTAAATGTGGACGAAAGGTTTAACACTTTTTTCCAAATTACAAAGAAACGGCTCGGCCGATCGTTGCACAAAACTGAGAAACGATAATCCTCATCGAGATACATCAAATGGTTTTTAAATATCTGAAATCGGTTCAGGCGTTTTTGAGCTAACGTCGATGAAAATTCTAATTTTGATAAATGCCAAAAAGACCATACTAATTTTTACAAACTTTGACGAATTTTTAAAGCTAAACCAGTTTTGTAGGGCCGTAATATTTTAGTATGATCTAGAAGACTATGGTATCTTTCAAAACGTAGACGAATTTTTTTTCACTTATTTGCGATTTATAAGGAAACGGCTTGGCCGATCGTCGCACAAAATTGACAAGCGATAGCCCTCATCGAGATGCATCGAATGGTTTTTAAATTTTTGAAATCGGTCCAGCCGTTTTTGGAAAAACGTCGATTTACGGCAAAAAATATGTCCACACACACACACATAATTTTTCCAAATTTGGTCTCATTCGATTCAGAATGGCTTGAAACGTCGAGAAAACATAAAATTACCAATTCGGATTTTTTGATGAAAACATAAACCTCTCCTTCGGGAAGTTAATAAAGCTATTTAGTTTTATGAAAAAATATATTTGAGTTTCTGACAAAAATCCGCACTTACTTACTGGCCATGGATAATATTAAAAACAGTCAAAACAATCGTTAATTTGCAAATAAAATCATGATGTATTTGAAATAATCGCAAACTGTTTGAAAATTTTAATTCTGATAATAATAACGACAGCATTGACAATTTACCAGATTTTAAATATTCTTGTAATAAATCTAATAGTATACTTGATTCATATTAATCATTTCAGTTTTACTATTGTGATTAATGTTATTTAAATATGATTAAAAAATTACTTACTATGTACGCCATAGCCCACAATAAGTACTCCGTGGTCCAAACTAGAAGGCTTGCACAAGATCTTCCAAGGATGAGATACTCCTCCACGATAGAACTGCATAGCATTGGCATTGATGCCTAATGTTTTACAAATGTTTTTTTATTAGAATATTGTGACATAAACAATTTAAATATATGTATTTTATTAAATCTATTGTACTTGCCAATAGATATGGGTCCATTCTTCACAAGCCACAACGCAATTTCAGTTTCATTTTGTGGTAAATCAACAGCTCCGCTCACTTGAACTCGAGTTGCTGAGGGATCAAAATGACATTTTTCTTTTTTACCTTCATATGGGTAGTCCGATTCGGATTCCAAACCCCCCAGCTGCTCAATGGCTCTAAAGAATATTGTTTAATTACAATTGCAAATAAACTTAGGTAACAATTATCTACTGATTAAAGTATCATTTAAAGATAACTTCAATTAATGTAGTCCAATTTGACATAAAATAAAAATATAAAATGTAAAATCATAAATAGACAAAAAAGGTTATAGTACATTAATTAAAGTTATCTCCAGATCACTTAGTTATATTCAAATTAATTTTATTATATAAATATTCAATTATTAGACAAAACGATAGAAATGTATATAAAAATTTTCACTACTGAAACACTATTCATATATGAAAAAATCAAGAAAAATATATTAAGTTTGCTAACTTGTAAGCATTGTCTGGTAAGCCTCCACCACATCCATCATCAATAGAATCACAATCCACTAATTCTTGCTCTGAAAATTCTTGCAGTTTTCCAGATCTTATAGCTTCAAGGCCTTCTATGTTACCAGTGACACTGAAAGCCCAGCAACTTCCACAGCTTCCCTGGTCTTTAACTTTTGTAACAGCACCATGATCTCTCCAATCAAAAGACTCAGGAAGAAATATGTCGCTAGGAATTTGTGCAGAAGCATGAGGTAATTCATTATCTGAAATAAAAACATAAAATATAGCAGCAAACAAATTAATTAACTACAAATATGATAATAAATGGTATAAAAATATATAAATGCTTGCATTGACTATTGGAATGCTTTGCACACAACTATCGGAATTATTTCAACAGCTTTCATATAACTTAATCAATTTGAGTGTATAAAAACAATTAACCTACTACTATCATTAGATATAAATAAATGAATTCGGATGATTTAAATGAATAATCAAATGAAACAGAATGAATTTTTTTTAGCAATGTAAAAAAATATTTACATTGATTTGATATTTTGTTAACAATTTTTTAAATACTATTATAAATTAAATATTAAAAGCTTTAGTACAAATATTTACCTGACCGCTGAGTTCTTGGTAAAAGTCCTGTATGTCGCGACTTGAATTCTTCAGGAGTCAAATCGGAAAATTGAGTGATGCCATAATGGGCTGTACCCAATTCACCGCGATTCAATCTCTCGATACGTTTCAAATTTTCCTAAAATGAAACAAATTTAATTAGGAAAAATTAAAGTCTTGTTATTTTTCTTACTTCTACAATGAACAAAGTTAAATATCACTTACAAATTTTTATGAAAAATATAGTTAAGTATTATCAATATTGTGATATTTCTAGACAATATTTATAAGATAATTTAGAATAATGAAATATTATATTATTAATTTTTGCCTATCAACAAAAATGTCAATATATGCCCAATAAGAAAAATATGCCATTTATATCCCTAATAAAAAATATTAGTACAAAAGGTTTCGTCGTGTTTCCATTCAAAATTGGCCCCACCCTATAATTTAAATGATTTTAATGCCATTTTATAGCATGCCATGGAATGGCATCAAAATCATTTAAATTCCAGGGTAGGGCCAATTCTGTATGGAAACACGACCAAACCCTTTAGAGTATAGAGTATTCTTAAAAAAACTTCTTATGCCCCTTAGTATAATAGTAATATAAAACCAGGTGTAAGTGTCATTTTGCTTTAAAGACATGTTGCATGAACTTTTTGATATGTGAAAATAATTGACTAAATCAATAAAAAATCAATTTATTAGTATAAGTGATTTATAAGGATATCGAGTTGATATTGCAGATATAACAATTTTGTACAAATTTCATATTAGTTATATTCGATAAATAGTTTAAATGTTATGAAATTTCATCAACTGGGTTTTAACATTTTGATATCTGTGCTTGAGAAAACTTTGACGAAAGATCAAATTTTGCCTACACCCGAACACACATACTTTTTCTAATTTTGATTTGAAATGATTCAGAATGACTTGAAACGTCAAGAGAACATAAATTTAGCAAATCAAATTTCTGAAATTCAGTAGAAAACATTTTTACAAAAATATTATTAAATTCCCGTGGGGTAAGTTTATAGTAATCGCAAAAAAATCGAAAATGAATTTTTTTATATATCTTTACGTTTCAAAACCTTCTGAACATTTTGGCATACCTTAGAAAAAATGGATGTATGTGTACGGATACAAATAATATTCGTCGACGATTTCGGGAACACAGTTCAACCGATTTCAATTATTCAAAAAACATTCGATTCGTATTGATAATGAGACGTACTGATTATTTTTTGGCGAAAGCAAGCTAGCCGATTTTAATAATTCAAAAAACATTTTACTTGTATTGACAAGATAAAGAACTGACTAAACTTTTGGAAAGGCAGGTCTAGCGGTTTCGGAGATCTAGTAAAAAAGTAAAACAAAATACCATTTGGCGGTCAAAAATGTTCATTAGACATATGCACATCAAATTATCAGATATTTTATGGAGATTTTAATAATGTGTATCAATTTTGTTTACATTACTATGGGTTCTGTAACATCGTTTGTCCGTTAGACCGCGACGCGGCGCTTGCGCGCTTAGATTTTGCGTCTCTATGCAGCTAAAGCAGTGTGATTTCTTTAAAAAAAGTTCATAATTTCTAATATATTTTTAAATAAAAAAAAAATTCCAAGTTTATTTTCTATCAAAATCTGTTTTATCAAAAATTTAAAATTTCTCAAAAATCTAATTTTTCAAAGTTAAAAAATCTTAAAAAAAAAAAAAAAATTGGTACGGGTAAGTTCCAGCAATTTCCCTTAAGGCACAATGCCATACACCACTAGTTTATTATATAATTATACCTTGAAAATATTGAATCGGTAGCGAGCTTCATCCGCATCATATCGTTTTTCATGTTTCTGAGTAAACTTAGCGAACAAACGCCATGTTTTCATGTCCTCGTGCGTCATACTGTGTTCGAAAATATTCGACGAGCGCTCTTTTCGCTCGCTGTTTCGGAATTCATATAACTTTGGCTCGCCTTTTGATGTGTTTGTTTCAGATAGCTGCAATAGATTTTTTTAATTTCATTCACAATTATCCCGACTAATTGTTGTTAATTCATAATAAAATGTTTAATTAATTACCTCTGTACAAGTAGCATCAGTTTCCCGCGCGTCTGGTATCCACGGCCTATCCCATACTTTAATTTCACATTCGTGTTTTGTGCCACTGACATGAATTTGTAATTTACATTTAACAATGGTTCCTGCTACAGTTTGCTTAGTACAATCGGAAACTTTATGTAAAACAGCATCATTCGTTTCTGCATTAGTAGATACTAGCTGATTGAATGCTCCCATCATAAGTTCTTGGATGTAACTATTGTCAGAATCAACTTTTTTTGATGCTCCATGTGCACTGCGCTTCATACGTCTTATACTGCGCTGAGCACGCTGGTTCGCTAGAAATTTGTATGTTTTACTTTCACTGCTTTTAACATTGTCACCTGTAATTTGAGTGCAAGTAATGTCCGTTTCTCGTGCATCTGGCAACCAAGGTCTGTCCCAAACTTTAACGTCGCATTCATGTTTTTCACTTGTTCCCAAACCGTGTGCGATTATTTTACATTTGACTAAACTTCCAGCTACGGTTTGCTTTGTACAACTTGTTACTTTATGTAGAGAAGCATCACTACTTCCTGCATTTGCAGTAACTAATTGAGCAAAAGCATCCTTCATCAATTCTTGAACGTATGCATCATCAGAATCTACTTCCTTGGGAGCTCCACGAGCGCTGCGTTTCATGCGGTAAATATCACGTAGAATTCGTTTATTACCTTCAACAGATCTTTGAACACGCTTATTTGCCTTGAATTTATATGTTTTACTCTTTTCACTTTTAACATTATTGTCATCTATTTCAGAACAAGTAATATCGGTCTCTCGAGCGTCGGGTAACCAGGGTCTGTCCCAAACCTTAACTTCACATTCATGTTTTTCATTTGCACCCAGTCCATGCACATGTATTTTGCATTTTACTAGACTTCCAGCAACAGTTTGTTTTGTACAATCCGTTACTTTATGCAAAACAGCACTACTTCCTCCTGCATTAACTGTGACTAATTGCGCAAAAGCATCCTTCATTAAGTCCTGAATATATGCTTCTTCAGGATCCGCCTGGCTTATGCCTCCCGGAATTCCACGTACCTCACGATTTCTTGAAATCTCATTAATATCATTGGTAGATCTTTGTACCCGACGATTTGCTACAAATTTATAAGTTTTTTGTTTGTCACTTTTAATATTATTGTCAACAAGTTGGGAGCATGTGATATCTGTTTCTCTGGAATCTGGCAACCATGGCCTATCCCAAACTTTCACAGCACATTCATGTTTCTTATTTTCGCCCAAACCATGGACATGTATCTGACATTTTACAAGACTTCCTTCAACAGTTTGTTTCGTACAATCTCTCACTTCGTGTAAAATGGCGTTACTTCCTCCTGCATTGGCTGTGATTAGCTGAGCAAAAGCATCCTTCATTAGTTCCTGTATATAACCATCATTTGGATCCACAGTCTTTATACCTCCTTTTACATGTTTAATTATCTCATCATTCATATCTTCAACAGATCTTTGAACACGCTTATTTGCCTTGAATTTATATGTTTTACTCTCTTTACTTTTAATATTATTATTATCTATTTCAGAACAAGTAATATCGGTCTCCCGAGCGTCAGGCAACCAGGGCCTGTCCCAAACCTTAACTTCACATTTATGTTTTTCATTTGCACCCAAACCATGCACATGTATTTTGCATTTTACTAGACTTCCAGCAACAGTTTGTTTTGTACAATCTGTTACTTTATGCAAAACAGCACTACTTCCTCCTGCATTAACTGTGACTAATTGTGCAAAAGCATCCTTCATTAAGTCCTGAATATATGTTTCTTCAGGATCTGCCTGGCTTACGCCTCCTGGAATCCCTCGTACCTTACGAATTCTTGAATTCTCTTTATTATCATTGGTAGACCTTTGTACTCGCTGGTTTGCTCTGAATTTGTAAGTTTTTTGATTATTACTCTTAATGTTATTGTCAACAAGCTGAGAGCAAGTGATATCTGTTTCTCTAGAATCGGGCAACCATGGCCTGTCCCAAATTTTTACTTCACATGAATGCCTTTCATCAGATGATAACTTTTCAATATGCATAGTGCATTTAATTAAACTTCCAGCTACAACCTGAGTTGTACAATCTTCCAATTTATGCAATTTTGCTTTATCATTTGCTCCTTCTGCAGTGGTTAATTGATTGAATGCACTCTGCATTAGATTTTGAATATATGGATCATTCGAATCAGCATGAGTTGGTCCTCCAACTAGTATAGGTGTGTCACGTTCAACTCGGATTTTTGGCTTAAATTCATATTTCTTCTCACTGCCTTTTATACCATTTTCATCAACTTCAGAGCATTTGACTGTGGTTTCTTTAGCATCCTTCAACCAAGGTCTATCCCAGACTGAAACTTCACAATGATGCTTGTTATTTTCTGATAATCCTTCTACAACCATAGTACACTTAGTAGCAGTTCCTGCTACAACTTGTGTTGTGCAATCTTTAAGTTTATGAAGTTGTAGCCTATCCCCAGCTCCTTCTGACATGGCAATTTGTGCCATTGCAGTTTGCATGAGTTCTTGAACGTAAATATTATTTTCATCTGTTGGACTTGGTGCACCAAAAGCCCTTACAGAATCCCTTTCAACTCTAACTTGTGATTTGAACTCATATTTCTTTTCACTTCCTAAAACACCATTTTGATCAACTTCAGAGCATTTGATATCAGTTTCTTTAGCATCATCCGACCAAGGCCTGTCCCAAATTCTTACTTCACAGTTATGTTTATTGTCTGTTAAACCCTCCAAAACTATTACACAATTAACTATACTCCCTGATACTGTTTGCTTAGTGCAATCTGTAACTTCATGAAGTTTTATTCTGTCACTAGATCCTTCTGACAACGCCAATTGTGCCAATGCACCTTGCATTAAATTTTGAATGTATGGGTCATTAGCATCAGCTGGTTTAACTCCTCCACGTAGTGGAAGTTTATCTGAAGGTTCACTATCAACTGATCGTTTTGACTGTTTTTTGGCTCTAAACTGATATTTCTTTTTGCCAATTTTCTCTCCTTGTTTGTTATATTTTGCACAGGTTATATCTGTCTCTTTACTATCTTTTAACCATTGCCTTACCCATATTTTAACTTCACACTCATGTTCATGCTCATCATCAACTCCACTGATATGCAAATTACATTTAACCAAAGTACCAGAAACTACTTGCTTGGAGCAATCAGTAACCTTGCGTAATTTCATTTTATCACTAGCGCCAGCAGAAGAAGATAATTGCGAAAATGCGCCTTGCATTAATTCTTGAATATAAGGGTCTTCAGAATCAACTGAAGTAGAGCTTCCTAAACCGCGACGAGTCCTTATTTCTTCTGCATTTTCTGTAACTTCACCCTCGTTCAAGGAAATAACATTAAGTGGTATTTGCTTCTGGGGCACAGGAGTAGGTTGCTCTACTTCCTTCTCTTCTTTCACCTTATCTAAATTTTCTTTCTCTTGTTCCTAAATACAACAAAAAATCAATTTTAATATGTTCATAAAGGACAAAATATTATTTTCGGCTGAAAATTGGAATCGCATTTCGAGTTATTCTGAACAGTTTGCGTGAATATAACAAAATGATTGAACGCGCATCATATTGAACTATTTCTTCTTGGAAGACTTATTTTTGTATATTGAGTGCTTCATGTAACTTCTTGATGGTGAAATGCAATTTGTTTACCCTTTATATGAAAAATAATTTTGAAAAATAAAATGCTGTTCTTATATTTAAAAAGAAATCACATTTATTTATTTTTAATTTAAAAAAATAATTTCTAAAATCTTACTTGAATTGCTTGCTTTATTTGTTCATGCAATGCATCTGGTTGTTCCTCGGCGATTTTATGATAATCAACAGGATCAGGTTGAGTAAAAATGGGGTTTACTGTTGGATCGTAGGTAATTGGCTCCTGAGTCGTACGTTGCATAATTCTAACGTCGTCTAACCATTTTTTCAAGCCTACCAAAGCTTCTACTTTTGTCAAAAAATTCTTATGCTGTACGTTTTGCACAGTGCTTTTGACTGTTTGTTGTTCTACTACTTGCTCTTGCACTTGATCCGGATTATTGCCAAGATCAGGAACAGTCACACGATCCTTATCAGTATACTGTTCCAATAATTCTTCAACTTGACCTGAAAATAAAAATTGATATTCTTTAAAATAAATTTATTTTATATATTAAAGATAAAGTTGGCGCAATTTTCACCTGAATCTGCTATGGAGTCATAATTCGGCTCAACTTTCGGGGTTTCTGTAGGGCGTTCCGATTCTTGTTCAGGTGTTCTAGGAGCTAATGCAAGTAGCTCATTATTTTCGGAATTGGCGTCAATACCATTCGAACAATTTGTTGATAATAGACTCCTATCGCGGGCGCCCCATTGAGTAATTACCCACGGTCGTTCTAAAATAGTTAGACGACACGGATAAGTGTGATGTTCATCACCTGGCTGACTCACTTCTACGGTCAAGTCATAACGAAAACCGGCAACTACCTAAAAAATCAAATAAAGTTGAATATAATCTGTTGAATTATTTACAAAATAATATTCCAAAGTACCTCTCGAGTTGCTTCGATGACCTTAATCAGGCGCAGATTCTCTGGTAGATTAGCCGTTGCCATGGCTGCCAACCCTCTCAAGGAAGGTGATAAAAGCTCTGTGTTACCGGTATCAGCAACATTTGCGCTAACCGCCAACGGTTCAATCGTCTAGACAGAAAGTCAAATTTTTTAATGGATCATACCTAAATGCTTGGCTTTTAAACCGTTAAGCTCAGAAAAAAAATCAGATTCTTTCTGAGAATTTTTAATTTTTTTTCAACATTTATGAAATATTTGAACACATTTAAAAAATTTGAATATTGGAAAAAAGACTTTTTAGGAGATTATATATTTTTTCACAAAATTTGATCATCTTTGAAAATACTAGAAAACAGTCATTTTTTGTAATCTTCTTTTGTTGAAAATTTTGATATTTCTTGACTTTTTGTTACCCATTCATGTTGGTTTATCAACACTGTCTAAAATCTCATTTTTGACCACCAAATGGCATTTTTTAAAACTTTTTTTCTAGATCTGCAAAACCACTGGACCTGCCTTTGCAAAAAATTAATCAATTCTTTATTTCGTAAATACAAGTAAAATGTTTTTTAAATTATTCAAATCGGACACTCAAATCTCTTAAACACTGAATTACCATTTTTGACACTTTTAAACCCGTATCTTTGAAATGGCTGCACTTGCCTTCGCCAAAAACTAATCAGCTCGTCTCCTTATCAATAGGAATCGAATGTTTTTTTAATCATTCAAATCGGCGGATCCGTGTTCTTAAAATCGTCGACGAACAATTGTATCCGTACATTCATTCAAAAACACAAAGGCACACATACATCAAGTATGTCAAAATGTTCAGAAACCTATGAAACGTAAAGATATGCAAAAATTGGGTAATTATCGACTGATAGCCAATAAAATTATGTTTATTTTGAACAAGGTTCAAGATATGTAAAAATATTGATTGAAGTAATATTTCTCTATACTATAAATATTATTCATTAATTAAACATATGGTTGATATTTATTAATGAGGGATAGAAAACTTATATATTAGCATACACATAAATCATATGCATCAGAAACCATACTTATGTAATAAGTATACTTTTTAAATAAATAAATTTTTCTTATTTTAGTTAGAATTTGACGACCAATATGATTCTGATTGTTCTGTACCATAAATCCTGAAAATGAACATAAAATTTGAGAAATATACGCATTTTTCAACTCTTTAAAAAGAGTTTTTATTTAACGTATTATTCCAAAGGGCCACATTTTTCTCTATTACTTTCGGAAATGACAAACATTTTCTTCTAGCAATATGTTATTACTTTTCTATAAATGTAATATTACTGCAATACATGGTGATCTTTTAATTTTAATGTCGTTGAATTATTTCATTTTATTACGCTATAATTTATTCAATGGCATATCAAAATATAGAACGTATAAATGATGAAATGTTTTAAGATTAAAAATATTACTAATATCTACAATAAAAAGTAAACTTTTGATAACCTATCTTAATAGTATTTATATATACAACTATTATCAAATTTTAAACAAATCTAAAGTTGAAGACTCCTGTTACAATTCAATTTACTTCTACATATACACATAACTTAGATTTTGTTTAAATTACACATAACCAGATTTTGTTTAAAAAAATATGAAAGTGATCTATTTTTTAATACTTTGTTTATCATGCGACGATAAGAAATTGTTAATGATGCAAAAATAGTCTTCGTTTCAGGATATTAACAGTAGTTATATAAATAATAACAGCTATAAAGATTAGATTATTTATATTTAATAGATGACTATAGTATAGATCTAGAAATGATGTAAAATTGAATAGTTAATTAATTGTCATATTAATTAGCTTAAAGCCAATTCCAAATTTTGTCTTTTATTTAAATATATTTATAACATATTTATAAAAATAAATATCTTTTTCGAAACATAATTTATTACTTTACATGATTTAATTTGAAGAGGTAACATATTCACTGCTTCATAATCATTTAAAAATAATGATTATGTAATATGATAATTACACTACAGCGTAAATTAGAATGCGCTCAATTCAAGAATTAATTTGCCATTCATTTGCAAATTTAATGAAATGTACATACTAATGTGTATATATATATATATATATATATATATATATAATTATATTCAATTAATTCAAACTAATTCAAAATAAAAGAATGACTCTTCCAGAGAAACTTGCTAACAAATCTCATGTGAAAAATCATGTTTATAACTAGATTAAATTTTACTGAAAATGTGTAATCATTTAATTTTTTTTGATAAATAATAAAAAACAATTAAACTTTCTAATTTTATAAAATTTATCTATTTCACTGGTCCCTAAGAAGAAGTTTGTTTTCCCCAAAAGATCTGATTTGATAATTTTATATTTCATTCTGAGTCGATTAGCATTATAATTGGCAAAATTATATGCAAGCCGATTTTTGACCTTTCGTCTACGTTGTCTCTAAAAACGGCTGAACCGATTTTAAAAATTTAAAAGCCATTCGATGAAACTCGATAAGGGCTACCGTTGATTAGTTCTTTGAGACGATCAGCCGAGCCGTTTCCTTAGAATTAGCATAAAAAAATTTCGTCCACGTTTTCCCAAAAAATACTTAACATAGTTTTAAAATTTCAAAACCATTCGAAAGGTGCCAATTGGGGATCGTGCTGATTAGTATTTAGCAAAGGTCGGTTGGGCCGTTTCTTCGGAAATTATTCTTGAATTTATTTAACGATTTGGAGAAATTTTATTTTATGATTATAGAGCTCCTGATCTTAACATCCTGAAACATTTTGAGCCTAAGAAAAGTAATGGTTTCATCATTAAAACTCATCAAAGTTTTGAATAATGGGTCGTATAAAAATTTCAAAGCGTCACATTTTTCAAAGTTGATAAATTTCAATTCATATTGCTTAATTATTTATATCGCAAAGTTTTTGCCACTTGTCATAAGGCAAAATGCCATTTACACCTAGTTTATTAACTTCTCGTATGGTAAGTTATTGTAATCGTCCAAAAATCAAAATTAAATTTGTTTACATATCTTCACGTTTTGAAGGTTTCTGAACATTTGTCATACCTTAAAAAAATTGATGTGTGTGTGTGTATGTATGGATAAAATTTTTCGTCCACGTTTTCGGGCGCACGGATCAACCGATTTGAATGGTTCAAAAAACATTCGATTCTTCTTGATAGGGAGATGTGCTGATTAGTTTTTGGCAAAGGCAGGTCCAGCCGTTTCGGAGATACGGAGCACAGAGTGCAGAAAATAGAAATCATGTTTTTGAGAGAACGGAGCATCCGATTTGAATGATCTAAAAAACATTCAGTTCGTAATGACAGGGAGAAGTGGTGATTAGATTTTGGCAAAGGCAGGCCCAGGCGTTTCGGAGATACCAAGCTAAATGGGCAAAAAATGGCAGTTTTTGAGAGATCTAAGCATCCGATTTGAATGATTCAAAAAACTTTGTGCTTGTTTTGACAAAATTATTGCTTTTGTAAATTTTGGTTCTAATTAGATATACGTTAACGTATATACTTTAAATAAATAATTTTAACTTTGTAATTCAGTTTACATAATTCTTATAAATATTAGACAATGTTACAGTATTTATAATAATCTATATGAAAACATTTAATATTCCTCGAACATTTCGTTACGGTACGGGAAGTACCAGCAATTTGCCTTAAGGCATGACGCCATACACAACTAATTATTATTAATTTTGTTACTTGACTGACTCATCTTTGAGAAAGTATATTTATAAAGATTATTTATAAACAAAACAATTTTGATAAACCCTGCATTAGTTCCAAGGACAAAGGGTGAAAGGTTTATACTAGTACCAACTACAGGTAAAAACATTAAAATAGTATTTAAAATTTAATTAATGATCAATAAAAAAATCATTTTTACTAAAATAGAACAATTTTAAAAATAATACCTGAACTTCTGTGTCGACATCTTTGTTAACTACAAAATCTGGAGACGATGAAGGCTGTTCATTTATTGGATTGTCTGCACTAATATCACTAAAAGATTTTTGAATAAAACAAAAACTTATCACTATAAATAATAATTTGTGCTTCATGTTTAGATGTTATTTCTACTACAACGCATTAATGACTTCGCCGAAGTATGACATTTGTTTATATGTCAAAGACGATCATAGAGATATAATACAGCAGATGGATAGAGTTTTTTAATAACCTCTCTACATTTGAAACTTTGCAATATTGCAAACGTTGCAAAACTAATATTATTTATTGTATTTATTATATTATTTATTAGCATATTATATAGCATATTATTTATAATTAGAAACATAAATATAATATAGACTAAGCCAGTTTTAAAAAAATACAGAAGTGAAAACTAAAAATGTTGTATTTATGTTGTAATAACATCACTAAGTTGCAAAATTTTAATTATATTCAAATCTTAAAATTTTTAAAAGATGAACTACTTACGAGAAGTGGTTTAACTATAAAAAATCGTAAATGAAATAATGGGCCGTGCCAAAACTTAAAAATTCAATAGTTCAAATTTTAAAAGCAGCGAAATTTCAATACTTTAATAATAAAGTTATATATTTATTTACACATGCTAATTAAGAAACTTTGGCAAATTTTCTCAAGGTAAAATGCCACTTACATTTAATTAATTATTATCTTCCCATAGGGTAAGTTAATCGCAAAAAATCGAAAATGATTTTTTTTATATATATTACGTTTCAGAGGTTTCTGAATATTTTGGCATATCTTAGAAAAAATTGATGTATGCATAGATAAAAAAAGAGTATGGATATATGTATGTGTATGTGTGTGTATATGTGTGGGCGGATACAAATTTTCGTCGACAATTTTGGGAACACCGATCAACGGATCAACCGATTTGACTAATTCAAAAATCATTCGATTTGTATTGGTAAGGAGACGTGCTGATTAGTTTTTGGCAAAGGCAGGTTTAGCCTTTCAGAAGATACGGGGCAAAAAGTGCCGCAAACGGTAACTCAATTTTTAAGAGAACGTAGGGTCCGATTGTAATAATTCAAGAAACATCTCACTTGTATTGACAAGTTGAAGGTCTGATTAAATTTTTGGGAAGGCAGGTTCAGTGGTTATGGGCTCTCAATAAAAATAAGTTAAAAAAATGTCATTTTGCAGTCAAACATGTTTATTGGACATATGTACATCAAATTATCAAATATTTTATAAAGATTTTAATAATGTGTACACATTTTGTGTATTTTTTTTGGGTTTCGTACCAAGATTTTTAATAACGATACGGGAAGTTCTAGCAATTAGTCTTAAGGCACGATGCCATGCACCCCACTAATAGTTATTTTCTATACATAACACAAAAAACGTATTTAATGCAGAACTGTTTATATTTAAAAAATTCTCAAATCTCGTTAAGTGAGTTTATATAAGTTAAATATAACTAAGTTTATATAAGTTAAGTATAACTAAAATTATAAAATATAAAAACTATAAGACAAGTTTTTTTATTGATGCATTTCATTAAATTATATTTTTGGTTATAATTGCCAAAATAAATTAAAATATGTATACACCGTATACATATATGAATACGATATTATACGAATATATATAATATATTAATCATTTATTAATATTTGTAAATTTCAAATATTTGAAAATAACGGTTTAATTTCGAGAAGGATCATTTGTTCGAATCTGGCAACACCAAACTGAATTTTCTAATTATTATCATATGTGTCATGTTCGCCAGTAGTTTTGTGATAAAGTGGAACAAGATCGGGTTTGCACTAATTTTAAGGTTCGGTATGCATTAATTGTTATAAACATTTAAATCTACATTTGAAACCAATGCATTTAATATGCACTTCATTGTTCATTCCTTGATATTTTAATACATGCATTGGTATTGTGAAGTGACAGGCGGGCTCATTTTATTGAAAAAACGTTATATTCTCGGATTTGTTGCATGTTGTGTGAGTGCAATTTTTATCTTGTGCAAATTGCATCAGATTTAAAACTTTCTACAATACTTTTATACCATCATGCACTTATACATGTGTCAATACAAATATTCGTGCTAATATTTTCTTGATTTTAATGCGTTTTATAAGCTGTCATGTATTTTGCAAAAATAAAAATGCAATTTTTTTTCTAGGTATTCAAGTTATGATACAAACCCACACAAAATTACTTTTTATCTGCGGAGTAAGCAAAGGTTAGTTTAATGCATTCTTTTAATACAATCCTTCAGACTTTAATTGATTTTTGCATGCTTTTATTTTGACATACATTTAGTTACATGACGTTTTCCTTAAAAAAAATCATGTACACATGTCATCTAAATCTTGTTTAAAATTCTAATTTGAGTGCATCCACATGGGTATATATATATATATATATATATATATATATATATATATATATATATATATATATATATATCAGGAATGTAGATATAAATAGAATTAATTGCATGTTTTAAAAGCAAGATGCATTTTTGCTTTCAAACATGAATTAATAATTACCTTTATCTATTAAATAATTAAATATTTTTTTACATATTTTAAATTAATTTAATAAAATTTTGCATATTTTAATTGACATTCTTGCACACTCATGCATAAAGCTCATAGATTCTTTTTGCATATTTACACAGCTGTATATATATTTAAAACTACAGTTATTTATAAGAAAGTTTACTGAAGTATGCTTTAACGAATTGCAAAACATTGTACAAAATTTTGAATTTTTCAAAAAGTATATATTTTTGTTTTAACTTCTATTCATAATTTCATCTTATATTTCTATATTTTTGACTCTTATAATAAGTACAACAAATACTTTATTATATCAATACGATATGTTCATTTGTATCGTACGAATTGATTCAAATCAATTGAAATCAAAACTTACAAGATGCCGAAGACACGCATCGAATAATTTAATTTGCATTGAATTGTATATGCCATTTAGACTTTCTTCAGTATATCTGATTATTATGCGTTTTAATTGATGCCTCTCGTGCCTTAGGTATATGTGGTACCTCATAACTATACTTATTCCTTTTATTTTAAATTTTTATTGACCGAAGTCAGCCATATATTCATTTTATAACCATTAAGTGTTATTAATTTTTAATGGAAAAAATTAATTGAATTTAGTTTTGTTTTATTAATCTTATTATTATGTTATTGGTGTTTCTTTACAAAAACATAGATGTTTTCTTAATACAATCAACCCATTTCAAATGAACTTAAAAATTTCTGAAACAATTTGCGTTGCAATTGAATAAGAAAGAAATTTATTTGTAATAGTTTGATGGATCAATTTGTAATGATGGGATGAACTGGTTTTTGTAGCTCGAATAATAAGAGTATGAAATTTCTTAATATTCCCAATGCTAAATTTTATTCGAAGAATTGCGAATCCCAATCTAATTTATATTGTGGCACAGTAAGGATAAGTCATGCTGTTATTAACAGATAATTTTTTTTTTTTAAATCTTGAATTATTTGTTGTGAATAGCGTTGATTTCTTTTCTTTTAGAAATATTCGATATTTCTGGAAATTTTAGCTGGCAACATATCTTGTTTGCCATTGAATTGAAGATTGAAGTACATACATTGTTCCTATACAGCAAGTCATTTTCATTGCAAAATTTAAGTATTCAGTAGATCTCATTTTTTGCTACTATGATACGTTAACAATTTGAACATTTTATTTTGATATTATTAAATATTTATTATTGTATGGATATTAGTATTTTACTTTTATTATTAACTTTAATTTCATTGTGATAAAATAAAGAAAAAATAGTTCATTCTGATTCGTTTGTCCCTCGTTTTTAACATGTCAGTCAATAATATATCTCTTAAGAGATATATTAATGTTAAACTAGTGGTGAATGGCATCGTGCCTTAAGGCAAATTGCTGGAACTTCCCGTACCGCAACGAAATGATCGAGGAATATTAAATGGTTTCAAATGGATTATTATAAATATTGTAACATTGTCCAATATTTACAAGAATTATATAAACTGAATTGCAAAGTTGAAATTATTTGTTTAAAGTATATTAGAACAGAATTAAAACGAAAATCTGAATTATTTTCGATACACAATTTTTTTTTTTTAAGTGGAAACAATTGTTTTCCAAAAACAATTATTTTGTTGAAACAAGCAGAAAATTCTTTGAATAATTCAAATCGGACGCTTAGTTCTCTTAAAAACTGCTATTTATTGCACATTTAGCTCTGTATCTTAGAAATGACTGGACCTGCCTTAGCTAAAAACTAATCAATTCTTCCAATCATTTCAAATTGAATGTTTTTCAGGTAATTCAAAACTCGACTTCTATTTTCTGTACTCTTTGCTCCGTATCTCCGTAACGGCTGGACCAGCCTTTGCCAAAAACTAATCAGCATATCAATAAGACTCACATCTCCATATCAATAAGAATCGAATGTTTTTTGAACCATTCAAATCGGTTGATCCGTGCGCTTGAAAACGTGGTCGAAAAAATGCGGACATACCAAACACACACACACATCCATTTTTTCTGAGGTATGCCAAAATGTTCAGAAACTTTTAAAACCTCGAGAAATGCAAAAATTTTTATTTTCGATTTTCGGCCCATTACTATAACTACCCTACGGGAATTTAACAAGTGATAAACAAATCCTCAGAATAAATATTTTTTCTGTGTATTAATCACAATTAAATTAAAGTAATAAATGTAACATAGCAAGTTATTCAGTAACTTTGTAACTTATTTTTATGAAGGACTTGATAGGAACCGGAATAAAATCTATGAACCAACCAGTATCAACTAGGATCTGCATATCTTTTTATTACTTAAATAAAAATGTTTCATAGGTGTATTTTATTTTCATGTAATTTTTACAATATCTTTTACATGAATCTAAATAAACAATACAAGCTATCAATTACACATTTCAATTAATTATTCAATAACTTGATTAATAGGCAACGCAATATTCTTGCTTCATACGCCACTGTTTTTCTTGCAACCTCGGCAGGACTTAATTCTTCTTCATTTCCCCAATCTTGTGAAGATGGTCCTGTTAAAACGCTACTGATTCTTTTACCATATGCTAAAAGAAAAAAATGACCTTTATTAAAATATTAGTTCGTATAAATTTATTTGATTGAGATTAAGTTTATTTGCTTATACATGGGATTTCATTGTGATTTATTGGCTTAATGATATTCAAATGATAATCAATTTTTTAATAAATAAAATAAAAATCAAATTGTTTCACCTAATATAATGCAAATAGGAGCAAGCAAGGGTCAGGCATGTGTTTATCAATAGCAATTATTGTCTAATGATTAATTATTATAATTTAATTTCGGTTATTTTTAACAAGGTGGTGCAGAGAATGTTTAAACTATTAAATGCAAATGAAATTTTGTATTAATATTCCAGTGTACAGAATGATATTGTTATATAATTTTATTTGTGCACTCATAGGATTTTCCATTCTTGCGATCGATGCCTTCCTTTTCACCTTCAAAATAATACACACCTATCCCCCGCTTTATACGTTTTTTGAAAACAATTTCCTTTAACGAATTTAGTCATTTTTATTTACACGAAATTGTAAACATTTAACTATAATTTGTTAATATTAATTATTAATTAGATTAATAATTATATTAATCGTATTTCAAAATACAGTACTTCAAAATGTATGTTACAGTTACGAATTCTCAGTAATCTCTCTTTGATGCTGATGAGGTGGAACTCCCCGTTTTATGATCAAAACTAAATTTTATGTGTGTATAAGCTAGTTTGCTAGAAACCAAATCAAAGAGAATTGTTTTTAAAGTTTATTTTTAATTAGTGTATGTATATAATATAATTGATGGTGTAAATTTCTCGTGAGTAAATATCAGATTCAATATTCTAATAATTTAATAAATATATTAATATTTATTTTTCGTTCAATGTGCTTGTTATGTAAAAATAATCTTCTTATAGTGATTTTCGTTTAGCACGATTTTTATATAAAAGTGAATTTTTCGAGTTACACTTTTTTTTATGGAACCTATCTTCATAGGTGTATTTGGCCTAATATATTTATTGAATATTTATAATACTCCTTATAAAACAGTTCGTATAAAATTCATTTTCACACATACGACATATTTATTCTTTGATTTATTTATACACTGTGTACGTAAATAGATTCAAAAACTAATATTTATCGATGTAAAATTCAAAAACAATATCACTTTATTTTTAGTACAAAACTTCAAAGTCAAAGTTAATTTAATTAACATGATTATAACTTGCACATTTTAGTAAAAATGCGCGAATGTGATGACTTTGTATAGATAGATATGAATTTTGGGAATATCCTATTTGTATTTTGAGACAAATGTACTATATTCGTTTGTAAGAATTATTTTTGTGTAAAGAACGTTTGGGCACTTGCTGTCATTTGAAACTTAATTAAGACGCAATCCCAATTTATCGATTTGTCTAGAGAACGCGTAAGCCAACATATAATGATGGGCCGTAAGTTTTTTTTCATATGAATTTTATGCTCATTATGAAGTTTGAGAAAATAATCACGTACAACAAAAATAAAAACAATATCAAATAGCATAACAGTTTTTTTACTGCATACCAATTAAAGCGAAATATATGAAACTTTAAGGGGGTATTGTAGTGTAAGGGCATGAATTTTAGGCATATACCTTATACATACATGTATTATAAGATCTATGATTTTATTCCATTTTCAAATCATAGTAAAAAATAGGAAATCATTTTTTTTATACTTTATTTATCGATGTTAAGATGGAAGAAAAACATTAAAACAAAAAAAGTTAACAATTTTAAAAATTAAGTGGTCGAAGTGTCTCATAAAGTTAACATGTGACCATACCCACGATTGCAACTCACCTAGTCATTCGAAATGAAAAAGAAAAACTAGTGGGGCGTCGTGCCTTAAGGCAAATTGCTGGAACTTCACGCACCAAATTTTTTTTTTTTAAAAAAGATGAAGATTTTTGAAAAAAAATTACTCTGAAAAATTAGATTTTTGAAAAAAAAAATACTCTGAAAAATTAGATTTTTGAAAAAACTATAAATTTTGGACAAAAATTTACTTTTTTTTGAGAAAAACACTTTTTGAAGAAAAGTTTATTTTGAAATATTTTGGAAATTCTGAACTTTTTTTTCAAAGCAATCGTACTGCTTTAACATAGCATAGAGACGAAATATTGAAGTGCGTAAGCGCCGCGCCGCCGTCTAACGGATAAGCATTGGTACGGAACCCATAGGAATGTAAACAAAATTTATACTTATTGTTAAAATCTCTATAAAATATCTGATAATTTGATGTGCACATGTCTAATGATCATTTTTGACCGCCAAATGGCATTTTTTTCTACTTTTTTTACTAGATCTCCGAAACCGCTAGACCTGCCTTCATGAAAATTTGATCAGTTCTTCATCTTATTAATACAAGTAAAATGTTTTTTTGAATTATTCAAAGCGGACGCTCCGTTTCCTTAAAAACTGAGTTACCGGTGTTGGCACTTTTTGCCTCATATCTTCGGAACGGCTAGACCTGCCTTCGCCAAAAACGAATCAGCACGTCTCCTTATTAATACAAATCGAATGTTTTTTGAATTATTCAAATCGCTTCATCCGTGTTCCCGAAATCGTCGACGAAAATTTGTATCCGCACACACACACACATACATCTATTTTTTCTAAGGTGTGCCAAAATGTTCAGAAGGTTTTGAAACGTAAAGATATATAAAAATTTTCATTTTCGATTTTTTGCGATTACTATAACTTGCCCTACGGGAAGTTAAAAATCGGGGGCATCGTATTCAAAAAGACAGTTTTAAGTAAAACACGTTTAAAGTTTCACCAAAGGTAGGAAACAAAAGAGGATAATCATGGTCAAACAGCTGTATCTCCGAAAATAATTTAAATTTTTAGAAATCCTGTCGTACACATATTCTTAAAAAGTTATGCTTTTGATAAATAATTTCTACACTAGAATATACCCCCTTAATAAAGAATTACTTCAATGAACTGATAATTTCGATTTGTTTTGTACTGATCTGGTACAAGTGACACTAAATAGTTGCAATATATTTACCACTAATTTCGAACTCAAAGATTCAGAAGATCAAACTTTTGTCATGAATTTTCATTTGTTTTAACGCTTATAAAAATCTATAGCGTAATTGTCAAAAGATAATCAATATCTTTATATATCTTTATAAAATATCTATTTGTTGGACCGTGATCAGTTTTAAAACAGCAGGAAGTGTTGCATTTAATGACAATGAGACAATAGGACATAAAGACGAACCTTAATGTAGCCGCGCCTTAGTAGCATTTAAAGAATAAGTGGTCTATTTCAGTTCTTCGGTGTCATCGTATAAATAAATACTACTGTAGTTTGAAAGCATTTCAGAGATGCAACAGCTCACTATATGCACGATACATTTGTGTTCTTGTTAAAATAATCGTCAAAATATTTTTGTATGTTTTGGAAGAATACATAGTTCTTCTAAATCATGATAAATTTTGGAACTAGCTATTTATATCCTTGTATGTGTATTTTCCTTAGACTTATTACATTCATATTGATTATACAGTAATATAAGAATTTTATTATCTTTGGTATTAAATATCATAAACTATGGATCTTTTACGAAAATAGATTATAACTCTTGGAGGGATATTTTACATCAGAATTTAAAAAAAGTCTTTGTATTTACAAAGTTCAAGAATGCGAGTAAAAGATGATTTTTCAAAATTTAAATTATTTTTGGATATATTTTTGACTACGACTAATGTTTTATTCCCGCTTTTTTACGATCTAGATTATCAAATGAAGTTTATACGATTTCGACATTATTCTAGATTTTTTTCTTCAGATTAGATCCCCACTTCATTACCTTCTAGAATTTACTATTTTTAATTTTTGATTTTTTTATATTCTAAAAGCATTCATCGATAACTTGGAAAAAAATATTAACTAGTTGGTTTGGTATTTAACCTTGAGGCAAATTACATGAACTTCCCGATATGTGTAAATAATCGACTTCATCAAAAAAAAAAAGTGTAAATAATATACTGCATCAATCCTACTTTAAAAAAACGATAATAATTTTAGCAAAGTTTGACGAATTTTTAAAATTAAACTATTTGTCGTAAGGCCGTAATATTACAGTAAGTTCTATAAGACCATGATGTATATCGCCAAACAAAGTTCCATGAAAATCATCAAAACGGCTCGGTAGATTTTCACCTAAAATTAATCAGTGCCATTCCCAATTAATATCTTTCGAACAGTTTTTGATTTTTTAAAATCGGTTCGGTAGGATGAGCTTAAATGTGGACGAAAAGTTTAACACTTTTTTTCAACAGTTAATTACAAGAAAACGGCTCGGTAGATTTTCACCTAAAACTAATCAGTATCATTCCCAACTAATATCTTTCGAACAGTTCTTGATTTTTTAAAATCGGTTCGGTAGTATAAGCTTACATGTGGACGAAAGGTTTAACACTTTTTTCCAAATTACAAAGAAACGGCTCGACCGATCGTCGCACAAAACTGAGAAACGATAATACTTATCGAGATACATCAAATGCTTTTTAAATATCACGAATCGGTCCAGCCCTTTTTGAGCAAACGTCGATGAAAGTTCTAATTTTGACAAATGCCAAAAAGATCATACTAATTTTTGCAAACTTTGACAAATTTTTGAAGCTAATGCGCCGTAATATTTTAGTATGATCTAGAAGACTATGGTATCTACCGTCAAAAAAATAAACATAAAAATCGTCGAATTTTTTTTTTTTAAACTTTATTACAAGAAAACGGCCCGGCCGATCTCTACAAAAAACTAATCAGCACGATTCCCAACCAATATTTTTCGAACGGTTTTTGAATTTTCGAAATCGATTCAGAATTGCGGGCTAAAACGTAGACGAAAAATTTTTCACTTTTCTGCGATTTATAAAGAAACGGCTTGGCCGATCGTCGCACAAAATTAACAAACAATAGTCCTCATCGAGATACATAGAGTGGCTTTTAAATTTTTGAAATCGGTCCAGCCGTTTTCGAGAAAACGTCGATTTACGTCAAAAAATCTGTTCACATACACGCACACACACACACTTTTTCGAAAGTTGGTCTCATTCGATTCAGAATGGCTTAAAACGTCGAGAAAACATAAAATTAGCAATTCGGATTTTTTGATGAAAACATAAACTTCTCCTTCGGGAAGTTAAAAAATATTGTTCGCTTTTTTATTATGGCCCATTACGACCTTCCAAAAATCGCATTAAAAAGAATTAGGAAGAAATAAGAAAGTAAATTGTCGCGTACTTCTTGGGTATACTTCAATTTTTTGTAAAATAGGGAAACTTTTCTTTGTGAAAGGTATTATCCAATTGAATAAAAAACCGTTTAAAGCGTATTTTCCATCGAAAATTAGAAAGCATTTCCATGCAAGGAAAAGCTATTATAGCGATTTTATGATAGCACGACAGGATTCATTTGGGGTTCATAATAATATTAGGAGTCCCGATATTATTGTATAAAATATTTATAATCAGTTTTTTATTAGCAAGTTATCTATTAGAATTAAGCATAAATATTTAATATTCACCTTCACAGTTTTCGAGAAACAATAGTGTTTCTTTAAGCGCCGCACTGGGTATAACCAATGATTGTTTCGCAAGTCCCGCGCATAATGCGAGCACGCACCTTTTTGCGTGTAGCCAAGTGTCTGCACACAACCGTTCTCCAGAGGCTGCTGAATGTTCCCCGATTCCTGGCGGTGCATCTCCAATACCCGCCGAACCTAGGCCGCTGTTTGTACTGGTACCAGCGTTACCTTCGAGAGCACGAGAAACTCTCGATAAACCAAATTCATAATTGCCTTTTGAGCAGTACAACGTACTAAAATAGAAAGTATATTAATGCCGCAATGATATAATTGAAATGTCAACGTTTAGTGCAGTAAACGGAGAGGAAAAAAGGGTATAACCTCTGAATTTTTTTACTGTGCTCCGAATTGAATGAAATTTTGGAATTAGGTTCATCTTACCACCAAGTTCAAAAGTGAAAACAATTCGGGTTGCGCCATCACCCCCTGGGGGGTTGACACCCCTTCTAAATTGTGTAATTACATTTTTTCAAAATAACGTCGGAAACCGATAGAAGAACTAATTATAATAAAAAAATGTCTTATATAGTTTTTCAAAAAAACTAATACTTTTCAAGTCACTGGCCACTGAAGATTCATATATTTTTGGCGTTTTTCTTCGTTTTTTTGCAAATATCTCCTAAAATATACATTTTAACGAAAATCATGTAATGAACAAAATAATGTCAATAAAAATCTTAATAAATCGGTATTACATAGTGTTCTAGGAAAAATATTAAGCAAGATTTGAGAGAGCAAAGTCGTTTTTTATTTCGTTCAAGATTTAATTGTTGTATTTAAAGCCATCTAGTGTCGAGGTTTTACATTTTATGCATTTCGGTGAAATTGGGTTTTATAGTACTCAACATTAGCTTTGAAATGAGTGCTGTTACAAGTTTTTTGCGTGTAAAATGAATGAGCTATCATGCAAATAAGAAACATATACGAAGTTTTTTTCTTTTAAATCATATGGTTTAATGAGCGCCATTTCCACCAGAATTAAAGTATGTAAATTCACATTCCATCTAGAATTCACTTCATTATAGACATCTTTATGGATTCTAGCAGATTCACTACTTTAGTACAAACTATTTTCAGAAAACTCACAATTTTATAAAACTTTTTTTTCCATTTTTTTTAAAAATCGAACTAATTTTCATAATATCTCAAAAAGAATAAAAGATACGTATAAAAGCATGTAGATAAAAATCAAGGGAATCTTTATGGCTTATTATTGTTTTTTATTATTTTTCTTTCACACAAAAATTGACAGAGTTATGAATGTTTAAAGACTGCGCCGCCGCGCAAATTGGAAAATAAAGTTTTTATAAAATCGTGAGTTTTCTGAAAATAGTTTGTACTAAAGTAGTGAATCTGCTAGAATCCATAAAGATGTCTATAATGAAGTGAATTCTAGATGGAATGTGAATTTACATACTTTAATTCTGGTGGAAATGGCGCTCATTAAACCATATGATTTAAAAGAAAAAAACTTCGTATATGTTTCTTATTTGCATGATAGCTCATTCATTTTACACGCAAAAAACTTGTAACAGCACTCATTTTAAAGCTAATGTTGAGTACTATAAAACCCAATTTCACCGAAATGCATAAAATGTAAAACCTCGACACTAGATGGCTTTAAATACAACAATTAAATCTTGAACGAAATAAAAAACGACTTTGCTCTCTCAAATCTTGCTTAATATTTTTCCTAGAACACTTTATGTAATACCGATTTATTAAGATTTTTATTGACATTATTTTGTTCATTACATGATTTTCGTTAAAATGTATATTTTAGGAGATATTTGCAAAAAAACGAAGAAAAACGCCAAAAATATATGAATCTTCAGTGGCCAGTGACTTGAAAAGTATTAGTTTTTTTGAAAAACTATATAAGACATTTTTTTATTATAATTAGTTCTTCTATCGGTTTCCGACGTTATTTTGAAAAAATGTAATTACACAATTTAGAAGGGGTGTCAACCCCCCAGGGGGTGATGGCGCAACCCGAATTGTTTTCACTTTTGAACTTGAGGGTAAGATGATCCTAATTCCAAAATTTCATTCAATTCGGAGCACAGTAAAAAAAATTCAGACCTAAAACGCTCCGTTTACTGCACTAGTTTTGATGATTAATTTGTTATGATTTTTCAAAGGCGTTTTTTTACCCGATAACTAAATTGACGATACATAAATGCAACTGGGGTTTGCCATCGGCATCTGAACCTTTCCTTTCTTCTTCACGTTCGATTCTTCTCATTAGTTCCTCAGCAGCTTCGTTTTGAGATGTCATTATATAGGCGACACAAAGATTAGCTAACACTCCGGCTGATACGGCTAGTACGTCACCGTCCAGGCGAGATCTTACTAATGGTTCGTATAATGCAGCTGCCTCCTGATAATAAAAGAAACATTTCAATTTGATCTAATGGCGATATTACGAATCTGGCAATACTATTCCAGTTACCTTATATCTATCTCCAGCCATGAACAAAACGTGAGCGGCTAACAATTTCCATTCTGGAGCTTCGGCACAAAATTCTGCAGATGCTCTAAACTCTTGCTCTGCCGCAGCCCAATCTCTTCTTCGCCAAGGCAACCATGCTTGCGCGGCAGCCACTGGTAAATATTTGCTCAAAGTTTCTTCGTAATCGCGAACTGTTGATCGAAGACTAGCTTGATCCCCCCTTGAATTATGAAAAAAGATCGATCAAAGACGATAAATTTATAGTACTTTTATTAATTGTGAGCATGAATGTAATTTTGAAATATTACTTGTGTCTCGCATCTTCTACTTTCGCGGTCAGGGATCTTAATCTAGTTGTTAAGCTGCTAGCTAATGCTTCCAATTTCATGGCTGCTTCTGCTGGGGCAGTTTGGCTGCATATCAATGCATCAATCAACTCATACAGAAACTGTAAAAAAAACTCTGTCCGCAATCATTTGATGTATAAATATATAATTGTTATTCGTCAGTAAGTGTAGCATGCTGATGTCAATAAATCATTTTGTTGAACATGCATATTTATCATAAAAAAATAAGTTACTGACATAGCTACCTGTTTAAAATTACTAATATCAATGAATTTTATAATTATATTATTGGGACTAATTAGTTTTTATTGTTTGATATCTTGGATGCTTTTATAGCATTAATTTTACTATCTGCAATTCATTATATAACATGTATGATTGAATACGTATGTGCTGCAAGCGTTTGACTACTAATTGCAAAATAAGACAGGCTGGCCTCGACAAAAACTTATTACTTCTACATTTTTATTTTATCCTAACTCATACGAAAGCTGTTTTATCTTTACCGGTGTTAAGCAGCGATAAGTAAGATCAGCATGATCGGCCAGCGCATCTGCTGCTGCATCAAATAATTCATGCTTGCAGCAAATAATCAATAGATTAGCTAGCGTCTGCTGTGGACAGGTTGGTGCGCCTAAAGCAAGTAAATAGCTTAATCTGCGCAATCCTTCTGGTCCTCCTTTGGTAATCGCCAAGTTATGCAATGTTACTGGGTCTAATTCCGGTTCGGATCTCGGTGGCAGATCCATCATTGCTTCAATTGCGCCTTCCACTAGAAAGGAAAATATGTTTACTTTTATATGAAAATTAATGAAATTTTTATCTATATTTCTCAAATTTTTGTCTAATTGTCAGATTTACTATTGGCAAACTTGGATTCAATCATTTTTGTTTATGCTGCCACGCTGACTTGAAACTTCCAATGTTTTTAAAACAATATCATTTTTACATAGCCAAAAAAAATATTCGATTGTTTCCCTTTCTAAATTTTTGTATTTGCAAACAAAATAAACTCATTTAACTATGTCAAATATTTTTAATAAGTTCAGCGTTTTTCTACGTAATCTGTTCACAAAATGTAAGTAATTATTTAAATTAAATTTTCAAGAGATCGGGCACGGAAATATTTATACAAATAATTGACTAACTATTTCCTTCTCGGTATTCTATGGCTGCTCTAAGATTTAGAGCCTGGGCAAGTCCTGAACTTTGCAAACTTGGAGGATTACCAATGCACCTTGGAGCACCTTCAGGATCTGCTTGAGCTCCTATTGCTAACTCAGGATGAGCACGTATGCCTCTTTCAACTATTTCACCTGAAATATAGCAAATTAATCGTAATTTCCAGTCAACGTGAATCATAATTACTTTTTGCCTAAAGAACGAATTCATTATAGGAAAGTTTTTAAAAGTTCGTATATATTAACAACGAAAGTACCATACCTAAATTTACAGTACGATTTTATTGGATATCGAAAAAAAAAATTATGATCGAGTTTGAAAATGTTTAAATTAACGTCGACTTTATTTGGACATATATTTAGGGACTTTTTACTTACGAACTTATTCTTGAATCAATTTCGAGTTACTTACTAATGTAGTTAATAGCAGAAGTGTTATCTCGCAACTTATAGTTGCACAGAGCTGCATTGTACGCCACTGTAGCCTTATACCCGCCTGTCTGTAGCGCCTCTGTAAATCGTCCCAATGCATCTTCGTACCGATCAGCCTAATAATATCATGCATTTATTAATATTGTTAGCTTATCAATAATTATAGATCTAGTAAATGCGCTAATATTTGCTTATATTGATGAGTATTGTGGGTATAATGAAAAATCATCTTTTTTTTATCAACATACTCTTATTTTTACAAATACTGTTATAATGAAGAGTAATGAATTGGATACTACTATCATTGTGTATATCGAATTCTAATTCTGACCATTTATTGCAGATTTTATTCAAAAGTTTGAGGTACCTGATAGAGTAAACAGCCCTCGTCGTTAAGAGTATCAGGATCAGAAGGTATTCTGTCTCCTAACGCGGCCTGCGCTCCAGTGTAATCTTCCTGGGCGTAGCGCACTGCTCCTTGCAGTCGGCAAACCTGTTCCACAAATCATTCAGGTGAGTTTTCTAATACTAATATATATAAAACTAATATTATACATTATTATATATATATGCAATTTATTGTATTTGGAATCAAATTTTGTTTCATTTTAATATTTGATTTTGCAACATGTACTTTTGCACAGCAAGACCAAACTTTTCTTAACATAATAGTTTTTTATTGAACTTTAGAGTATAAGATAATTATCACAGTTCTAAAAATCTTAATTTATTTATAATCTCCAGTTAAAAATACAATAAACGATAAAAATGGAAGAAGATACTGATTTCAAAAAACTTCCCGTTGAGGAACGATGTGCTCACAAACTCTGGAAAGCACGTGTTGATGGCTATGAAGAAGCTACCAAAATCTTCCGTCTTATGGACGATGAAAAATCGAGAGAATGGATGAAATACCTTGGTATGTTGAAAAAATTTGTGTCTGATTCTCACGCACTTGCTCAAGAAAAAGGATTGGAAGCTTCTCTTGCATTTGTTGAAAATAGCTCATTTGCTGGTCGAACAGTTGAAGATGTAATGAATGCAGTAGTCACAAAATGTATCGCTGCGCCTAAAGCTCGTACAAAGGAATTGGCACAACAACTTGCATTGGCTTACATAGAAATAGAGAAACAAGAGGCTGTAGTTGAAGCCTTAGTTCAAGGAACTGAACATAAAAATCCCAAAATTGCCGCCGCGTGTATAGCCACGCTGTCCCTCGCATTAAAAGAATTTGGAGGTAAAGCAATAGATCTGAAACCACTGATTAAACGTGCCCCTGCACTACTTACAGGAAAAGATCCAAATGTCAGAGCTGAAGGAAAAATATTAACTATTGAATTGTCAAGATGGGCACTTCCTGCAGTAAAACAATTAATCAGTAGTTTGCCAGCAGTTTTAGTCGGGGAACTTGAATCTGAATTTACGAAAGCTGCCGCGACAGGTCCTCCAGCACCTACGCGATTACTAAGGTCACAACAAAAGCGACAAGCAGAGCAACAAGCAGCAGGTGGAGGAGGTGGTGGAGATGGTGAAGATAATGCTGATGGAGAAATTGCTCAAGAGGCATCCATAGATCCATTTGATTTATTAGATCCAGTTGATATTTTAAGTCAGTTGCCCAAAGATTTTTATGAGAAACTTGAATCCAAGAAGTGGCAAGAACGACGAGAATCTCTTGATGCATTGGATGGTTTATTAAATAATGCACCAAAGTTGGCTTCTGGCGATTATGGAGATTTAGTTAAAGCACTCAAGCATGTTCTAGCAAAAGATACAAATGTTTTATTAGTAGCTACAGCTGGAAAATGCTTGGGATCTATGGCTAAAGGTCTAAAGAATGGTTTTACACCATATGCTTTAGTTATTTTGGGGGTTATATTGGAAAAGTTCAAAGAGAAAAAACAAAATGTTGTACTTGCTATAAGAGATGCTGCTGATGCCGCTTATACTTGTACAACCCCTGAAGCTTTAGCAGAGGATGTCTGTGCTGCTTTGAACAATAAAAATCCATCCATTAGGATGGAAACATGCTCATTTCTTGCCAGAGCTTTTACTCGAACTCAGCCTGCTCATTTGTCCAATAAGAAGCTTTTAAAACAATATGCATCTGCTCTTGTAAAATGTATGAATGATCCAGATCCGGTCGTACGTGAACAAGCTGCAAATGCCATTGGGACAAGTATGAAATTGCTTGGTGAACGTACTATGCAGCCTTACTTGACTGAACTTGATGAGCAAAAGATGAATAAGATAAAGGAATTTTTTGAAAAAGCTGTTATTGTTGTTGTAATTCCAAAAGTTATAAAGAAACCTGAAGTTAAAAAACCTGAACCGGCAGCAGCTGCAGCTGGCAGTCCAAAAGTTAAACCTGCAGGAAAAATGGCTTATGGGAAAAAGCCTGTGATAAAAAAGCCTTCTGCTAGGCCTTCAAGTGCTTCAATCTCTGCACCTGCTAAAAATAATTCTCCACCTGAACCTGCCATGGAAGAAGCACCAACAGCTGAAGTTGCCACAACAGAAACTGGAGCAGTTGATGTATCATCTCAAATAACAGATGCCTTAATTGCTGAGTTGTCTGATAAAAACTGGAATACAAGGCATGACGCTCTTACAAAAATCTCCGCTATCATTGGTGGAGGCCCTATTAAAGCTGAATTAGGTGATCTACCACAGGCATTGGCTGCTAGACTTGTTGATAGTAATAGCAAAATAGCTCAAAATGCTTTGGCTTTATGCCAAACGATTGCAACAAATGCTACAGGTGCAAATGCAATGAGAAGGCATGCTAGAACGCTCTTTCCTGGATTTGTTCATGGTCTAGGTGATGGAAAAGCTTGGATACGTACGGCTTCTTTAGCTTGCATGGATGCATGGGGCGATAGATGTGGATATCATGAGTTCCTGGAAGGTGAAATGATTCACGATGCATTAAAAGAAGGATCTCCAACTTTAAGGGCAGAATTATGGTCATGGTTAGCAAAAAAATTACCAAATATTCCACCAAAGAAATTCCACAAGGATGAGCTACTAATTTGTTTGCCCATACTTTTTTCTAATATTGAAGATAGAAATGCTGAAGTGCGGAAGAATGCGGCAGATGCAGTAACTGCATTTATGATTCATTTAGGCTACGAGAGAATGATTCGTGGTGCCGAAAAATTGAAACCTGCTTCACTAACTGTTGTCAAAGGAGTTTTAGATAGAGCGCGAGGCAATTTACCCGAACTTTCACCACCTGATGAACCAGCCAGTAAAGGCGCATCAAAGATACTTCCACCTTCGGTGAAAGGACGGCCATCCAAAATGGTGAGAACAAAGAGCGGTATTGCGAAGTTAACAAATGGTTCAGCAGGAGCAAACAATGTAAAAAAGGAGGAAGAGGCCGAAGTCGGACCGATACTATTGATAAATAATCTCAAACACCAAAGAATGATCGATGAACAGAAACTTCGAGTTCTGAAATGGAACTTTACAACGCCGAGGGAGGAATTTGTAGAATTATTGAAAGATCAAATGACTGCTGCAGGAGTATCGCGATCTTTAATGGTTAATATGTTTCATGGAGATTTCAGATACCATGTGAAGGTATTGGAATCTCTCACTGACTGCCTTAATGATAATGGCTGGGAACCAACTGCTGCTAATTTGGATCTTATACTTAAATGGCTTACATTAAGATTTTTTGATACAAACCCTACAGTGTTAATGAAAGGGATAGATTATTTACAGTTGGCCTTTCAAATGTTGATCGATCAAGAGTATCAATTGTCAGAAAATGAAGCTTCATCATTTGTACCATATCTGATTTTAAAAGTTGGGGATCCAAAAGAACCTATTCGGATTGGCGTACGTGCATTATTTAGGCAGTTGTGCCACGTTTATTCGCCAAATAAATTGTTCGCATTCGTATTGGATGGTTTAAAATCTAAAAATGCTCGCCAGCGCCAAGAGTGCTTGGATGAATTAGGTGTTTTGATAGCTGGTTATGGTATAACGGTATGTCAACCTTCGCCCCTAGCTGCTTTAAAAGAAGTAGTGAAGCAGGTATCAGACAGAGATAATGCAGTTCGCAACGCTGCTTTAAATTGTGTGGTCCAAGTATATTACATTCAGCAAGATAAAGTATATAAATTGCTCAGTCAGTTACAATTAAGCGAAAAGGATCAAAGTTTACTGGACGAGAGAATCAAACGCGCCAGCAAAAGCCGACCATCAGCCGCATTTGCAACAATAGTTAAAAATAAGCCAGCCGCATTAAATGTTCCGATAATACCTGATAATTTACCAGAAGCAGAAGTTGTTATAGAAGGTGATTCTGACGGTGAGGCTGAATTTGAACAACGGGAACCATCTCCGCCCCCACAAAGAACTATGAATGAAACTAAGTCAATCAGTCCCCCGAGACGTATTCCTGGTCCCTATGGTCTTGATACTAAGTTCATAGCTGAGATTGAACGCAAACGCCGACAACTGGTAGATACCAAGGAAGATTTGAAGTTGCCACACGTTGATCTAGGTTTTCTAGATGAACCAGTGCAGCCATTGCCAACTTGTTCTCGATTACCGATGCCTTTATCAGGAATACCAACACCTGCGGCTATAATGAAACCTCCGCCGGTGATCTCTGTTCCTATATCGACTTCGTCGTATGATTTAGAGGCGTTGATTCGGACTATAGGCAGCGCCGATTTGCAACGAGCTATTAACGCAATGTCAACTATGGAAGATGCTTTTAATAAAGTCAAAGCTAACCAGTTAATTGAATTAGAAGATAAATTTATATCTGCGTGCGTAGAGCAATTCAAGTCTTTGAGCAGATTCTCAATTGTTAAAATAGAGGATGTATCGAAAGGTTATCAAGCTCTTTTTACAATTCTAACTTCATTTTATGAAAACAAGGTTGTTGGAAGGCGGGTTACCATACCAGTTTTACGTAATTTAATGGAAAGTATATTAACATTATTGGCAGACAAGAGCATGGAGATGTATAATACGAATTCCGCATATAATCGTGTATTAAATAGCTTATGTTTTAAAATCTTAGAAAGATCGGATCACTCGAACATTACCTGTGCCATGATTCGATTGATGGGTGATTGTCATTCAAATGCAAATGTGCAACCTCCTACTCATGCAGAATTAGTTATGAAATGCTTATGGAAAATTACGAAAAATTGGGCTGCTTACGCTGATGATATGGACTACGATCTTGTTTTCAGCGAGATAAATAAGTTTTACAGTCTTTATCCGGGTTTATTTTGGAAAAAAAGGTGTTACGAGACACCTTTCAAGACAGTAAAAACTATTTTGCACTCAATTGTGAAAAATAGAGGACCTCCGATATTACAACACGTGCAGCGCCTAAATCCACCAGCAGAAAGTGAATTGGCTCTCTATATAGTAAAATTAGTCAAAAGCGCTTTTCCGGATGCAACAATACCGTATTTGAATTACCATCATTCTCATCAAGATTCGAGCGCTTCAGACGGTGCCTCATCTTTACCGCCTTCTCGCAAAGTATCTAGTCAAAATCACCATGATCAGTTGTCTATAATTTTTAGGAAGATAGGTACAAAAACGCAGACGAAAGAGGGTTTGTTGCAACTATATGAATTTCAAGAATCAAATCCTGATGTTGACATAAAACCTTTCTTGAAAGAGTCTACCGAATTTTTTAAATCCTACATCGAAAACGGTCTTAGGGACATCGAAAGGCAACGGCGAGCTAACAAGGCTCCGTCCAGCGGTGCTGGTGACAACATAACTGATGCCACGACCGCCGTCCCGAGTGGAATGGCTGCTGATAGTCAGCAACCGCGACGAGATCCTACTTATTATTTGAACCGACTGAAAGAGATGCAAGGGAAGCAGAAGACAGACAATATGGATGATAACCGGTACATTGGTAGCGCAGTGCGTGATGAGAACCTCAACAGTATGAACAGCAATACTAATAAGGAACAAGAAGTATCCGGCCTGAAGGCTAATGATGAGGCGGTGAGGCTGTTGCGCCGCAAATTGGAGTTGCTGAAGGGGAATCAACAGTGAATGTGAGTATACGTTAATTATAAATATTTGAGCATGTCTTGACGTTAAAACCATTTTATTCAATAATTAAATGATATATTTGACGATCCAAAATACCATATTATAGGCTACAATGCTAGTTTTAGGTCAAAGCAATCTTGTTGGAGTATTTTGGTCTAGAATCAAAAAAAAAAATTGTTTGTTCATTTTTAGTTTTTTCAAAGTTTAACTATTCAAGAACATGTATACAAGATTTTTCAAAATTTAAATCATATTCGGAGATATAGCTGCTGTTTGATCACGACAATACTACTATGCTTCCTTTCTTCGCAAAACTATAAACTCGTTTTTCACGAAATTGTCTTTTTCTACACCCACGGTTTCCCAACTTCTACTGAATTGATTCTATTAATACTTTTACAGAGTCTTTTATATAGACTTCTCTGAATTCCGATTTTTTTACTAGTTTAAAAAAAGTCGAGAATATCAAGAATTCTAATTTTTTTCTTCAGACAATCGTTTTCTTGTAAAAAAATTATTCTAACTTGCCCGTAGTTCATACAATGGCGACATTATTCTATATTAATAATTATGCTTTTATTCGACGTATTGTTCAAAAAAAATGTCACACACATATATATATATATATATATATATATATATATATATATTTTTTTCTTTCGACTTTTGGAGGGGTAAAATTATGGGTATGGTCAGGTGCCAATTAAGAAATTGTAAGAAAAAACATAACAAAAATATTGCTTGCCGTTTCACGACCTTTGAAATAACGCATAAAATTCATGTTTCTAGACCAGAATATCTCCTTAAGAATTTTTTACTAGGGAAAGGACATACAAAGTTCATTGTTATTTATTTAAATAACATACCATTAATTGTGTTTTGTGATAATTATTAATACTGTAATACTGTAATGATCCACCGGTTAAATTTCTAAATGAGCATTTAGAAGTGCAAGTCTAATTTCAACATGAGCATTTTTCTATGAATATAGTACGTTTATTGAAGTATATACGTTCTGAATCAATATTTTTTATTAATATATAATGGTTTTTTTATTAATTCATTTCATGCATCTGAGAGAACTTATTTTTAGACCACGATTTTTTTTTTAAAAAATATTAAACTGCACCCTTTGTAAACATTATCTTACAATATATATGGTTAAATGATACTTGACATTTGACAAATCATTGTAAATATTACTACACATGGTTAACGAGGATTCATGCGTAATCATTCAATAGATTTTGTGTGAATAATAATTAATATTAATTTAAAGGCTGCATCTTATTTTCTAAATCTTACCCTGTCAGCAAACTCGTCACCTTCTAATTGCTGCGATACTTTATAAGCTTCCTCATACAAACCAGCTTGAAACAATGATTGCGCGTAATAGAATTTATATTCAAGTTTATCTGGAGCAATTTCTAATAAATGTTCATAACAATCTGCAGCCTCTACAAAATCCTGCTCCATGTAGCAGCAATAACCCAGTAGAGATAATCCGGCTCTCGTCGTTCCTGCTTCGGGAATCAAATTCAGCAATTTTATAGCATCAGAATAGCGCTCGTCTTTGATCTGAAAATGGGGGCGCATATTGTATAACCTCAAAAAAAAATTCACTAACTGAAATTAGTATCAATAACCATTACTGTACTGCTATTGTTTTATTCGAAACATGTAATTAGTATATTTTAAATAATTGTGAAACATTTCCTAACCATTGTATAAATCGTTTTTGTGTATTCACCGTCCTTAATCGCCTGCATTGTTAAAATTTGTTTTGTTTTTATATTTTCGTCACCATGGAAACTAGTGTATTTTTCTTGGATGAATAAGATTGTGATATGTGTTTTCAGTTTTAGAATATTAATCAGATTACATTAAAAAAAGTATTTTAATGCAGTTTTATTAAAGAATTTTACACGGTGAGAAATGTATATTATCTAGGGCAGTATATATGAGAATAATTCGTTTGAAATCAGTTACGTAGTTTGGTGACAATACACTCTACATTGTTAATACATACATATTTATAATATCAATAAATCGCACTATATATTAATGTTATACGAATGTAACTTTTGCTAAGATTAGACAATATCAATATGTTTTAAGTTTTCTATTTATTTTTATTGACTTAATAATGTTTGTTTTAAATTAGGAGTTAGATTATTCACTACATATTTCATACTTACAACTAAAAATTATTTTGTTAATTTAATATTAATTATGAAATGATTAATAATAATAATACGTAATAAAAGGTAATAAATTTGATCATATTAGACCTTAATATTTTTTTATTCCCATAATAATGTATCACGAGATTAGTATAAATAAATATATTTAAGCTCATTAATTTAATTTGTTTCTTTGGGTTAGATCTTACAGGTACATAATGATTCTTCAAAATTTACAGTTAATTCTATTTCGAAAAATATTCAATCCATGTCTTATTACGAATTTTATTGTTTTACTCTTTTTTGTATAATAAGTAACATTTGTTACAACAAATGGTTAGTGTAACATTTTTTAATGATCTACTGACAGATGCAGAACTATATAACAGACACCAGAGGAAACGTTGACCAGGAAAGGCAGACATAACCAGCAATAACCATAAACGTTGATCAAAAAAATATAAATATTAATACATCTAAGCTCTCATAGTGAAGATAACAAATCGTATATTTGTTTCTTTTTAATCTGTGCATTCAATTGCTTACGAGATAAATCTAGAGCCTTTATTTTGCTAGATATTTTTGTAAATATCTTTTAGAGTATCTATTGCTACTATCATTCATCTTTCATATAGATTTTGAATTATTCAATATTCAGTCATTCGTACTCGTTCAATCTTTTGCTGGAAGACTTACGTTTACGATAGCATAATGACATGCCTCTCCTGGTTAACTTCTCCTCTGGTGTCTTGGTGTCTATTTTATTGCATATCAGTACAGTAGAACTCCAATTATCCGAACTCCGACTATCCGAATCGCCAATTATTCGAATCACTTTCAGAAAAAAAATTGTCCAATAAAAGTGCGCTATTATTCTTCTACCAGCAAAGCCACAAAGCAATAGGCACATTGTTTGTTTTGATTTGACGGAGATGTTTACAAAACAATGATTTTTATTTCTAAACTTGTACATAAGTACATTTCATTTATATTTAAAACATGTGAAAATATCATGTTTCTTTCATTTAATTCAATAAAAAAATAGTGCAATATCAAAACGTAACTTTTTTTCTCTCCAATGGCAATTTTAAAAAAAAACTCGTAATATTTGATTATCCGAATCGATCCCGGTCCCCATTAATTCGGATAATTGGAGTTCTACTGTATATCATTATATCCTTATAAAAAGTTAATACAAACCATTCTGATTTTTTTTTTAAGTTCCTGGAGAAGAAGTTTGAGTATTTATATATTCGTATTCATTTTATTTATATACGCGAATATATCTAAAAATATTCAAAAATTCTGTGTCGACGTTTTCTCAAAAGCGGCACCAATTTCGAACATTTAAAAGCAGTTTGGTGACACTCTATATAGTCCAGGCATTATAGTAAAGTTGACCTAAGATTGTTAGATTCTTTACTAATTTAAGCTTAAATGACTGGACTAATACGGAATCGCGTTGGTTAGTTTAATTCGACGATCGGCCGAGCCATTTCTTTAGTATCAAATGAGTGCAAAATTATTCAATGTTTTCGCCAAAAATCCTGAACAGATTTTAAAAATTTTAAAACTGTTCCAAGGATACCGTTTGAATTTTATTTTGTGATAATTTAAATGATTCATGTGAACAATGAGACTTCTGTAATGCATGCAATGTTGTGTATGCATGTTTTTGTGAAAGATATTAATTGGAAATCGCATTGATGAGTGAAAGCAAATATTATTGATTGAGTCGGTTGTATATGCAAGGTTCATATAACTGCTTCAAGGCAAAATGCCAGTTACACCTAGTAGTTAATATTTTTAAATAACTTGAGCCGTTAAATATCACAAACTGTAAATTATGAAAATTTGCTCGAAACTGCGCTCGACACAAATCAAAAGTATTTTATATGAAAACGAAGTTTAACTGTAAGAAAGAAATCATCTTAAATCATTATGGTAAATTCTAATTTTCAATAAGCATAATGAAATTTTCGGACATCATAGAATGTTAAAGTTAATTACCATTATAATTTTTCAGTTATCAGAATATAATAAGCACTAATAAAAATGAACGACTAATCGAGAAACTATGCTGTAAATTAAAATAGAATCAATATGCTAAATTTAAGAGATGCTTAAGCATTTTATATTTATTTATATATATTTTATATAATTTCAGCATAACTCCATTATTACTATTATAAATATTCACCTACAGTCATGGAATTTCTTGCAAACTTCCACACATAACTGTACAAAAATATCATTTTTTTTTGTCTTGTTTATAATTTCATTATTTATGCATATATATATATATATATATATATATATATATATATATATATATAGTAAACATATTCTTTATACTACACAAAAGGCACAATATGTGCATTTATATACAATAACAGTTACAGAACACTCTCATTTTCAACTGAAAAATCTAAATCTTACAACAAAAAGTAATATTAGAATACTGTTTATACACTGGATAAAAAATATAAGAGCTAATTTTCATTGCAAATTTGTTCATTTATAAATTAAGGCATCTACTTTGTTCATGAAGACCATATGTACTAAATAATTTGTTCAAATTCATTAAATAATATTCCGTTTATGAATTATATCTAAAATATAAATATATATTTATTTTTTTAATATACATACATACATACGTGAGTGATTATATTCTTAAATAATTTGTTTAAATACTTAATTATGGAAATATGAATTTGTGAGTTATTATATATTCTTTCTATACTAATTATTTGAACTTTGTTTTTAAAGGTTTGATAACCAAATATAACTAGTTGAGATTTAACACATTCAATCATCCACCATGCATATATAAAGTCCATTTGTATGTATGTATGTACAAATCTATATTCCGATTATAATCGGAAGAATAATTGGGGAGTTAATTTTGTAGTATTTCCAGAAATAGTGCCAATAATAATTTATTTCAAATGAAGTTCAGCGTGCATGATTTCAAATGAAAAAAAAAATAATGGCTATGATATATATACCATAATAACAGGAATGTCATAATTGAATCATTCATAACTTTATCTACTAAAAATAACACATACAGTAGTACTATTATATTAAAGTTTTCTTCGATTCTGTCATATTCAATTTTTCTAATTGACTTATTTAAATGGTCGATTTAATAGTTGGTTTGTGTTAATAGATATTTTAAAAAATTTGTTATGGAATTATATATGTACATTATATTCAAGCAAAACTATTAAATTATCGCAACCCTTTGTGTGATTTATAGTTTGCCTGTTGATTATTTATGAAATGACTGAAATATATTATTTACTATTTCAAAATCCATTGATGTTTAATGTCATGCTGATAATTAAACACGAGGAGGAATTGGAAAAGAGCGTTTTGTTAAATAAATAAGTATGAAAATCTAATAGTAAATAACAGTCAATTGCATGTGGGTTTGGGGCATCTATTATAATTGTAATATATATAGCATGTGTCTGTGTGTTTCTGTACATCTTGAAAAAATAGATTTTTAGCATAAAACCAATGACTTAGCTTTGTGCATTTAATATACATATGTTTGTTTCTTTTAGAAATAATGCGAAAAAATCCTACAAAATAGTCATTTATTTATTTAAAATATATCTAATTGTAATTTTCAGTTCTTGTTTCTGTATACTTATACTAGATGATTTTAATAAATCAGTGGAATATATGATTAGGATATTTAAAACAGTCATATATTTGTATTATCCAATCAATTTTTAGAACTAATAATTGTTCACCAATATTCCACTATAGTTGTTATTAACAATGTACGGAGAGTTACTTTATATACATCCAGGCAGTCAAAGAAATTCAAGTAATGAATCATTGGAACTACCAGAAATTTGATAAACCAGCAGATGCTTTATATGACCAGGCAGTTGAATATATATGTCTTCATCTGCTATTTTTGGATAAGTTTAATGGAACATCTGGAAATAATATAATATATTAATTAATACATTTTATCATTTATTCATTTTATATAACATACAGGTGTTGAATAATGATACATACCTTCCTCCACATTGCTTGTTTCTGCATGTGCAGGAGGCGGCACTCCAGCAGCTGGTGCATTTCTATGCTGGGTACTAGAATGTGCCCAAATTGGAGGAGCAATAGTTCCTGCATAACTATTCATCAGAGATGGATGATATTGTGACCATAGAGGAGCATACCTTGGTGGATACGTAGGATACATGTGTCCCAAGGGATTATAATATGTTGAGAAATGTACAGGTAAAGGGGCTGCTTGATATCTTTGATGTGTAACACTAGATTTGTTTTTATTTGAATCAGTGGTATCTGTTGAATTATTGCCAAGCAATGAATCAATACTGTAACTACAAGTCTTTGATGAAGTTTGTGTTGGGGCCATTGTGGTTACCGCTGTTGTTGCTGCAACACTACCATTCTGATGCACAACACCTGTTGATGCAGAGGTTGCAGCAACTTGTGCTGTTGATGTTGCTTGGGCAACTTTGGCCCTTCGTTTATTATATAGGTCATCCAAAGTAACTCTTTCAAGCTCACGCAAAATTCGTTTCCTGGGAGATACCATAGCTGCATGCTGGTCTATTGAAACTGTTTGTTTGATTTGCTTGATACTAGCTCCATTCCGATCCCACAATCTTTGTATAATGTTTGCCAATATACCAGGTTTCCGAAAAATTCTATTTGAAGGATTTGATGATATGCCATTACTAGTATAACACTTTGCATCATTCATAGATGTATCGAATGGACGACGTCGTTTTCGGAAACTTAAGTGATGTGCAAATCTAATTCCTTTAAGACGCTTATACAAAAATGAAGTTTCTTGTGAACTGGATCTCTGAGGTGAAGTCTGCTTCCAACAGTGATCTCGTTGCCAAGGGGATGATTGAATAGAGCTATTGTCATCTGACACTTAAAATAAATATTTAAAATTAGTATTTACAGCAAACAAAATTAATTTCGAGAAACTTTTTCATATTATTTTGTGTTTATTAATAGATATTAAAAAGTCATGAATAAATTTTATATTTTAATTTATATTTTTTAAATTTTAAATTATCTACTTATATATTCAAAATTTTAAATCAGAAAATGTAATTACCACTGAGAGAGGTTGAACCCTCCAATCTGGATCCTGGAATATTTGCAGGAGCTGGTGGAGGCCAAAACGTTTTACGTGGCACAGATACCCATCCCGCTCTTGCTCTCTCCAATTCCAATATGAATTTACCATCTATTTTAAATAATATAATTTAGTATTTTTAAATTGGTTTACAATTCGCATTACAGGAAAATAGATAATGCATCCATATAATTATTGATAAATGATTTTACTACAATTAATCATTTTTATTTATTTTATTGTTCAGTTCAATTCTGTATCACAAACCCTAATTTACTCAATAATGACCTAACTTATACTGAGTAATTTGAGTTGGATTTTATTATGCCAAGTACAATTTTAAATTTGCCCGATAAATCCTTAGTTAGCAACATACCAATTTCATTATATTTCTATTTAGTCTTTATTTAGAAGATTCATAGGAAAATTATAAATTACAACAAATAATGACTGAATAAATAAAACAGAGTTAATTCTAACTTCTGAACAGCTCCCAGTAAAATTGCATGTCAGATTTTTTTTGTTCAATTTTAGCTAAGATGAAGATTTATTTGAAAAATTGATCTATGGGGTGTAATTGCATTCAATTCTTACTTTTACAACTAACCTTTAAAGAATTTAAGTCTTCCACCCCCCGTACAAACTTGTGAAAGTTTATCAGTGGGCGCTCTATCAGGAGATGCAATAGTTTTGTGATCAGTATTATCTTGTTTCAAGGGGCTACCACCATTCATTCCATATTTGAAATCGCTTTCCTCTGTCATGTTTGCACATTTTGTCGGTATTATTTCACAGTCCTGTATACGCATTTCATATTTAAATAACACTTCTGAGCACTATTCATTCATCACATCACAATTTGACAGCACTACAAGAATGAGAACACAAATTCTGTGGGCATTATTAAATGAACATTATTCGATTATCGAGTTATGTGAAAGATTCGGGATTATTATGATAATATCATTATTTGATAAATTCTGATTATTTCTACTTCATACATAAATAGTAATCCACCTGCCGCGCACTCTCGCCTATTTATGGTATCATTTTGATAGAAAGTAAACCCAAATCAAGGGTTTCCTATATTATTTCGAAAACTTTACATCATAAATTCATTATTTGTTATTTCGTGCATTGAAAAACAAAACATTCTTATACTAAGCCGGATTTTTTCCACAAATCACATAAATTTCTACCCACATTCTGAATTCCTCAAGCTCATAATATTACCAGATGGCGATAAACAAACTTTGTGTTGACTACTTAAAAATCATTGAACTGAAAGAAAATGATTGAATATTCAAATTTAATAAAGCACAGTTAATAGTTAAATATAAATATAATATAACAATTAAATAATGTAAAAATCATTTAGTAAAAATGTGCTCAAATTACGTCAATACTCGAATTTATAAATTTATTTATAATTTAAAAACTTAATTTTATTTACAGTAAATATATTATATTCTAATATTGTCTAGAGTAAGTATATAGTTATAAATTCATATAGTTTTTACTATAAAATGTTTTTAATCTCGATTTGAATTAATTCGGTTAAAATTCTGTCCTGACTTATCTTTATTGTCATGTTTATCGATAGCAATTTAAATTAACACTGATAAAAAATATCATAATCAAATAATATCAAATATCAATATTCGTATATGGCACCACTAAAATATTTCGATATTACTATAATATCGATATTCTTGTGCGATATCTCGCTCTTATGACGTTTACACTTGACGTGTGTTAAATGACGTGCTGGTTCACCGCTTTAGTATATTCGGATATAATTTCTATGTTTTATCAAATATATTGTTAAAAATGTTATAGTGTTATTGTAAATAATTAGTCATTAATAAAAGTGAGTATGAATAAAATGAGAAGTGAACATTACAAATGAAATATCTATTTTAAATGCTCTGTTGTTATTTAGAATGGCTACATATGAAGAATTTATTCAACAAAATGAAGATCGAGACGGGATTAGGCTTACATGGAACGTTTGGCCTTCTAGTAGGATAGAAGCCACTAGATTAGTAGTCCCGCTAGCATGTCTTTACCAGCCTTTGAAAGAGAGGCCTGATTTACCACCAATTCAATATGATCCTGTACAATGTACGAGAAATACATGCCGAGCAATTTTAAATCCTTTATGCCAAGTTGACTATAGAGCCAAATTATGGGTTTGCAACTTCTGCTTTCAGAGGAATCCGGTTAGTAGTAATATGAGGCACATAAATATATATATATATATATATATATATATATATTCTTTCTTAACCTTTGTCAAGAAATCTTATATTTGATTATTTTTTGTATACCAAATCATTTTACAAATTTCTTATTAATATTTTCTCTTTTCTCAGTTTTAGTTAGATTAATTTTTTTTTTTTTTTTTTGATGAGTACATTTTAAGTTTGATTTTGTTTATAATTCTTAAATAAAGAAACTAATTAAGTAAGATAATCAGTTCCAAATATGCTGTAATATATTATCTGTTAAAAAGTATTAACACTTTACATGAACTTTGAATAACATTTCAATCTATTTTATAGTTTCCTCCACAATATGCTGCAATTTCTGAGCAGCATCAACCAGCAGAGTTGATTGCAAGTTTCTCTACAATAGAGTACACCATCACAAGGGCACCATGTATGCCTCCAATATTTTTATATGTCATGGATACATGCATGGATGATGAAGAACTGGGTGCTTTAAAAGCTTCTTTACAAATGTCTTTAAGTTTATTGCCACCAAATTCTCTGGTTGGGCTAGTTACATTTGGAAAAATGGTTCAGGTTCACGAGTTAGGTAATTAGCAAATTGTTTGCTTTTGTATTTTGTTCACAATTTTCATATTTTTTATTTTTTAGGTACTGAAGGTTGTTCAAAGAGCTATGTTTTTAGAGGCACTAAAGATTTAACAGCTAAGCAAATTCAAGAGATGTTAGGCATTGGTCGTGAAGTGAATCCCCAACAACAGAGAGGGCCACAAATGCCCACAAATCAAGCGGGCCCAGCCAATAGGTATATATGTTATATATACATAATATAAAAAGTTTGTTGGAAACCATAATAATGAAAAAACAGACACATATATATGTATATAACACACAATTTTATATTTTAGATTCATCCAACCTTTACATAAATGCGATATGTCTTTAACTGACCTTTTGGGAGAACTGCAACGAGATCCTTGGCCTGTACCTCAAGGAAAGCGTGCCTTACGTTCAACTGGTACTGCATTATCGATAGCCGTTGGACTTCTTGAGGTGATTAAATGCATTAAAATAAATAAAATTGTTGTGTTAAAACACTAATGATGTGTTTGTATATGAATTTAAATAAATATCGTGGGATTAAGTTGGGCTATTTGTGCCTTTATCAAACATTAAAATTTCTATTACCCATATTAAGACTAAAACTGTATGTCACATTCATACTATTTTCATAAAATTTAATGCATATTATATATTTTTCATGAAAACTGTAATCTATCCGCTTAGAATATTTATTATTGTTTTTAATTTCATTTCTAGTGCTCTTATGCCAATACTGGTGCTCGAATTATGATGTTTGTTGGTGGTCCATGTTCTCAAGGACCTGGCCAAGTGTTGAATGATGATTTACGTTCACCAATTCGTTCTCATCATGACTTGCACAAAGATGCAGCTAAGTACACTAAAAAAGGTATTTTTATTTGTTACTATTATCATTATTGTGCAGTATTGTTTTACTAACGTAAATTTTAAATTTTGTGTGAAGCCACTAAACATTATGACGCCTTGGCTTTGAGGGCTGCAACAAATGGACATTGTATAGACATTTATTCTTGTGCCCTGGATCAAACTGGGCTCATGGAAATGAAACAATGCTGCAACTCTACAGGGTAAGTTATTTGAAGATAAATTGTTATTTATATGATTTATTATTTACTATATTTATTTAACCTTATACCAACAGAGGACATATGGTAATGGGGGATTCATTCAATTCATCACTATTCAAACAAACATTTCAAAGAGTATTCAGTAGAGATGAGAAGGGTGAACTTAAAATGGCATTTGGAGCTACTTTAGAAGTTAAATGTTCTAGAGAACTTAAAGGTAAAATACTTAATGTTTTTTCATTTCAATTAATATAATTTTATATTATATTTTAATTAATATATTTGTTTAATTTTATTTATTTCATAATATTGAATATTTCTAGTGCATGGCGGTATTGGATCTTGTGTCTCGTTAAATGTAAAAGGTGCATCTGTATCTGATTCTGAAATTGGAATGGGCGGGACAGTTCAATGGAAAATGTGTGCTTTGGGGCCCAATAGTACAATGGGATTATTTTTTGAGGTTGTTAATCAACATGCTGCACCTATGCCTCAAGGCGGAAGAGGTTGTATACAGTTGATAACTCATTACCAGCATGCCAGTGGACAGAGAAGAGTTAGAGTTACTACTATTGCTAGAAAGTAAGCGATAAAACTCATATTATAATTAATCAATTTTATAATCTATAGCCAGGAATTAAGTATAAACATATTTTTCATTTTATATATACAATATACAATATTTTCAAAGAATCATAAATAAGATAAAATAGTGAATGAAGCACTTACAATATTCCTTATAAAGTAAAGAATAATTTTGTTAGTTCTAGCGCCTTATATGAAATTAATCTTACTAGTAAAATTGTTTAAGATCAACATGATTCAGCTATTTTAAAGTTTGTTGCTTATCTTCCTAGTTGGGCTGATGCAGCAACAGGCATGCCACATATCAGTGCTGGTTTTGATCAGGAAGCAGCAGCAGTATTAATGGCCAGAATGGTTGTTTATCGGGCTGAAACAGATGATGGACCTGATGTCTTGAGATGGGTTGATCGTATGCTTATTAGATTGGTAAATATTGTTCCTGTTTATAAATTGTTATAAAAAAGAAAGGGTTGGTACATATGTAATATTTTATTACTATTCTTTTTACATGTAATGAAATAATATCTTAGAAAGAATTAACTACAGTTTTTGATTTGATTCAATATTTTTTAATTTATTTACAAGCTAGTAATTTAGCTAAATAATATTTAGCAATGCATTTTACTGCACTTGGAATATGTTATTATGTATCAAGATATCAAAATTGTGTTTTACTTTTCAAAACAATTAGTGTGTAAAAATCTAAACTTTATTTAATATTTTCAGTGCCAAAAGTTTGGAGAATACAATAAGGATGATCCTAATAGTTTTCGATTATCTGAAAACTTTAGTCTGTATCCACAATTTATGTATCATTTGCGAAGATCACAATTTCTTCAGGTATTTGGAATATAAATAAAGTATTAATATTTGTAGAAATAACAGTTATGTATCTGGAACTATTTTATCAAGCAAAATGTTTATTGTTTTAAGGTATTCAACAATTCTCCGGATGAAACCAGCTATTATAGGCATATGCTAATGAGGGAAGATTTGACTCAATCATTGATTATGATACAACCTTTGATTTATAGTTATAGCTTTAGTGGTCCTCCAGAACCAGTGTTATTGGACACAAGTTCTATTCAACCAGATAGAATCTTACTTATGGATACGTTTTTCCAAATTTTGATCTTCCATGGAGAGGTATATCTCACATGCTTTATATATACAAAAAATCATAAATTTTCATAATTTTTTTCAATAAGTTGTTAGATTTAGTAACCAAACTCTAGAAGATATAATTTTTTTTACCTTTATATTTATTATGTATGTTATTTTTAGACTATAGCTCAATGGAGAGCTTTGCGATATCAAGATATGCCTGAGTATGAAAATTTCAAACAACTTTTGCAAGCTCCAGTAGATGATGCTCAGGAAATTTTATTGACACGTTTTCCAATGCCTCGTTATATTGATACCGAGCAAGGTGGATCACAGGCTCGATTTTTATTATCCAAAGTCAATCCCTCGCAGACACATAACAATATGTATGCTTATGGAGGAGTAAGTATTGTAGTATACAGAAGTTTGATATTTGATATAGTAATTAAATAACATAAATTATATATTTACAAATTTTTTTTATTTGGGCAACTTATTTATCAAAATTGATTGTGAATTAAGTAATTAGATTCAATGATTCTAATACATTTATTGATGTGCAAATATATGTAGACTATTTTTATTAATCTTAATTATGTAATGTGATTCTATAATTTATTTTCTAAAATTAATTTTTAGGACGGAGGAGCACCAGTATTGACTGATGATGTGTCTCTTCAAGTATTTATGGAGCATCTAAAGAAATTAGCAGTATCTTCAAATTCATAAAATTATATAAAGACAGAAATAGATATACAAATCTTATTTTATCTGTAATATTGTGTGTACAGTCTTTATATTTGCAATATAGATAAGTAATAAATTCAATTGATTATGAACCTAAATACATTGATATATTAAAAGAAACATTTTACACTAAGATTATGCATTTTTAATTATATTTGCAATATCTGGAGTTACATTTACCTGGCAAAATAGTACTAATTTAAATTACATATGTTTAGTAACAAATAATGTTATGGTGGAACTTAATTGTGTTGTAAATTACATTACAATTACAATTCTGCAATTAATAAGTCAAAAATTAAAGTGTATGCAATGGCAATTTCAAATAAGATTCTAAAGGAATGGAATATGACTGGAATCACATCCGAACAGTTTGCTCCTAAAGTAGACCTAAATAAGTCTTTATAGTAAATTTGGTCGCTTTCTTTAAAAAAATTTTGATGTTGGAAAATAACCATTTGCTAACATTTTGAGATGCATGTAAAAATTATCATAAATTTATTTGATATTGCTTGATTGATATCATATATTTTCAATTATATTCACTTTTTTTAATGCAGTAAAAAAAATAACAGAATTGTTTGAAAGAAAACATTGACTAATTTAACACAAAATGAAAAGTGATAGAAAAAATTGCAATATTTCAATCTCCACCTAATTTCAAAACATTTCAATCCGCCACTATTAAAAACGAGATTGAGTTTGCATAATAATGTATTGATAAGGATTTTCAATTTTTAACTACTATCCATTTGACTTATTTATTGTTCTATTGAATGTGTATTTAAATTAAAATTTATTAACGGTTTTAAATTCATGACAATAAACTATTTTGTCAGTTGGTACTTCTGTATGCACTTTTTTTTTTATAAATTTATTGAAGGTTAGAGATGTTTATGTCAAAAACATGAAAAATGCAAATGATTTCGGATTTATAATGTTATAATAATTGATTTTATTCTCTTTTAATAATTAATATAGAAAGCATAAGTTTAATATATTGGCCACGCCTACTGCCATAAACTCCTTCCGCTAAAATAATTCGCAAACCGCGTGGAATCAACAGTTTGCAAATTGCACAAATTACATTTTCGTTCCATGCTTCTATTTTTCTTCGTCACATTCTATTTTTAAAAAATCATATATTTTTAAATGCGCTTTTCATCTTCTTACATTATTATGTTTAATCTGAACATATGATACGGTTAAAATAAAACTTACGTGTGCTTTCAAGTGTCAAAAAAGATTTTTCATACGTGAAATATTTAATATTTAGATAAAATGTCTGCGAAACCTTTATTTAAACCTTTAAATGCAGATGACATCGAACCAGAAATTACAGAAATATCTTCCTTGTGTATGAATTGCCATAAAGATGTAATAATTGTTCAATAACCTATAAAAATTTTTCATAAATAAATATTTATACAAATTATTTATTTCAGGGTACTACTCGTTTGCTTCTAACTAAAATTCCATTTTATAAAGATGTGGTTCTGATGTCATTCTCATGTGATTATTGTGGTTTTGAAAATAATGAGATTCAATCCGCTGGAGAAGTAGCACCGAGAGGAGTTAAAATTAAATTAATGGTAGAATCGACCAGTGATCTGAACAGAACTATTGTCAAATCAGATTATAGTTCTGTTAAATTTGTTGAATTGGATTTTGAAATTCCTTCTCAATCTCAAAAAGCAGGTATATATTTCTACTTTTATGTGAGATAAAATATAACTTATTCTTAGTTTTTAGATTTTACTTAATTGAACATTCAAACATACAAAACTTGTTTAGCAATAAAGAAAATTTTTACTTTGTGCATATATAGATATATAAAAATGACATCGAACAATTTTCCTGTGCTTAATATCAGATAATTAAAAAAATATTTTATTCTAATAAATGATTATTAATTATACAATGACTTACAACTGTTACAATGACTTACAACTGTTATTAATAATTATATTTTATTAATATATTTATTTAATATTTATTTATATTTATTTTTTATCTCGATTTAATATTCAGAACCACATAACATGCATATTTAATTACATTTGATGATTTATCATTATGGTCTTTATGAGTAAATTGTTATATTGCCTATGGTTCATAATTACAGATGTTAATAGTTGTAATGTTATTATCGAATAGGATCGAATAACTTTTTTTTTACTTTACATACAAATATTTATATTATTGAAATATTTATTATATTTTCAGAAATCACTACTATTGAAGGTATCATAAACAGATCTATATTGGGACTCAACCAAGACCAAAATGCAAGACGTCTTGAGCACCCAGAAACGGCCGTACAAATTGATGCATTTATTCTATCACTTGAAAAATTGAAATTAGTTGAAAACCCATTCACTTTTATTCTGGAAGATATTTCAGGAAATTCTCATATTGAAAATCCCAATGCACCTAAAACTGATCCAAAGTATGTTAATAATTCGTATTTTAAAATGTGCATTTAATCCGATTCTTTCATATTAATTTTATTTAATTTAGATTTACATTTTTAAGTTACAAAAGACAATAACATTTTTGTTTTTTTACAGATTATCAGTGAACTATTTTGTGAGAAATGCTGAGCAAAATCATGTATTGGGTGTTTTTACTCATAAGGAAGTTTCTGATGACAACAAAGATAATATATTGAAGCCTATAGCAGAAGATGATTTTAAATTGGAAGATTTACATGGAGAAGTTTTAACATTCCCTACAAACTGTCCTGAATGTAATGCTCCTTGTGAAACAAATATGAAAATGACTAGTATCCTTAATTCTATGTGTAATTACATACTATTATATTCAAATGGTGGTTCTTGCAAATATTGTCTCGAGTGAGGCAACATCAATCAAAAAAGCACCCTTGTCTAACATTTGGTTAAATATTACCATTTATTTAATTTATACTTTTAATTTAATAATTGACTGAATTTTTACATGTTTTAAGTAAATTTTCACAATTTGATGCAAGAATTTTTTATCATTTTTTGATATTGTTCCTTAATTAAGCCTTTTAGATATCCCACATTTTAAGGATGTTGTTATAATGGCAACTTTATGTGAAGTTTGTGGACATCGAACAAATGAAGTTAAATCGGGTGGTGGAATTGAAGAACATGGCATGAAACATACTGTACAAATTAGAGGTAAAGAAGATTTTTCTCGAGATGTTTTAAAGGTAAATAATATACAATATACATTAATAAAAATTTTTATTAGAATATATTCTTTAAGGTATTGTTTTATGAGGGAACTGATGCATTTTGCATACCATTCAACGAAAATTGTCAAATTTTAAGACAATCATATAATGTATTGAATTTTTTAGTTTCTCACCGAAGTTTGTTTTTGTGAGAAAATCTGATTTGCTAATTTTGTTTTCTCGACGTTTGAAGCCTTTCTGAATCGAAGAGACACATACTTGTACGTGCATGTACGCCGATTTTTGACCTTTTATCGACGTTTTCCCAGAAGCGGTTGAACCGATTTCAAAAATTTCATGGAACTTCATAAGGCCGAGCCGTTTCTTTGCAATTAGCAGAAAAGTGCAAAATTTTTCTTTTACGTTTTGGCCAAACATTCTGTATTGAATATGAAAGTTTGAAAATTATTTGAAAGATCTCTATTGGAAATCGTGCAGATTAGTTTTTGACAAAGATCGGCCAGGTAGTTTCAGTATCTGGTCTTAGTAAACATACTAAAATATTATAGTCTTATGTAAAAGTGAATAATCTGCTCACATTATGATGCTCTACAGAAACTCAGTATACTTATAAATCACTCATAAATTAATATATTGATTTCATATTGACTAACTATAATTACATAATTGTTTTTAAGTGTAATATTAAGTAAATAAGCTCACAGCTCGAAATCAAATTTAAAACTAGTTGATATTGGTATTTTGCCTTGAGGCAAGTTACATGAACTTCCCGATATAAATAATCGCCTTATACAATAAAAAATGAATTAATTTATGAGTGATTAAAAGTATTCCGTGTGGATTTGTTACACATAAAAACGAATGAACAAGTTAACTCGGAGTGTTTTCTAAAAGCTAATTTTAACAAATCAATAATTTTTATAATTGAACTAGTTTCCGTAGGACTTTATTGGTTTAGTATATGTTCATTATGACCAAGTACTCTATCGTTATACCAAGTAAATCGTCTAATTTTAAGTTTAACAAACGTCAAAAAAACTACTCATTTTCGCAAACTTTAATGAATTTTTAAAATTAAACTACTCGTCGTATGGCCGTAATATTTCATTGAGTTCTATAAGACTATATGATATATATCGCCACAAAAAGTTCCATAAAAATCGGCTTAAATAGTTAATTACAAGAAAACGGCTCAGTAGATTTTCACCTAAACCTAGTCATCAGTATCATTCCCAACTAATATCTTTCGAACCGTTTTTGATTTTTTAAAATCGATTCAGTAGTATGAGCTTAAATGCGGACGAAAAGTTTAACACTTTTTTTCAAATTACAAAGAAACGGCTCGGCAGATCGTCGCACAAAACTGACAAACGATAGTCCTCAGTGATAGTCTCAATACATCAAATGGCTTTTAAATTTCTGAAATCGGTTCAGTCGTTTTTGAGCAAACGTTGATGAAAGGTCTAATATTGACAAATGCCTAATAAACGATACCGATTTTTGAAAACGTAGAATTTTTTTTTAAATTAAACAATATGTCGTAGGGCCGTATATTTTAGTATGATCTATAAGACTATAGTATCTACCGTCCAAAAAAAATTATAGAAATCGTTGAAATTTTTTTTTTTTTTAACACTTTATTACAAGAAAACGGCGCGGCCGATCATTACCAAAAACTAATCAGCACCATTCCCAACCAATATCTTTCGATCGGTTTTTTGAATTTTCAAAATCGATTCAGAACTGCGGGCTAAAACGTGGACGAAAATCTTTTCACTTTTCTGCTATTTACAAAGAAACGGCTTGGGTGATCGTCGCGCAAAATTTACAAACGCCAGTTCTCATCGGGATACATCGAATGGCTTATATTTTTGAAATCGTTCCATCCGTTTTTGAGAAAACGTCGATTTACGGCAAAAAATCTGTTCACATACACACACACACATACTTTTTCCAAATTGGGTCTCATTCGATTCAGAATGGCTTAAAACGTCGAGAAAACATAAAATTAGGGAATCGAATTTTTTCATGAAGACATAAACTTCTCTTTTGAATTTGTTCAGTAATAAGTATATATTGACTGTTAATGCATTAGTAGATACTATGAGTATAGATATATAAAAACGTAAATGTATGTTTGCATATTCTGAACATATGTATTAGGATAAAACTGAATTATCGTTAATCAAAATTTTAGTCTGAAACATGTAGTGTGGAAGTGCCAGAATTGGAATTGGTAATGGGCTCAGCAGCATTGAATGGCAGGTTTACTACTGTTGAAGGATTACTAAGTGCAATGAAAAATCAAATTGCTAGTAAAGATTTTATTTATGGAGATTCACAGGACAGTGAATCAAAAAATAAAATGGACAAGTAAGTTTTATTTATGTGTTTGTTTATGAATTTATTTTACTTCACTATAGAATAGAATTTTATAAAGTTGTTTATTTATATCGGAATGTTTTAATCTTCGTGAAGCATACTTAATCTATAAAATTATATTACAAGTTAGTTTTTTTGAAATGCACAACTAGATACGGATGTTTTCTGAATAAATCTAAAAAATAAATCTAAAAAGCAGTAATATTATCTTTTAATATAAAATTTTATGTAAAGTTTTTTTACATGTAATTTTTTTAGATTTTTGGAAGAATTCCAGCAAGTTCTGGATGGCAAAAAACAAATAACTTTAATACTAGATGATCCTGCAGGCAATAGTTATGTACAATCGTTTAATGATGATGGCACACCAGATGAGCAGTTGAAAGTTACTAAATATGATAGAACATTTGAACAAAATGAAGATCTAGGTTTAAATGATATGAAAACTGAAAATTATAGTTAATGTTTGATACGTTTTATAAATATTTTTATTGTAATTTCATAATGAAATTGAAGAAACTCAGGATGGATAATATATTTTTTATGAAATTTTAAATAAATATACCAAGTTTTATTTCTATAAATATTTATTCTTTAGTTATATATCATCAAATTTTTTTGTAAGTGCAAATTTATTGTTCATAATTTCAACTCAAGTTTTTAACTAGTAGTAGTTTGTTTTGGCAAAAAAATCCAATTTGCTAATTTTATGTTTTCTGTATTTTCAGTCATTCTGAATCGAATCAGATTAAATTTAAAAAAAACTGTGTGTATGCAAGCCGATTTTTGACCTTTTGTCGACTTTCTCTCAAAAAATTTCAAACATTTCAGAAATTTAAAAGCCATTTATGTAACTCGACAAGGAGTAGCGTTTATTAGTTTGGCGACTGTCAGCGAAGCCGTTTCTTTGTGATTAAACAGAAAAGTGAAAAAAATTTCGTCCACTTTTTAGCCCACAATTTTGAACCGATTTTGGTTTTATACAATTTCCATTAAACTTTGCATAGCTACTGATTACAGTCGACGTTCACACTTTATACTAAATTTATAGAACATGAAACAGATGAAATAAAATACCTTCAACAAATTGATTTATAAGATTACAGATATTAAAAGTGTGATTAAAATAAATCAATTGGAAACCGTGTTGATTATTTTCTGTTAAAGCAAAAACTGTACTTTTGGAATAAACAGTTGAACATTTTACCTAAGTAGCTGAATGTTATTAACTTGATTATGTATATGCATGGGAAAGTACTTACAACTAGTTTATTTATGTGATCAGCAAAACATTTTCATTCATAAACATAAGATTATTTATAGAATCTACAACCAGCTAAAAGTAGTTCTGATTTGATACAAAAACACTTTTGAAGAAGGAGGAAAAATCCTGTATTTTTGCATCTAATTGGAGACTACCAAGTTTGCCTTTCAATACAAAGATGATTAATAGTGACATTATGAGCAAAGGTAAAAAGAACTCATTAAAAAATATTAATCACTTATATTTATATAAAAGAGTTCCTTGTGGAGGTACAGATAACACAGACACTGTTTTATGAAAATGGATCAAATAATCTAAATTTTACTTTTTTATTTTAAATAACATGTGGTTCTTTAGCTCCTTCTGCATAGTCCATTTTGTTGGAGGTAAAAAAGAAAGTTTAAGATTCAATCATCTTTGTCTGATATTTGTGAATCTTCTATTGTTCTAATTGCTGGTACATATACTTTGAATGAAAATTTGGATTTTGGAAAAGAACCCTGAGAAGAAAAAAGGTTAGTTGTAATTTTTGTCAGATTGTTTCAGGGAGTACACACATATATGATATGTACATGTATTCTTTTTATTGATATTGTAATACTTACAGTATTAATCACCAGGCAATCATAAAGACTAGCATTGAAACCACTACTAGTATCTCCTATAACAATCAAATCAGGTAGAGGGTAAAGTGATAAAGCCGCATCATGGGCCCACAGTGTTGGAACAACCAGCTGAGTAACTGGAGCCAATGTACCCTGGCATATCAATGTCCTGGCAAACTGTAAGAAAAGCAAATTGATTTATAAGATTATTTAATATATTAATTTAAATGAACAAATTTACACTTTGATACAGTATGATCAAATCATCATTTAATGGAACTTTATTTGTATTTCTATTATTTTGCATTATTTCTTGAAGAAAACTTTGTCTTAGCAAAAAAATACAGTTTGCTAATAGTATGTTTAATTTTTATGTGTCGACGTTTCAAATCATTGTGAATTGAATGAGACAGACTTTGTGTGTATTTTTAAGTGAGCCGATTTTTGACCTTTGTCGATGTTTTCTCAAAAACGGCTAAACCGATTTGAAAAAATTGTAACCCGAGAAAGATTTGCGTTTGTCAGTTTTGTGCAACTATCGGCCAAGCCGTTTCTTTATAATTAGCAGAATAGTGTAAAATTTTTCTTCCGCGTATCAGCTCTTAATCTTGAATCGATTTTAAAAACTTAAAAACTGTAAAAGTTTAGAATTTCACCGTACACTTGAGGGATTCTAAGCAGAATCTATGTCGAACACCTATATTCATGGGGGGTAAACATAGAACAAATACGCGTTACACGGTTTCAGTGTTTTCAGCATTCAACAGATGGTGCTGGTGTGCTTCAAAATTCAGCACACACAGTTTAAAATACAGTCTCTCTAGATATAGTACACGTAAACACCAATTTTATATTTTTTATATATTGAAATATATATTTTTTTAATGGAAAAAATGTTTAATTTTATCTTATCATAGATTTTTTACAAAATATTTGTGATTTTGTTGAAAATATATTTGATACGCGTATATTTTGTTGTAATTTCATTTAATCAAATTAATCAGAAGTATCTTTTCTATATTATATATTCAAATAAATCTTATCTAGAATTGAACCTAATGGTAAATTTACGTGCTACAGTTGGTGGCGACATCTATTGAATGCTGAAAGAATTATAATTGATGTAACATCAGAGCGGCCGTGTTTGCCATCTATTTATACTTATTTATCTATGCCTATAATATACGTTCCGCTTTTCGTTTTATGGGTTGCTACGTTGCTACTGATTACAGATGACGCCCACACTTTTTTTTTAATAAACTAGTTTGTATTTTACCTTGAGGCAAGTTACTGAAAACGAATGAACACGTTAACTCGGAGAATTTTCTAAAAAGAAATTTTCAAAAATCAATTTTTATAAGTGAACCAGTTTATTTTAACAAACGTTAAAAAAACTACTCATTTTCTCAAAGTTTGATAAATTTTTGAAATTAAACTACTTGTCATAAGGCCGTAATATTTCAATAAGTTCTATAAGACCATGATATATATCGCCAAAAAAAGTTCCATAAAAATTGGCTTAAACTTTTTAATTACAAGAAAACGGCTCGGTAGATTTTCACCTAAAACTAATCAGTATCATTCCCAACTAATATCTTTCGAACAGTTTTTGATTTTTTAATATCGATTCGGTAGTATGAGCTTAATTATGGACAAAAAGTTCAACTCTTTTCTTCAAATTACAAGGAAACGGCTTGGCAGATCGTCGCACAAAACCGACAAACGATAGAAAAATTTCTAAAATCGGTTCAGGCGTTTTTGAGCAAACGTCGATGAAAGGTCTAATTTTGACAAATGCTAAAAGAACGATACTAGTTTTTGCAAACTTTGAAGAATTTTTAAAATCAAACGACTTGTCGTAGGGCCGTAATATTTTAGTATGATCTACTATAAGACTATGGTATCCACCCGTCACAAAAAAATCGTTCAATTTTTTTTTTTTAACACTTTATTATAAGAAAACGGCCCGGCCGATCTCTACCAAAAACTAATCATCACGATTCACAACCAATATCTTTTGAACAGTTTTTGAATTTTCAAAATCGATTCAGAATTTCGGGCTAAAATGTGGACGAAATTTTTTTCACTTTTCTTACAAAGAAACGGCTTGGCTGATCGTCGCGCAAAACTGATAAACGCTAGTCCTCATTGAGATACATCGAATGGCTTTTAAATTTTTGAAATCGGTCCAGCCGTTTTTGAGGAAACGTCGATTTACGGCAAAAAATCTGTTCACACACACACATATATACTTTTTTCAAATTTGGTCTCATTCGGTTCAGAATGGCTTGAAACGTTGAGAAAACAGAAAATTAGCGAATCGGATTTTTTTATGAAAACATGAACTTCTCCTTCAGAAAGTTAAATATACATTTTTAGAACCCGAAATAGATAAAATAAAATTTGTTAAACAAAATAATTTAATTTATACATTTACAGATATTATAAAGTTTGGAAAACATTAATTGGAAATCGCTTACAACTAATTTAAAAACGTAACTTACATGCTCGCCCAAATCACCTTCTGTAGGAAACTTAACTGCATTACGGCACATTTTTGTTAGCAGGTCTGCTCGGCAGACTAAAACTTGCTGTGTACAATATTGAAGTCGACATGGGTTAGTGGCTAACTTTACTCTTGGTATCTTTTTCAAAAGACTTGTGGCCAAGCATTCAGGGATCGGCAATCTTATGAGCAATGATTTGTTTTCATTATTAAAAGAAATTTCTATCTATACACATTACATACATAACTTATTAGCTCTACTAACCTTGGCAATAACTTTGGAGCTGATGGATCATCTGCTGAAGGCACAAGTATAATATCAGTCTCAGTTTTTATATTTTCGAAATTTGAAATTAAGTCGCCGAGTGCACTTAAGTGATTTTTCAAATTAAATGGATTGCCGTTCTCTCTTACAAACGGTCCCATTAACACTATAGCGACAGGTGGACAAGAATCATATCCCGAGAACAATTCACCCAGTTTAGCCATCACCTTTAATTAAAAAAATAATACATAATTTTATCAAAAATAATGAGCAAAGTTTAAATCATATTTTTAGTATCTCATTAGCAACTGAACATAATTGCAGCAATGCAATATTTGATTTTCTCATACTTTTTTCTCTATTTTACTACGTTACAAATTTTGCTCTACTTTACTAGGTCATCTTATATCATCGAAATGCAATTTGTTATCAGAAATTTTACTGAACAGAGACTAGGGAGCGCAGCAAAAATTGTAAAATTAATGGAAATTATCAAAACTACTTAATTGAATTTTGTTGAAGTCTTAGCATTGTGATATTTACCTGTGGACTATCTAACCAAACATCAGAAAGAAATGCTATTGTGGCATCCGCATTATTGTTTTCTATTGCTGCAAGTTTTGGGGATAATTTAAGAAGCGTCCGACTTGGTCCTCCCCAAGTGTTTAAAGTTCCAAAATAAGCCCTTTAAATTTATTTTACTCAATTTACTACAGCATAATAAATTCAAATATCTTTTAAAAGTATTAAGATTTAGATAATTTAATATTTTTCATTTAATTTAACCTATGAAATATAATAATGTTTTAATACTGAAGGAGCAAAAAGATTGTATTTCAAAGCAAAACTATCATTATTTATTCAAATATTGGTGGTCAATTTTC